CACTACATATTTATGCCCATGTGTATACTTTATATATTATCTCAGAGGTACCATATATGGCAATTTTCAAAAATTCTTCAATATTTTAGTGCTTTTGCCCCAGTATTGAATGAGTTAATAAGCAATAATTCATACCAATTCACAGCATTCATGCTCAGGTGCTTTTTGCCGAAAAAATTAGGAAAATTGGTTCATATACGTGAGAAATGAACTCATCAATCCATGAAAATGGTTCAGAGAAAATTCCATTTCAAAACTTGAGTTCTCATAGAAACCAATGGTACAATAATATCTATAACATAATATATTCTTCCTTTTAACCTGGTTAGACAATCAGCATTGATTTAATTTTGAAGTTTTGCATATTTAGAAAAGATTCACATAGAAAATTTTTTTTTCATTTTTTTCAACAAAAAAATCATTGATGACATCACTCAGGTTGCAAAACATTCTCGATATGCTAAAACATTGTAGTGGCACATTAGATATGGCATTTTATTATTGAAATAGTGTGTCCTTTGTTCAATCTTTGCATAGGTGTTAAAAATATAATACTTTTTGAAATGTATGGTGGAATATTTGATGATTAAAAAATTTGAAAAATGGCGGGAAATTTGAATATTTGAGAAATGAAAAGCTGACAACTTTTTTAAAATCTTTAAAATAATAACTTTAAAAGTCATGACAAATAGTAAATGAATGATAAAAACAATTTTCAAACATTACACGGGGACTTTAACAAGGAAGACTGGCTCCCAGGATCAAAACTCAATATTTTCCAACAATGAAAATGTCGAAATTTCGTTATTTACTGAAATTAAAACTGACTTTAAATACAAAATAAACAGTCCCAAAGGATTCAAACGAATATTTCAATAATTTTTTGTAAGTTTTAGAATTTTTTCGTTTGGAAATAAGACCAAAATTCATGATTCAAAAGTTGAAACGAAAAAAATGGCAACTGTTTGAATTCGAATCTTGCAACATGTCCATATATTGCAAAAACATTGATGTTTCACTCGGGGAGCCAATCCACCTTGCTATATAAATGAAAAAGATGATATTGGATTCTACTGGTGCTGACATCCAAAACCTATTGGATCTACATGTATACTTTCAGATCCTGATACTGCCAATTGCGGCTGCCTATACAGCAGGGCTCCACCAGCCTTAAAGGGTTCCGATTAGCATCCCGTATAAAAACAATATGGCGGCTCCAGGCGAATCAACTGGATCAGTCCATTTTTAAGAAATAAGGGGAGTTCTGTAAAATCCAGTTTATTGAAATTGTCTTTGAGATAAAGTAATCCGTTTATAATGATTTTGAAAACGTTATCCAAAGAGTGATTGCGTTCAAGGAATACATGTACAACAGCCAATATAAATCCTTGTATTAGAAACCGGTTTGTCTTGCTTTGTTTCATTTGTAGGATATTTCATATGCCAAGCTGTGTGCTATTACGTTATGGGGAAATTTAGATGCCAATTTTTCCTTATTATACACAAATATAAGATCCTGAAACTTCACCCATAAATGTGGAATTGATTTGTCAAAATAAAAATCACCCTTTTATAAATGTGTGACGATCTATAATATACTTATGCTATATAACAGTTAGAGGTGTTGACACAGCGACCTCAAACCTGTGAACCCTTGAGTATTATTCCGGGATCGGGCCTTTTATACTAAACGGTGAGCAACACCAGAAACGAGCGTTCGATTTGCTAAACGATATGCGTCACCCTTTAAACCCAGCGTTTTCGGAGTGCATAATAGGCAAACCATGGAGAAACGTGGCCAGTGTAAATGCAAGCCTTCTCCAAGGAAATAAAGGAATACGACCATTGTTGATTTTGAATGATTTTGATGTACTAAAAGAGGCATTCATTCAGGAAATAGACACATATGGAGATAGACCCTTTGACTATTTAACAAATAAAATCCAAGGAGAAAGAGGTCACATTATTGTATTATCATTCATTGTTTATCAACTGAATTATCAAAATTCAAAAAATTCATGTTAGCTCTATTTCTTCTATATATTATAACAATAAAACACTATTTTTGTGAGGTGATAATTTGGTCAAAATTGTTTATTTTTAAGTTTTGATCTTATTAGTCCTAATTATCCCACTGAACGAAGTTCGAGGAGATATAGAAAAGCTGTCCATCCATACATCCGTCCGTCCGTTGTCCATCTGTCTGTCTGCACGTCCGTCCATCCATCTGTCTGTCAGGGCAATAACTCAAATACTGTTAGCTCGATTTTGTTCATATTTTGTAAACATATACCCTATGGGGTTAAAAGTTCTGCTCGAAAGCCAATTTTCAAAATGGCTGCTCATTCAAAAATGGCTGCCATTTTAGTGCCGATTTTACAGTAATTTAGGTACAATATGTAAAACTGTAATAGCAATATGTTTTAAATGTAAAAAATTTATACAGGAAATAGGAAATAGATGATGCCGAGATATATTTCAATTACCAAACTAAAAACATGCCTTACTGTGTTCTTTCATGAAGGCAAATTCTACACCAAGATCAAAATTCTCAAATGTTATTGGACATTAATTTAATTACTAAATGCTGCCATCTATTAATAAGATGAATAAGATCTCCATCATTGCACTATTTCTTCATTTACTGAATCCAGATTATTAAGAATCAAACAGTACATGAATTCTGATTCAATACAAAACAAATCTATAATATATTATTTTTAATAAATAACAGTTTATCTCAAGTACATAAATACAAACACACGTAATTCTTGTATACTTACAATTATTTACTCAGAACAAAACATGTAACAAATAAAGTTGATTTTACATAAGAGTGTCAAGAGAACCAATAGTGTCTTTGTATTATGATACCTCCCAGTGCATCTATTGTTATACAAAATGTGTATGAAAAATACAACAAATTGGTGTACAATACCTCTTGGTAACATTCATACATATTATTCCCCGCACACCATGGTCTCAATTGACCCCCATTCCCAATTATCCAATTATGTGTCACAACCCAACTTGAAGAGACAGACAGGAGGTAGCTATAGAAGACTAAGATGGACACAATCATACAAACAAACAAAGCATCAGTAAATCATATTACAGGGTGACCCAAGAAGTACCCTTCTTTTTGGTGTAATTCAATGTACAGGTATATTAGTATTCCACAGTTTGCTTCATACACAAGAAAATTTCACTATAATTTTACCACAACTAGAATGTACATGTAATTACAAAAAAATTAGAGTTTATGTATTTTTGGATCATCCTTTGATTGCTATCACAATCACAGTCACAATCACATACAATCACAATCAGTTAGTGAATGTCTGTTGCTATTGTACAAGGTTTCAAATGTTGGTGGTTTTGATTGATGCAGTAGATTTTTAGCATCCCTATTCTCGAGGTTTTACCCAATGAGATAAAGAATTGAATTCATAGCAATTACAGGAAAGAAGCCATTGGTTTGACCAGAGTGCTTTAATAAATGCATACACTTTTTAAAGAAGCTATGGCATACATATGATTTTCCAATAAGATAATATATATCATACAGGGACAATTTTCTAACCAACTTCATTTCTTCCAATATTGAGGTATAATCAATTTTTGAATCGCCCTGTATTGGAAACTTGCAGAGGAATAAAAAGGCATTAACATGAGATATGTCACAACCTGCTATTTGTTACAGACGCCATACTCTGAATGCCAAATGCCTAACATTGTCCACAAAAAAGTTCACCTGGTGTTGTTGACATGATAAAATGAAAATACTGTTTTAAAAATGATTACAAAAATAAAAAAAATTTCAATTACAATTTCATGTTGACATATACTTCAAAGATCTAGTTCTATTTTCTACATATCCAATTCAATTTTATAAACAATCAATTACAGATCAATCCAAAAAATCATCCCACCCATTGGTAACGATGTCATTTTCATAGGTTCAGGGCAGAAATAGGAGTAACTTAACATGGGCGTAGCGCTATTTTTCTAAGTAGTATGCTACCACGGGAACCCGCATGGGAGCAAGATTTGAGAGAAGCAAAAAAGCGTTCAGGGGTCCTCACCCTAGGAAAATTGCCAAAATATTTTGGTTGTATTTGGAGCAAATTTGAAACCATCTGGTACGCCCACGCTTAATGGGAATTTTCAAAACCTTCTTTCAATTTTGTTCATAAATATCACTACCTGCAAACTATGACAATATAAATCTAGCGAATATAGTTTAATATATCCAGTTTCATTGATTCATCAAAAGAGGTCAGGTCCAGTCTAGGATAAACCTGTTGCTTAATTTCAAAAACTTATTTTGATTACAAACATTGCTGCCTGCAAAGTATGACATCAAAAATGAATCAAAACGCATCATGGTTTCCTTTGTTCACCAAAAGGAGGCAGAATTTATTGGAAAGGTCTATTATACATGTTACAAGGCAGATTTAATATTTTGTCAATCTGGTTATCACTTTCGTAAATCTGAGGAAACATGAAATTTCTTACTATTTTCTATCTTTCTATAATACTGTTGCATTGGCAATTATAGTGATCTAAAACAATACATATATAGGCTCACCATTCAATACAAGGGGTGTCCAACATTTTCATTGAATTCAATCATTAATTGCATAACAATTGCAGTTCAAATACACCACCGGAATAACTTAACAACTACCATATCGTGAAGGCAGTTATAACATCTACAGTAGGTAGATCTATACAGATACTAATTTGGGAAATGCCCCTGGTTTTCTGATATTCTGGATATTGTGATCTGAGGTTTAATACCTAAACTTAATAACTTGCAGTTTGTAAGGTTCAATTTAGGGTTTCCTTAGTCAGTTTCTTTCATTTCACTGCTAATACACAGTAAAACCTGTCTTAGTGGAACGACTTTGGTACATCTAATAAAAAGTGTTCCACTTGGGAGGTGTTCCACTCATTTAGCTTCATTTATCATTTGGTCTCGGAAGTGTTCAACAGAGGTGTTCTACTTTACATGTTTCACCATAGTTCAATTTGCCATTTTTTCAAAAACCTTCTAGCACAGTTCATAATATTTATTGGTCCTCGGATCAAAGTAGCAGTTAAGACAAGGATCGTACAACAAATCTAACTCTTCCTCTCCATCAGTTTCATGCTCCTTGTCTGAATGGCTATTCAATCTATGTCTCATCCTCCCATCTAGAAAATAAAAAATTAATATTATCAGAATCATCATGCTCGTATGTAACAAAATACAGGAAAGCAAAGTACATACAATTTTTAAAAATTAGAGATCAGATTTTATATTCAACAATTTGAGATCAATTACAAATTCAGGAATATGGGGAACATTAAATGATGAAAAATGTTGAAAGCAATATTTTCAAAAAAGCATGCCAATCTTTCCCTGGAAAGTAACATAAAAAAATTCCATGTTTTGAAACAGATCTCAACTATGGGATAATTGAAAGATATCTTATTGAAAATCTAAGCTGCAGAAATGTCTACCCTGCGTGCAGAGTCTAGTTATAAACTACCCTCTGCCTAGACTATATTACAGTTTAGCAGCCCCACCCCGTAGATTGGTGCCTGTGACAGCCCAGGTAATAAATAATTTCAAATCTACCACACTGACTCTTTCTCAACCAATCGGCAAAGTGGAAGGAACACATGCTAAATACATGCTCATTAAATATGCGGGGATGTCAGAGGAAATTAACGTATAGAAAGTCGTCCATGTTTTTGCGACGAACTCTGATTGGCTCGGTGAGATCAGAGATTTATTGCAAACTGAAAGAGTGCAAAGGGTAAGAAATGTCCATTCTTTTATAAGAAAGGAAAAGGGGATATCGTATTCTTCAGAACAGGATAAATGAGCTTTACAATGGTCATTCATTATAGTCATGCCCACAGCTAATAACGCAAATGCGAGTAGGCAGTTACCAGTTTCTCCACCAGGTGACTCATTCGGGTCAAATAGCATGGCGGGTATAGTAGAAAGTTCCCTTTAACTTAAATTACATCTGTTTTAGTGGTTCAATTTTCATATAACCCTTATGTATTTAAAAGTTATGCAAATTAAATATGTCCAGTAAAAGATTATCTGTCCAATACAAGAACATATTTCACTTTTTGTGATTTTGTAACATGGTATCCATGGAGAATCAAACTGAACTAGAAGTAACATTTTCAGTCTATTGTTTTTATACCAACCTGATGGTGATTTTTGTTTTCTTGGTGAGATCAGTTTATTTTTCGGTGATAACTCATGTTTATTCTTTAAATTCTGTTTTTCCAGCTCACTGGGTAATACTATAGGGGGACTAAAAATATTGGCATAATCTCGTGGATTTGATGAGGCTAAGGGGTCTCCAGCACTTAATCTTGAAGAGGGCATTCTCATTTCATCCTGGTAATGAGCCTTCATTGCAGGCACCTATAACACATACAAAAAAACATATTTTAGGTAAAAAAAGAAAAACTGTAAAACTGTACCAAGAGTCTAAAGGGAGCATAATAGCGCCAAATAGTTACAAAAACAAAATAACTGAAAGGAATAAGAAGAAGAATGTAACATACAAAACAAGAGAACCCAATGTTAATGAGATTTATTTGTTCATATACTTCATTCATCGATTATGTCGTGAATATTTTTTGGGTCTAACTACTTTTTCCTTGACTTCAACATGATCTCACCTGGCCACGTTCCGTACAAAATGAAGTATCATCCTCGCTAGAATCACTCATAGAATCATCGCCATATCTATGTTTAGAAAGGTTTGGTTTGTCTCCCTGATTGGTTGATCCTGCACTTTCACCCTCATTTTCATCCAGCGATTCTTCCTCTAATGCCTCACGTGCGAGACTTGCCAACATTGCCGCCTCAAATGAATCCTCCATCCCTCGAGTATCCATTCCCGCAGATTTGTACTTGGACGAATCATATGGTTTGGCCTGGAATTATTATTGAAATATTTAATTAAAATAAAGGTAATTGGTCATTCATAAGTTCTATAGATCTAGTCCCCTTATGCAGCAGGGTTCTGTTTTTTCGGAACTGTTGTATTTTACAATTTGGTCGCAAGACATTATTTGTCAAAAAGTAGACAATGGTTTTCTCTAAATTGTAAGTTACGATCGTACCAAAAATGAACCCCAGTTTGACTAATTCCATTGACAAAAATGACAAAGAATTTCTCTAAGTATCTGAATGAATCAAATTATATTGGCAGCGTACTAACACAGAGCCAGTCAAACCATTTTCTCAATTCTACATGGTGTAGCTCAGGTGTATACCCTCCTAATTTAATTTGACCTACTAAACAGGTTTTTGTCTCCAAAAATGCTCTTTGAGCTGACTTTGTAGTCCAATGTATGAAAAATCCATGTAAATATGTGTATGACTGTACAATAAGTGTTTTGTTGTGGAATCCAGTTGTCAGCAGATGAAAGTTAATTTCTTTGGAAGAAGTTGGTATATGAAAATTTTCTTATAAAAATGTGGAGACTTAGTGAATGATGAAGCAAAAGATATTCTAAGTGGAGGGGGCTAGATCATAAGCAAATCAACTCAGTTTTTACATATTTTGGAGATCATCCCTTACCTGTTCCAAAGATTTCCTCAGTTGAATATCGTCCGGTTTCAACTCCCGCACTGACCTCCTACTGATACTCATCCTGGAGTTACTAGTCCTCGGACTGGATAACGACGAATTCAAATTACCATCAGATTGATCTGAGATATTCAGACTGTTTTTATCAGAGTCCAAACTCTTTATTGCATTGCTTATAGTCGGTTCATTGTTTGACACATGAGGTCCCGGTATGTTTGAGTTACTAGTGGTTGTGTCCCTGGGGCTTGAGCTATGAGTGGCTATAGATGGAATGCTTTTCACACCACGTGCGCTAGTAGGTCGAGATCTCCGACCTCCACTATTAGGGCGGGGACTCCCCGTACTCGGAGGTCTTGGACTAGGACTGTTTTTAAGTATTTTAGTGTGTGGATCATCCTCAGTACTGCTATTGCTACTGTGAATGAAGTCACTCTCGAGTTTGGCACCGCGGTCGAGTTTCAGGTTCCTCCTGGCTGTGTTGGATTTACTGAGAGATGGTTCATCATCCTGGAAACAAAATTGGGATTTTTTCAGACAAACGATAAGCCAGAAACATAATACCTGAGACAAACATCTATGCTAGTCAAATTCTTGAAAATACTTGGTACACATTTGTGTGTCTTTTTTTACAGCCTTCTATTATGTCCCATAATATTTTAGTGGTAAGATCATCTATTGATCAATTGGATTTAGATCCCTATACCATTATTAAAGAAAATAATTCCCCATTCACAAGTGAAGTAAACATAAATATATATGAAACAAGCCAAACCAGAACAACGGCAACGCCAAAGCGTAGCGAATCCCATCGAACAGAAATGGCTGGCATTTTTACAAACGAATAGCAAATATCATAAAACAACACATCAGAAAGGCCATCATTTTCAAAATGGTTGCTCACTAGCCAAGTTGCCATCAGAATAAATAATATGCTTTTAAGTAGCCACCTCTAAATTTTTTGAAAAATCGCACACGTACTTGTAAAAAAAATAACACACATAAAAATGGTGGACATTTTTCAAAATGGCCGACTACGCCCCAAAGTTTTATTAGACAATGTGCCATGCTTAAAGTATTCACATATCAAATATGAACAAAATCGCTCCACTACTTTTCGAGTTATAGTAAAATACGTTAAAATGGCGGCCATTTTTCAAAATGGCCACTGTCTACCAAAAGTGTCATTAGAAATAGACAGTGTGCCATGCTTATAGTATTCACATACCAAATATGAACAAAATCACTCCACTACTTTTCGAGTTATAGTAAAATACATTAAAATGGCGGCCATTTTCAAAATTTTTTTCAAAATGGCCGCCTTCTACCAAAAGTGTCATAGGACAGCGTGCCATGCTTATAGTATTCACATACCAAATATGAACAAAATCGCTCCAATACTTTTCGAGTTATAGTAAAATATGTTAAAATGGCGGCCATTTTTCAAAATGGCCGCCTTTTACCAAAAGTGTCTTTAGACAGTGTGCAATGCTTATAGTATTCACATACCAAATATGAACAAAATCGCTCCACTATTTTTTGAGTTATAGCAAAAATCGTAAAATGACGAGTAAAGGCCGCCATTTTTCAAGATGGCTGCCATGTGCTTCTTTAATATCTACATTTGTAGCATTATTAATGTCCTTTATAATTTTTTTACATTTAAAACATATTGCTATTACAGTTTTACATATTACACCTAAATTACTGTAAAATCGGCACTAAAATGGCCGCCATTTTGAAATGAGCGGCCATTTTGAAAATTGGCTTTCGAGCAGAACTTCTATCCCCATAGGGTATATGTGTACAAAATATGAACAAAATCGGGCCAACGGTATTTGAGTTATTGCCCGGACGGACGGACAGACGGACGTACGTACGAACGGACGGACGGACGGACGGACGGACGGACGGACGGAGGCGTTCCCTATATCCCTCCGAACTTCGTTCGATGGGATAACTAATAATTATATGGTTATTCAACAATATGTTGGTTTGGCATCAAACATGAACCCCCTCGTTGGATAACAACTGTCCACAAGGAATGCTTTAAGGAAGTATTACATGTGCACAGGTATATTGAATACTTGCCTGAGTGACATCAAGATCATCTCTAAATGCTGGACTTTCTCTTACACTCTTATGAGCAGGTTTAGGAGGAGATGAGAATGTGTAGATGTTCTCATCCATTTCACTGCAATAAATAGTGAAATCACCAAATATATATATTAATGCAAATAATAATCAAATAAGTGCGCCAGCTTTTTTTTAATTGCCAGAAAATCCTAAGGAATGCTCAGTTACATTTTATGTAGTTTAAAGCTGGACTGCGCTCCGAAACGCAATCTTGGGTTGTTTCGGGGGTGAACTTTATCATTTTGAGCTTAATGAAAGATTATAGAATGATGAACAAATGGGGCAAATCTTGTGTAGAAATACTTACGATAAATGTGTCATTTCAAAGATTATTCATTGAATTGCTTCGATCGGCGCCGACGATATGATTTTGGAAAAGTTTCTAAATGAAGAACGTGACGTCACTTCCGAATCATAGCATTCAAAATAAGTAGCGTTTAATTACTTTTAACATTCATCAGAAGACGGTGGTCTAGGGGTACAATTCTCGCTTAGCACACGGGAGGCCCGGGTTCGGATCCCGCATTCGCCTTTTTATTTTTTTTTACTAAATGATTGTTCTTTGATATAACGCAGAAAAAAACAATTTTTATTTACATAAACTTTATATTAGAGCTTAAAAATGTAAAAACAATATATGTCAACATATTGCGTTTCGGAGCGCAGTCCAGCTTTAATAAAAGCAACACAGAAAGATCATTGACACGCATTATCAAAAAATCATGCGTAAAAGTTGTCAATATAGCTCTATTTTTTTGTTCACACAGATCATCATAAATTCAGTGAGATGCTGGATCCAGTTGCAAGGTCAGACTATATAGTTCAACACATTCTATAAGTATAGATTAAGTAGCTTACTCTTCACTTTCAAATGACAGGTCCCCATCATCCTCTGGAATGTCGAGATCATCATAATCAAGGTCAATCTTATTTTTCAATGCTTGAATTACATCACTAATTGACTCATCGGGATTGCCGCCATCTTGGATTTCTGAGTCTGTTTTTGAGTTTGTGTCGGTTTTGTTTACATTGTCTCTTGTATTCAGAGATTTCTCTGTATTATTGTTTTTGGAATGTTCACTTTTTAGTTTTTCTGGTTTTGTTTGGTTTAATGAAAGAGATTGTGACCCTGGTTTTAAATGTTCTGGTGATCTTGACCTTTGAGATCGAAGCTCAGCCAATGAAAGCACAGCATTGTCTTTACTGCTGAACTCTTTCTGGTCAAAGCTCAATGAATGTCTTGCTGGGGATTTGAACTCTGGGCCAAGTTCCATTGAATTTTTCCGTAAAGAATTTTTATCTTTACGATCGAGAGATGGAAGTCGCCTGGGAGGAGACATTTCTACCATTTCTTTAGAAGCAGCTCTTCTGAGCGGGGAATTCTCTGGAGTTTTTAACTTCTGAGGGCTTGGAATACTTGAATCTGTTTCTCGCTCACTTGAGTTTCCACTTCGTTGCCGTTGATCGCCACTTCGAACCCGAGGACGTCTCCGTGCTTTCTGGTCTGACGATCGCTGCCTGGCTGGGGGATGAGGCTTCTTAAAGGGGGTCTCATCATTGACGTCTATTACCCCTGAGCTCCATGTTCTGCTTTCACGTAATGTACCTGTAATAATCCCATATATTTTCAAAAAGCAAAACTCCAAACAATGCACTATATTGAGCATAAAATACAACAAAAAGCTGATGACCTCAAAATGAGGTATAAATTTCCAGTTTGCATCCCCATAAGATGAATATAAGCAATGGCTCAGATGAATGGCAATTTTCCCATGTTGACAGATAGGTAGATGAAGCCAAAAATAGTGATCAAAGTTGAATTTAGTTTTTGTTCATTAGGTGGCATTTTTACTTACTTTTATCAACAGTAGTTTCAGGGTCATCCTCAATGTTGGTCCCTGGGTCAGATGGCATCCTTTCCCGCCCCCTACTGGTCTGTAGCACCAACTTATCGACCTTATGGCCATCTATAGCATGAGAATATAATTTCTGGGATCTTAACTTATTAAATTTATAAACGTATTAAATGTATGGCTAAATTTTTATAAAGTGAAAAACATATCACCCCAAGTATATATTGCATTTCAACATCATACATGATGCATCTTAAATAAAATTTAAATAAAAACATTTCTCTCCTGACTTCATCAATTAATCAAAATAGCAGAACTCACATAAATTAAGAAATAAGAGATGAGTGTTAAGTTCTCTGAAGTCTGAACAGATTTTACAATGGCCTATGTACCTATATACATGTATTATTGAAATAAGATACATATAAATACCTTCAAGTTTGTTCCTGGAATGTGATGATCTACTGGTTCTACTGGTTTGACCTCCCTGAAATAACATGGAAAGTTAATAAAAACAATTACTGTAGAATGTCTGCGAATGTCTTTCTCTTGTGAACAAATTCCTTTAGATACTCATTGTTCACTTTAGATATCTATGTATATCGTATCAAATAAACTGTGTAGTACATCAAAAGATTTTGAGCAAAGAATGATAAATATTAAATTCAGCTGCAAATCATATTACATATTAGCAAAGCATTAACATGCAAAATGTCATCACCTGCCATTTGTTACATACTCTGAACACCATCCACTTGTGATGGTGACATAAAAATAGAAGGGAATATTTACATCTTTGCCCCCAGCTGATCCTGTTTTTCTCTGGGCACTAGGTGGCGCTTTAGATGCTACTTTACTCCCGAATGCAATATGGTAAGCATCTGCCTCTGACCTTCGTCCACTCGCATTTAAATCTAGATAACATAAATGAAAGAATTATACTTTTTAAAATACATTTCCTTCACAAGGGAGCATACATTCTAACATGAAATAATGTTTTCTAAAAACCATTATTCCTAAAAACTATGAATTGCAATACTAGTGATTTTTTCTTTCATTCCCAATACAATTTTTGAAAGTTCAATTTTCACGCTAATTGTACACAAATATTATTTACACATTTGGCCATCTAAGCACGAGACCTGTAAACCTCATCACATGGCCTTGTAACCTTTGCGTATTACTTACCTACATCAGTAGAAGATACAGGCCTTGTGTTAGGGTCCCTACCACTGAGAACCCACTCTACGCAACGGATCTTTGTCATATTGATCACCTAGAAAACAGTAGATTTTTATGGTACAATATAGATTAATATCCGCTTATATGCACATTAACCCAATCAGTGAATATTTTTTGTAAAAGCTTGAATTTTTACTGATGAATTTTCAACAGTTTAATTAGAACGATTCTAACATTTCTGCATATTTGATCAAATAATACAATTCTTTCTTCAGAAAATAAAATTAGGAATATACTGAAAACAAGGGCATGATTTTTGAAGGTCTCTTTCAACATATTACACTCCCTTCTGATTCTTTTAACTAGACTCTTAAACATTGAGCCTATAGGGTGATTGTTTTGTATTACCTGAATAAACTGTGCTACATCCTGTGCTATCTGGCACTGTCTTGGTATAGAGTCCAGCTCTGTATTGTTTGTGTTAGGGCAACTATAGATGTCTATAATGGGCAGGTTAAAGGTAGTTATTAATGTATGTACTATGCATGTAAGCTTTTCATAGGTTTAGAAAGTACACAAAGGCATATTGCAATATACTGAACAGCAATGAGTTAATGCTGATCATTTTTATGGTTTTTCAAAAATCATTAACATTTTGATGTGATATGAATGTGAATTCAGTAAGAATTGCGTAAATCTTGCACCTTTCTCGCCTTGGGTCAAGTTGCAGGAACTCCTCCCTTATCTACCTTACAGGATGATTTTTTGGGGGGGGAGATCATGAGGACACGATGTTTAACCAGCTCCACTGTTTTTTTTCATTGAAAATGACCAGGTTGAAATAAATTGTAATAATTTACAATCAGGAAAATACAAAATTGTTATTGTAAATGTACTTGAGATTTAGTTGAGTAAATTATTTTTTAATTCAATGTTACCATCATCATCAGTGCTATCTGGCGGCTGATACTTCATAGTGAACAGTCTACGTATCCTGCAGTTAGCAGACACAATGATACTCTCAGTTGACTTGTATGTTTGGCCACGCCACATCTCTCCCACCAGTGAAACCATGTCAAAACACAAGTTCACCCACTAAAAGAAAAGCATGTAATGTAAATGATTTATTGAGTATTAAAATAGTGTTCAATTTGGAAGGTGTTCCACTTAAAGAGGATCATTTTTTTCATTAAGTTATTAAGTAAGTGTTCCATTTATTGAGGTGCTCCATTTCTTAATTTTTTGTCCCCAAGATTGAGGGCCATGGAAACCAGGAGGACCAGTTCTTTTGGCAAAAATTATTAAGAGGTCAATTGTGTTTTAGCTGAACCAACATAATATAGAAAATTCTTACAATCTTCATGTGTTTCTGAACTGAACTTTAATTGATAAGTTCCAAAGTCAATATTCCAAACTGTTTCATTCCAAAAAAGTTCAGATCTGTGATATGACACCCCAGATAAGGACTAGAGTGTCGTGCTGAATGTACTTACCACAGATCTCTTTAGTATGGTCAGTGGTACTTTGGCATGTAAGGGTGTGCAACTATTCTCCTTGAGGGATGTGGAGAAATGTAGTCTTCTTTTGTTATTTCCCAAATCAGATACTCTGCAAAAAAAACATGAAAAGATATCATTATAGATTGAGAACACAGAATATCTACCAGAATCAATTCTGAGAATGACAATTTCATCTCTGACTCTTTAAGGTGTATATTTGAGAGATGTATCTTCTACATTTTTATTGTACAATTTAAATCAATGGTGTGGTAGACTGAAAAGATAAGGTGTAAATCCCTAATCATTTACTTGTCTAAATTACCTGCCAAAACAAAATGTCTCACAAAAAAAATTTGATACAAGAGTAGCTCTTCAATTTAAAAAGCCTCTAAATTTTGTATTTCAGTGGCTAAGTTCCTACTTAATTCTTTGGAATTGTTTAAATATGATGTAGATAAAATTTATAAAAGCATTTACTGTACCCAAGTTCAATAGTGACATCAGTTCCTTTCTGCACATTGATTTGTATGACCACATAGCGCTGGACAAGTGTCACTGTAATACAAAATATGCATGGTACATTACATGTTATATGTGTCATTAGTTTCAATTTTAATATCAATAAAGACTGTTAGCTTCTTTAGATATCTTTTATCTATGCATTTTTGAACTTTGCAGATGAATAATGTATAGTTTGAATAAACACTAGTAGTCTAGACATACAAAAATATATGATGTTTATGTCTGCATTTTATCAATTTGCTGATTTTATAATTATCAATATGTATTTCTTTAAAATTTAATACAAAACAGAATTTCAAGAAATTCATTCTCACAAGATTGTTTTGGATCTTTGGGCAGTTGCATTTTCGTAGAATGACTGCTTCCTTCGATTGTGTAAACAAAGCTCTTCACTTCTTTATCATAGATCTTCCTGATCCCATGACCTCCGCTCAATTTCCAGTTTGCAGTTGGGTCCTTCCCTTGAGCGCTGAATATTTCAAAGAAGGCCCCACCCTATGAAATGAGAGAAATAGCATTAGTCACCATGCAAATTAATAAATCAAAACATGGTACAAAAATCTAATTCATATATTAACTTTACAATACTGGAGTAGAAACTGACTCTGAATTATCAACATTGGAAATGATCCAAATGGAAATGAAATACCAGCGATTATTTTCATCCATATATTCATCCCAAAAATTACAAAAATCGATTTCATTGATAGTCTATTTCTACCCTCATAATTCACTCTCAAAAATATGGAAGTAAACTATTGATCCAAATTCTATCAAAAGGACTGAAAACTACCAATTTTACACTTAAGACCAGGTATGAACATATATTTACTCATTATGCAAAAGTTTGTGTGAGACTCCTCAACGCAGGGAGGGTGGAGAATTTTATTTGCAATATTCCCTGCGGGAGAAGGAATTTGACGGAGAGTTTTGTCCCGGGAGTCACTGGTGATTTTTTGTTTCATCTAGTATACACTTTGTGGTTTGCCAATTGATTGGTAAATTCAGTGAATCAAAGATCTCACATGTCGAGAACAAATGAAAATATACTCATCTAAATGTTGGGGTAGTTTCAGGTTGAAATTGCCAAAAACCATCGCTAAAGAGAGGAATTCTAGAATGATACTGAGCAGTGATGCACTGCAGATGCACTTCCGCATTATACTTGTATTTATAGCCTTTTCATAATTTAATATGGATGAATAAAATGGAGGGAGGTAAGTTGTAACCCATTAAAGCAAAAAGTCAATATGGTTTGCCTTATATAGGGATAGTAAAATAAAGCATTGCATAAACTACATGTAGAGCACTTTCGAAACAAGTACTATGTAGATTTGATCACAAATCAAAGATATACAAATGATGAAAATAAAACATTGAATTGGACGAAAGGTAGGGCGAAGGGGTATAACGCCGACACCATTTCGCTTGGATAGAGATCTCAGGAGGTTTTTTGACTTTTTTTTAAAATCAAACATTGCTAAATGGAAATTCTAATTTCACGTGTCAAAGTCACCCCATTTCTCATGTCAACATTACCCCAAGTGTCCACATCCACACATGTTACACCCCTTTGCCCTACCTCCATTTGGATCATTACCAGTAATTACTCACCTGAAACTCATTTTTAAACATTTTAGTAGTTGTTGATTTTGAGCCAGCCGTAGAAATTCATCAGATATTTTGTGGAAACATGGTCCAAATAAATGACACAGTCATAAAAGTAAGTTACAGCTTTGGAAAAAAAATTCAAAATCTTTTGAACATGACAACTGTAAACAAACGTCTTCTTTCATTACTCTATGCTGCACCCGAGTTGAAATTCACAGAAACGATTCTTTCAGGTTCAAGGTATACCATGGAGTTTAAATATGATGTCTTTTCAGGATATAAACACGTCATTTTTGCTTTTCAAAAATATATTTTGGAATATTTGCAAAAATACATTCCGCCATTTTATTTGACAATGAGCAGCTCAACTAATTTTGATGAGTATCAAACTATAATATTTATTTTACTCTCATATAAACACATAAATAACTATTGTATATATATATGAAATTTATTTTATTTTTATTAAGTTCTATGTAACCTCTTATAGTGGTTATTTAATATAATATTTTGTAAGTTTGAGTTTGTCTTAGAATATGAAAACGAGGTCACTTCCCGCCTGTGCAAAAATTTCACAAAATATTGTACACGATGTCTGGACGAGCAGGTATTTTTGCTTCATATGATGGTTTGCATGATAGATCAAGCTACATTTTGTAGTCAAGAATATAATTACATGTTTCATGTCCCACTTTTTGTTTTCAGGAGGAAAGAAAAAGCCACTGAAGGCCCCTAAAAAGAAGACCCAAGATTTGGACGACGTGAGTGTTTTCAAACTGTGCAATTGCAAACAGTGGTCAACATTTAGCTAAAGATCATTGTTCATTGGCTAGTAAAAACTTTTCTTCAATTGTCCTAGTATTTTTACGTGATGATGTGTTCGATGATTCCCAACCTTTTGAAATAGACAACTTAAGGTACAGCTGGAAAGTAACATTTTGGTAAAAAATTGCTATACCAGCACATGTTATTTTCTGGTACAAAATAAAGTATGAAGACATTTGTCAATTGCCTTGCTTTTTTCAGGAAAGTATCATTACATTGTCTTCTTTTAGAATATCTGGTAGGCGTTTAATGGGAACTACAGGAAATTCTGATATTTCACACTTTCTATTTTTCCAAATTTTCTTTCAAAGTTTCCAGACAACACAGGAGCTACCTGTTTCTAGATATTCTAAAAGAAGACAGTGTAATGATACTTTCCTGAAAAAAGCAAGGCAATACACACATGCGTTCATACTTAATTTTGTACCAGAAAATAACATGGGCAGGTATAGCAATTTTTTACCAAAATGTTACTTTCCAGCTGAACCTTAAGACAGAAAAATGTGTTTCATATCAGAATATGTTATTGTTAGGGTCTTTCCATTCCTCCCGAAAATCCCAAAGTTTGTGCTGTGTATATAGCAGATAGGGGGTGTAACGTTGATGTGTGGGGTAATGTCGACATAAGCAACGGGGTAACTTTGACACTTACACATTAGAAATAGAATTTCCGTTTTCTGCCATGTTTGATTTCTGGAAAAATTAAAATCTCGCAAGATCTCGATCCATGCGAGAAAAAAAACATGGCTTTCCCCATAGATCCCGGCCAGATTCTTTTGTAGTAGAATCAGTAGCTCAATAATTATTCCTCAAGATGAGACACCAGAAAATTTCAAATTTTAAAATGACGATTGTGTAGCCATTTCTGAAAAATATGAGACAAATCATACCTGATTTGAAGCGTTTTGTTAATCTCTAACCTTTTTATCACCAATGACCGTTATTCAAGCAATACTGCGTTGATAAGAGGCCAAAACAGTGATATTTTATCGCCGGATTCTCGTCTGTCCAAATCTGAATGGAGCTCCCGTGGTTCCAGAAATGTGACGTCATCAGTACAATGATATTTGGACACACAAGAGTCCGGAACTAGTGAAAAATATTTGCCGTATTAAAAGTCAAATCACTTCGTCCATAGGTTATTTACTTGAACCAATCAAGTAGAAATAGAAAGATGAAGATCTCCGCTACAAATCAAGTACAAAATCAGTCACGGGGAAGGTACCATTTTATATAAGGAACGTTTTGAAAGGTGGTCACTTTTTTTTAAAATTTTCCAATTGAGTGACGCATCTTCTGTAATATTCTTTGAGCCTATGAGATCCTACTACAAAACGATCTGGCCAACATCTGAGGCTTTCCCCTAACCAAACTCGTCTGGGCCATTTATTTACTCCTCACATCGTAGATCTGGGCCAGACGAGGTCCAATGCAAAAAAGGGGGATTTACTCCGGAAAAAACATGTCGCTGAATCATCACTTATTTTTTATTCCCTATTAGCCATCCAACCAAAACATTGGGCACCATCTAAACCCAAGTATTTATTTGAAATAAAGAGTACATAACTTACACGTAAATGTGGTGTTTTGTTTGTTATATTGATGTTGAAATGGGCACAACATTTCGTCAATATTTCTTCAGTTCTCCGCAGCCGAAACTTCTCGATATTCTACGAGATCACCAACAGATTGCAGAAGAATTTTTCTTTTTGCTGCGTTTAATCATTTCGTTCTTATTATTATATTATTATTTATTAGCCGTCATCCAGCGATGGAAACCTAATATAAATACAAAGTTTGATACAAGGAACAAATACGTAAGTGACTTTTATGATGTTTATTCATTTATCAGCACGTATTATACATTGAAAAACCAGTGTGTGTTTTCCGGAGTAAATCGCCCCTTTTTGCATTGGACCTCGTCTGGCCCAGATCTACGACATCGGGAGTATATAACTGGGCCAGACGGGTTTGGTTAGGCTTCCCCCAAGATCGGAAATTAGAGCAAATAAACAACAAGGTGTCGAAGTTACCCCACATGTCGAAGTTACCCAAAAATGGTGTCGATGTTACACCCTTTCGCCCTAACCATGGGCTTCTATTGAATGCCCATGATATAACAGAAAAACTAAGTTTGGTCACCTTTAAATGGGATCCACATATACACATTTTTATACCTTAAAGGCAGAATCAGATCTATAGGGGGTGACAAAATTACAAGCAACATGTATAATTGACCTACCAATCTATTCCTTACAATATCAAATACAATATCTCCCAAAAGATTCACAATATGTTATAAATTGGTGAAGTTATTATTATGATTCAAAGTGCAAAAATGGGTGAAAAATGTTTAAATTCTCCTAAATAATAAGAATGGTAACCATAAAAAATAATACATTATTGTAAAAATCTTTACTTTTCCTGGGGTAAAGTATGCACTTCTGTGATTTTTAGAAAATAGACATGACAAGGAATGACATGAGCCAAAAATATTTTAAAATTGAAACAATTTTTTGTTTAGCCTGCTCGCTATATCTGATTCTCTCTTTAAGGTACAGCTGGAAAATAACATTTTGGTTATCTGCTTTGATTTTCATAATATGTACTGAAATAATGGCAAATAAGCTGAGAAAAAATGACAAAATTAAAGGAATTAAAATTGACAAAAAAGAAATAAAAGTAATTCAACATGCAGATGATACCACCCTCACATTGTCAACTAAAGAATCTATTCGCGAAGCACTTAAAGAAATAAATAATTTTTCTGAAATATCTGGACTTAATTTAAATATGGGCAAAACGGAGGGAATATGGTTAGGTAACTTAAAAGGTAATGGACATCAATATGAAAATATTCATTTTGGAGTAGAACCTGTAAAATGTCTGGGAATATTTATTGGAAATGACAAAACTTTGTGCAAAGAAAAAAACTGGGACAACAAGATCAACAATTTTGAAAAACTCTTTGAATCATGGAAAAAAAGAAAACTGACCCTCTTTGGCAAAGCACATGTGATTAACACTCTTGGAATTTCAAAATTAGTATACAATTTAAGTATTCTAGATGTACCCGATGATATTGTTAAAAGAATCAATAAAATTATTTTCGGTTTTCTATGGAAAAAGGATTGGGTAAAACGAAATACTTTAATTGGAAATATACTTGATGGGGGAATTAATCTGGTAGACATTCAATGTAAAATTGATGCTTTAAAAGCTGCATGGGCACCTCGTATTAAAACAACAAACACATCGGTTAAAATAATTCCAGAATTTATCATAAATAAGCTTGGTTTTACAATAAACGATTTTTACAAAACAAATTTTGACGAAAATGTTAAGATTTTAGATCACTATAAGTTCTACAAACATGTCTTTTGTGCATACAATAGATGTAAGGAAATAGAGAAAAATAAACATCCTGGAACAGAAGTTTTATGGCTAAACAAACGGTTTTTATGTAGGAAAGAAACTTTGTACATGAAAAATTGGATAAATGCAGGTTTTATTTATGTCAAGGACTTTTTTGACGAGAGATAATCTCATTGATGAGAAAACTGTTTTGTTAAGATTAAAGAATAAGCAAAATTGGATGACCGTTTTTAAGAATTAGACTTGTAAAATATGAGAGTAAACAAAGTATGAAAAGGCATTCAAACTCTTTCCTATTTAGAAATGACAAATATGAAAACCTTGAGAAATTAAGTTCAAAGTTCTTTTATAAAATCCTATTGAAAGATAAATTTATTAGACCAAAGATGGAAGCAGATTCAGAACGATAGAATCACTTTTAGAAATATACAAAAACAAGATAAATAATTTCTTAACCTGCGGAAAACTGGTAAATAAGTGGAATATGAATGTACCAAAAGAATGTAGTGAGTGTAATGTTGTACAAGACATTAGACATTTATTATATGATTGTGTGTTAATTAAAAATCTATGGAATATTCTAAGTGAAACACTAAAGGTGGATATTACTTGGAAAAATATACTTCTGGGGTACCAAAGCATGAACAGCAAATTAGAATTTAGAATGTTGCTTTACACAATATTGATGAAATGTATTCATGAAATTTGGACAAAAAACTCAGACAATCCAACTCAATATAAACAAGCAAATTTTAAATCGAAAATAGCATCTAAATTAAATATTTATGAACACATTTTTAAACTGCAAGGAAAAGTAAATATTGCTCATGATTTTAAGAAAATTATAAATGCCTTTGCTACTTACTAAGATTGAATGGATTTTATGGACTTTTACTATTGTATAAGGATCAAAATTTTGATAGAGTATATAATGCTGTGAAAATCCTATTTTACTATTGTATAAATTCTAATCCAGGATATATGTATATTTCCGTTTGTGCATAGTTTTATTGATTTAAGTATTGTTTGTGTTTATGTATTTTGCGTTTATGTTTTTTTGAATAAATATTTTTATAAAAAAAAAAAATTTTGGTTAAAAATAGCTATACCTGCACATGCTATTTTCGGGTACACTATAAAGTATGAAGGCATGTGTTGATTTCCTTGCTTTTTTCAGGAAAGTATCATTACATTGTCTTCTTTTAGTATATCTGGTAAGATGTCAATGGGAACTCCAGGAAATTATGATATTTTACACTTTCTATTTTTCCAAATTTTCTTTCAAAGTTTTCAGACAACACAGGAGCTACCAATGACCTGTTTCCAGGTTTACCAAAAATAGACAATGTAATGATACTTTCCTGAAAAAAAGCAAGGAAATATACACATGCTTTCATACTTAATTTTGTACCAGAAAATAACATGTCCAGGTATAGCAATTTTTACCAAAATGTTACTTTCCAGCTGAGCCTTAACTCTGAAGATATGATCTATTAAAGATATATATGAAATAAAGAATACATTGCAAGGTCAGATGTACATTTAGCATGGCATTGGCATTTTATCCTTCATTATGTCAGACTGAAGTCCCCCCCCCGTCACACTTTTACATTACCAAACACATTTGATAAATTATCTTTTCAGGAGGACTTAGCTTTCAAACAAAAACAGCGAGAAGAACAGAAGGCAATGGAAGCCATGAAAAACAAGGCTGCTAAAGGTGGCGCCCTATGTAAGTACACTGCATGTTGCAAACCCAACTTCATTAAAATATTTATTTATGTCAGAAGATGTAGTTCTGTCTTGAACAATTGATATTAGATACATATTGTATATATAAAATGTTTGAAAAGGTTAAAACTAGGGAAACGTTTAATGGTTCAGTGTATGGGTTTCCAAAAAAAGTATTAAGAATGCTGAAATTCATTACTAGCCCATATCTTCTCAAAAGGTCACTGGGACTGGCGAAATGTGTTTTCAATAGCAGCTGCTCACATTTCCGGGTTTCTTGGTTTGAGAGTCAATGGCAAAATTGGCACTGAGAGAAACTTCGACGTGTTCATATTGAAAAATTAGCTATTCTTTTCCTTTTGATATTTGTATGATTGATGTTATTGTACAATTGTAAGTTAATTTAAAAGGAAAATAAATGTTATTTAAAAAAAAAAATCCTTTTGATATTGTCAGATGTACAGTGGTTTGTGAATACAGTACATTTGTTAACAATTTGTTTTTTCTATTTTCAGCGTCGGGTGGCATCAAGAAATCTGGCAAGAAATGACGAATGAATAAATCTCCAAATATTGACAATAAGTTTTATTTAAATTATACATGGATCTGTTATACGTCCTACGGTAAATTAGTTAAAGACTTTTCTACACAACACAAGAGCTGGTTTCTTTCTGGTTGATGTCTTGGATTTGTCTATCCATATCAATTTAAAAACCCAGACGAAATATAGTGGACATTCCATTGTAAATGGAAATTTTGATACCAATAATGAGTTCATACCACAACTAGAATATGGATTATGTATTAAGCATTGAGATCTCAATTTTTACTTATCTTCAATGACTCAAGATCATGTTGTGAAAACCAATTCTTGTGCCCGAATAAATGTGTGTATGTATTGTGTAATGATTTGTGCAGTTTAGTCTTTGGTTAAGATGTAATTACAGTGATATCCAATGGATTTTTTCTCAAGTGGGTGCAAAATTCTTAATTTCTCAATTCAGACCAAAATTGGTCAAAATATGCCAATTTTCATGATTTTTCTCATTTTCAAGTGGGTGCAAATGAATTCTCAGCTGGGTGCAAGCTATAAAAATCTCAGGCGGGTGCTGCGCCCACTTGCTTAAAGGCTGGGGAGATCATATAATTATCCCACCAAACAAAGTTGGAGTAGGGATATAGAGAAGCCTTTTGATTGTCCAACTGTTCATGTGTTCAGTTGATAACCAAAAGGATTGACTCCAACCATTCCTTGCCGACTCTTTGAAATCATGACCTTGACCTCGTATTTTTGCAAAATGTCATGTGATTCATAAGTGACAGCTTGCAAAATGGAGTATAGGACCAATTGAGTGATGCCTTGTTACTTTGTTTGTCATCTTTTTACAAAAAATGTTTAGCCTGGAGATGAATATTATAGTAGTATTACCAAATTGTTCCAAGCCAGGTAAAAAAGTTTGGGAAAAAATCTTGGTTGTCTATTCTCTTGAGTGATAACCCAAAAACCAGTCAGTAGATTTGGATTGAATTTTATAACCTGGTACTTTTGGTGATAGGATCTTTACTTCAAATGAAATTACCAATACTCCTAGCCTTAACCCTAGAAGCCCTAAGGTAAAAATAGTCACACGAACACCTAAGGGGGGGTCAAAAGGGCACCCCCCTTGTAAAATTTTTATTAGTAGAGCTAGGATGTTCAAACTTTTTCCACATATACTTCATTCAATTATCTACAACTTGGTATAAAGGTTTTAACAACTACGATGATGTGAGATTGCGTAATTTTAATCTTAAGACAACACGTATGGTAGAATTAGTGCTAGCTTTTTTCTGATTTTGTCTATTGGAGCTGATGATTACATCATAATAAATAAATAACAAATTAGTAAAGCTAGGATGTTCAAACTTTTACCAAAATATACTTCATTCAATTATCTACAACTTGGTGTAATAACTTTAACAACTATGATGATGGAAGATTGTGTAATCTTATTCGAAAGATAACCCGTATGGTAGAAATAGTGCTAGCTTTTTCCGATTTTGTCTATTGCAGCTGATGATTACATCATAATAAATCAGTAACCCTATGTACAATTCTGCTGATTTTTTCAGAAAACATGTCTTATATCAGTAGCTTTAGCTACTGAAAATTTGAAGACCCTACCAGATGCCAATAAAAAGTTATGGGGAAAAAACTTAACGGGGGGGGGTCATTTTGACCCCCCCTTAGGGCTTCTAGGGTTAAAGGAATTCAAGCATAAGATGGACAAACCTTTCATTTCCACCTTACGAGTACACATATCGGCAACAAAATATACAAAAAGGTCACTACATTCACCAAAAATATTAAGAACCTCAACAAAATCATCTCCTTTTACTAAACTTTGGAAATTTTCTGTTTACCTGTTTTTGGAAATTCAAAGCATTTTTCTATTGTGAGCGAGATTGTTACGAGTCAGTGTTTGCTTCCAACATTATACTCTTGCTTTGAAACCGGAAAAATTATGATTTGAGACTTGTTTCACATCTACATGAGGAAACAAAATACTATGCATCTATTCATACAGTCTGGTAGACATGCAAGTAGTGACATCTTTAAATCATTGCAGATGTTATTTGTGTTAAATGTACATGTTGGTTATTGTTGACAGTGTTTGTTCAGCATCGGTTGAGTAAACATGTTTTAAATATCCTTGACTATTCAGCCTAATGATTCACTTAAATGTGACAAAATGGTTGAAGTACAGTGTGTAAAAAAAGTCATAAAAATGTGTGCTTAGAATACCACCATATAGCTTTTAGGAAAAATATTATTATGCTATTTAAGTTTAGAATCCCCAGTGTGGATATAGGTATTGTGAGGTGTCAATATCAAGAAATGTTATAATAATGTCTAACCATCCCCCCTCACCCATGCGATTGTTCATAATCATACATCAGGACATAAATGGTTAATTAACAGCAATTTGATATATAAACCCATTTATTGCCCTCCAAAAAAAATTGTTAGGCTATATTGAATTTGATGGGAAGGTGAGGAGATTACTTGATACACTCCCATATTCTCAAAAGGTCGAAAGAATGCACACTTGATATACAGATATACATATACTACAATGTGATGATAACAGATATTGTAGAATGCAATTTTATTCAACTTCAGATAAGCACATTAACACTATCTTTTGCCATTGTTATTCTACTATGTATACACATTGACCTCTGACATGCATGTGACTATGTGTATTACTGTAATGAAAACCAGGATAAATTGAGGAAGTTGGATCAGATACCGGCAACTAAAACTAAGTGCTGTCTTGTGCAGTTATTGAGTAAATAGAGATAGCTGAGAATATAAAGTGCCACTGTCAAGAAGCAAATCAGTGATATTATTAATAAGTTAATATAAGGGGTGCCATAGTAAAAGATGTCTGAGAATGAGAAACAAGGCCTACTGACTGGACCACAGTCTCAAGTTCCTGGGTAAGTTGTGTTTTTTGTTTTTATGTCACCATTTTCAGAATTGGTGACATATTCTTATAGTCTCATTCTTTCAGTGTACTGCATTTGGTGTTCTGTGTTTAGTGTCTGTAACAAATGGGAGGTGGTGACATTTTGCATGTTAACGTCTTGTTTTTAACTTAGTATATTTTGAGCATCTCAAGTAAGACACTAGATCCTGGGGTGAAGTTAAGGCCACAGTACGCTCAGCTCAGTCTAGTTCTAAACTAATGGGAGTGAAGTTAAATGAAAGAGTATGGTCATTCTAGTAGTGGGTCTCTCCCCCCCCCCCTTTTTTGTGAGCCTAAAAAATTTTTGGCTCAAAATTTTTGTAAGGCCTCTAAAAATGGGCCTTTTTGGGCATATGGCCTTTAAAGGCCAAATTATCAAAAATGGGCCTTAAGTTTTCAAAAAGTGCATTCCCTACTACATCCTGATGAGATTTTACATTGGTGGCAAACCTCAGATCTTAGGTGACCTTAACCTTCTTAGAGAAATATTCTGGAATGGGGTTAAGATATTTTGTCTGACAAATCTTATACATATGTATATTCCAACTTAGATGGAAAAGGGGCAAAAAGTGAGATGAGATCACCCCCTGCCCCAGGTAGCCCATCCCTTTGATGAGGAAGTATAAAGGGATCCCCATTTATATAAATTATACATGGAAATCCTATCTGTAATCAGGAAGAATCACTGCAAGTTTATGGTTAATATCTCACTTATTAACAGCTTGTACCATTATCAATGTTGTTATGATCTTTTATTGCACATTTTGAGTAGATTTTAATTAAGGTAGTTGCCTGGATCTACTTCATGATGAAAAAACCTTTATTTACAAATAACTTTTTATGGCTAAGTCAGATTAGTCTGTATCAAGTCACTAAAGAAAATATGACCTGGCAACATAGAAAATTAGCACATTATCAATGTAGAGGGCTTTGCATTAAAGTGGTATCAATCAACATATAGAGTTTCACATATATGCATCTATCAGCTCAAGGTCATGGTGTTTTCAGCATGCAGTGTTGTGTGTTACATTTCCTGCTTCTAAGAAGTTGCAACACACCACTGCAATAAGTGTTTATAGTGGGATTCAGTAATTTCTCAGAGATTGAAGTGTTGGATCTATATTTGAAGTTTTGGTCTTATCAAGGAGCTGCTGTACTTTATGATTTGATATATCTGAGATTACATTCCAAAGATCATAAAACAATATTGATATTTGGCAATATTGAGTAAGTGAACATTGGAATAAAGATGGACCCAAATGCACAGAGGTAAGTAAATGTTCTATTTTCTAGGTCATCATTCGGAACAACAAGTGGAAATAGATCGCCAAATGATTCATTGTTATCATTTTTATGTTACCACCTATTTTGTGGATGATGGTTGGTCTTTGATATCTGTAACATGGCATCTGTAACAAGTGGCAGGTTGTGACATTTTGCATTTGAATGCCTTGTTACATTTTCCTATGAGGGTGGTGATGTGGGTCATGACATGAGTTCATTCTAATGTTCTATTGGAAAGTAGTGGACCTAATTGCCAATGGCTGCCTGGGATACTGAAAATCACCAACATCCCTAAAATGAAGTTTGAGTGATGTCTTTAAATACAATGCTGAATATGGTTGATACACATGTCCAGTTTTATACATGACATACACTCTAACATTTGTTTCAGATATGGTGCACCACCCCCTTCAGGTTATCCTCCCCAAGGTGCTCCACCCCAGGGGTATCCAGGACAAGCTCCGCCCCAGGGATACCAAGGACAGGCTCCACCCCAGGGATATCCAGGACAAGCTCCACCCCAGGGATACCCAGGACAAGCTCCGCCCCAGGGATATCAAGGGGGCCCACCACCTCAGGGAGGTTACCCCCCTCAAGGAGCCCCAGCAGGTGCTGTACCCCCAGCAGCTGGCCAGGTTGAACAAGGTTAAGTATGTTCATATTTGTACATGGCAACACAAAAACATGACCATATTTGGGAATATAAGTATTATGTTATATGATCATATGGGTGTGGCTTTTAGAAATAAGTTGCGCAAAGAATAACTAAAAAGTATAATACAGTGATATTATTTGATACATATAAGCAAGTCAGGATGACATATACTTTACATATGGTTTGGAGTGTGATCCAATGGGTCAAGGTAGGATCCAATTGATAAAATACGATTCTATGCATTGAAGTAAGATTTATGGATTAAAATATGATCCAATAAATTAAGATATGATCTAATGGATTAAAATACATGTAAGATCCATTGGGAAAAGTATGATCCAATGGATTCAACTATGAACATAATGGAAAAGTTGCTACCTTGCACTTGGTTGACTGAACCTCAATTTTAATGATGTTCATAATTTCAGATAGTATACCAAGTGCCCCTCCAATTGAGAAAATGGACCAGATTGCGGGTTATGAGAATGTTGCATCACAGGACCCCCTTCCTCCACCCAGTTATGAGGAGGTGACCAGAGCTCCCCCACCTACTGATAGACAGATACCAAGGTAAGACACCCTCTGTCCACACTGTTACAAAGGTAAACCCCCTCCCCACTAATAGACAGTTATCAAGGTTAGACTCCCTCTGCTCACAAAGTTATGAAGACATGGCCAGATTCCCACCAAATCCCCACCCCACTAATAGACAGTTATCAAGGTAAGACCCCCATCTGCCAATGCCCACGCAGTTATGAATGTATGGCAAGAGCTCTGTAACCCCCTCCCTCTTCCTCCTGAAAAGGTTTCTATACAATACATAGTAGTGGAGTAGTTCATCAAGCTCCTTAAAATAAGTACACATGCATGAAGGGTGAATACTATAAATCGTGAAAGAAGTACATTTACAAGTGCAGTTGCTCATGAGGCAACAAATCCCGATATCGCAAGCAATTACCTCATGTACAAAGAAATGGTGTCTACTGTCTGATGCCCCCCCTCCCCCCCCTACCCATCAGTCATGTATGATTTTGATAATTATTAATTGATTTCCACTTTGTCAGCTAATCTCATTTAACTATCAATAACTGTTTGCCTTCTATTTCTGCACCTACTCTTACTTGATTCAGTCAGCCTATACCCATGTAGGCAAAGGGTAGCATTTTAGACCTCAAGTGCCCACTGATTGACTAAGGAATTGATTTTGTGTTTATTTGCAGTGCTTCTGTGATCACTGCAGAGCAGGCCAAAGAAGCATACATAGACTTTACTTCAGAACATTGTTGTTATGGGTCATCGGGGGCTAAAGACAGTAGCATTGTAGACTTGAAATCATCAAGTGCGTTCCATGTAAGTTACCATATAAATACATGTAACTACAATTTTAAGGCTTCGTGTACAATATTTGCTTGTTTTTTCAGTGGGACAATAAAAAGGTATTTTAACATACCACAGTTTTTTGCATATATTTGCTTTCATAGATACAAGTAACAATTAACTTATGTGTCAAAGTTGTAAATAAGGGCCAAATATTTACTTCATCGATTTTTTCACCATACAGTATATATTTTTGTGACTTTCATTTTCGTTTGGCATCTGTAACCAATTGTTACACTTTATTAACCATTTGCAATAACTTACAAGTTTGTTACATTTTGCAGTACACCCTGGAGACCTTTGGTGAGAAAAGAGTGACCACGTGGGCCCAGGAACCTTATAATGGTGAGTTTAATGTTTTATGATTATTCAGACTCTCAGTTGGATTCAATAATTTTGGAATTATTTTTGGAAGGATACATATGAGATTATTCCAGTTAAGTTCAAAATACCTATGGACAGCTATTGACATCAGCTTTTGAAGCAATCATCAGTTTTTAGATTTTCAACAACAAAATAACACTTAATGAAACTTGGCTCCACTGTCTCTTCTGTTCCAAATGATTCCACTTTCTTTGAAGACACACTCACATGAGCACATATAAGCAAAAATATTTTATTTTCATTTTCATCCTTTGATGTGAGAATTTATTGCATATAATTTATACTGTTGTGTTCTTTCCACGTAAGGTCAACCAATCGATGGACCGCAAAATGGGCCAGCCCCAGGTCCTTGGGATTTACAAGTGATGGCATCAAAGAACTTCCAAAACAGCAAATCTGATATTGAGGTTCCTCATACTGCATCTGTGAAGGTCAGTGGAATGTAAAGAAATAAACCTGTTAAAGTGGAAGACATTTATTTAGTTCCTCAAAATAGTTTTCCATGCACATGTTCCACTTACAAAGGTTACATAAGATTGTGGTAGCTGCTTAAATTCAACTGGCGGCTGACGGATCAATCTACTTTTTTGTGGACAGCTATTAAAAGTAAAATCACCCATTAAATATAATGTGATAGTATTTGAAAATATGGAAATGATTTCTGTGCTAAGGGCTAAAAAGGGCTACTTTGGTGAGATTTGAACTCATGATCACAATGACATTTCATAAAAATGTACCATAATGTATGTTTAAATATGGAATATAAAGTATATTGGTTGCCTTTACCATGAAACTATCGTGTGGATAACATTAATGTTTTTCCATTTCTCGTATTGCAGCCCTGTCATACTTGTGTTGGGAACTGTAGAGTGAGGTGCAATCACTGTCATGGTAGGGGAAATGTAAGTACACAAGCACTCTATTTCTTAGTACGGTAGCACTTTACTTTCAGTACATGAGCACTCTACATCTAAGTATACCTGGAGAATCCAGAATTAATTTATATGTTTATATTTTATTTTTTATATTTTAAGTTAAATTCCCATTGCAATGGTACATATCTTGTAAAGGGCTTAGACTAAGAGCATTATATACCTATATGTTTTATCTTGTTTAGAACCGATGTACTTGGTGCCATGGCAATGGACACAACAGAGTGTATGAAGATGGTCGTCACCACAACAAACCCTGTCACCATTGCAACAGAAGTGGCCAGCAAAGATGCAATTGGTGCCACGGTCACGGCCAAGTCAAGTGTAAAACATGTGATGGCAAAGGAAACCTAAAGTGTTACATCAAATTGACAGTAACTTGGTAAGCTAAATGCTATCTTTATATTGGCCTAAAATATTTTTGAAATGCAAAATTTGAATACTCCTTTCTTTAAAGTCCCCATAACACAATGTTACATATCACATATATTTACAAAGATATGTTTAACACCTGTTTGCATGTTTTCATTTAAAACTATATGTACATGTAAAACATATGATTTCAGGTTGATGGACTTAATATGTACGTTAACATGTACATAGCATTTATACGAGTGTTAAGATGAGAACAGTAAAACCTGTCAAAGTGGAACACCTTTGATACATCTAAAAAGGTTCCAGTTTGAAGGTGTTCCACGCATGTGCATTTAATATTATGTCAGTTGCGACTCTGAAAAGTGTTCCATTAACAGAGGTGTTCCACTTCTAGATGTGTTCCAATTTACAGGTTTCACTGTACATTTATCACATGATATTATTGCAGGACTAATCACTACGATGACCACATAGTGGAGAGAACTGCTTTACCATCTGAGCTGATTAGAGGGGTAAATGGACAGACTGCCTTTGAGGAAGAACTACCTAGGGTAAGAAGAGTTCACATTTGCCCATGGCTAATTATGAGAAAGCAAGAATGCAAATGAAAAAACAATATTGTGTTAGGCTATTTGTATGTCTAAGATATATTGGCATATTAATTAGCACCCATTTTTGTTTGTAATTTTTTAATTTTTATCATGATTGTTCAGAAGCAATGTACATATACATGCAGATTTATGTATATATATTATGAGATAGATAATGTTACCTAGTAACCCAGATTAATGGTTTGATGACTGAAAGAACCTGTTAATTTTCTGAGATTGTGTTATCAATACTTTTTTCTATCCCATCAAACATAATTTGATAGGGATGTACAGAAACTGTCCAGGGAGTCATTAACACTACCTTCAAACTGACGTCCACTTTTTTCTTAATATTACGTCATTATATCCATGGTTACTAGCTTACTACATTTGATAGAGGAATTCTTAACTTCACCAAGCTTCTTTTGATGATCCCTGAATGAAAATGTTTGACCCACCCATGCTCAATTTTGAACCAGGGTTACCTGCTTTTTTAAGAACGATGTAGATTTAATTTTCAACAGTGACTTGTTTAATATTTAATGTAATAGAAAAAGAGACCTGGATCTCTCAAGTAATATAATTACTGTAGTCTTTTCACAGATTATATATTTAAAAGTTGTTCGTCATAAAGTCTAATGAAGTATTGCATGGATGTAGCCAGGTATTGTGAAGTCGAGGAAACTGCCTTTAATTACTGTTCCACACTTGGATGACTCTAACTACAGTTAGTATCATTCAAGATGGTGGCCCAAATTCTTTCGTTTTGGATAAACCAACGATTTCAGCTAAACTAATTTGAATCTGGATTCCAAATGTTTCGCCATGTAAACTGATTAAGTTATGATTGTAAACAATCACAAGAAAACTTTCAAGAACCAGCAATTTTGGAAAAATTTAAAGAAAACGGTCTCATTTAGAATGACTCTAACCTTGGGCTTTCAAGAGTCAATTTCTTTAATTGTTATAAACATTTAAGGTAGTTCTGCATTTTCAGAAAATATTTGTTCAAGAGTTAAAAGCCCATGCTCTAATTGAACTTGATGATGACGTAGAAATGACACTTCATCTTCAAGTTCAGTTTGAGTCATTCTAAGTGAGGCTGTTTTCTTTAAATTTCTCCAATATCACGGGTATTTGAACATTTTCGTATGACTGTTTACAATCCTAACTTTATTAGTTTGCATGGCGAAACATTTGGAATCCAGATTCAGCTTAGTTTTGTTGAAATCGGAGGTTTATCGAAAACGGAAGAATTTTGGCCACTATTTTGAATGATACTAACTGCAGTTCGAGTCATCCAGCTTTGGATTAAAACAATAATTTCATTCAAAAAGTAATATTCAGATCACTTTTGTATAAACTGAAAACACACCCATGTCTTCATACTTAATTTTGAACCAGAAAATAACATGGATAGGTTCAGTAGTTTTGTCAAATATATCTCTACCTTTACAACAAATTACATGTATGTGATTATTTTACTGACGACAATTTCAAGATCAATTGGACATCAACACATTTCTAGATACAGTTATTTGTAATTATTAGGTGACTCATATTATTCACATATTTTTAAGATATCTATATTATATTAAGAAAATGAAAAATCCTAAAACTAAATAATTATGATATATTAATCTCAAACTGGCATTTTGAAAAAAAGTTAAAAATAGTATTGAATGAATCTAAACTGACAATGGAAACATCAAGAAAATGAAAAAAATAAAGCTGACCAAAGTCCCCTACTATTATCTTTTATCACATACACTCACCTGTTTGTAATAAACTCTAAAATTGATGATGTAATTGGTACGATGACGTTCAATGTTTCATAACTGACATGTTTGCGTAAAGATAGATTGAACATTGAGAGAGCAGTCAAGCAGCATGGCATTCACCAAAAAGGAACAGAAAAAATTATTCAAATTTTAAAATGAAAGGACAAAATGAAAATTAAAAATATTTAGATTAATTGAAGTTATTCTGTTGATGGAAATTAACTAGCAAAATGAACAGATCAGATATAGATTTATTCAGTGAATTTGAAAAGGCAAATGTTTTATCACCTGAGAGCAGGAGAACATTTGAAGAGGTGATGAGGAAGAATTATCTGGATAATCCTATCGTCAAGCTACCTCTGGAATTTATTATCCTAAACCATGCATTGCATTGCTTGACACTAATCATCGGAACTGGATTGAATGTTATATTACTTATAACAGTTAACATATCGGGAGATTTCCAATCGAAAACGGAAAAGATGACAACATTAATATCATGGGTGACATTATTTATGTGTGTTCTAGCTCCGATTCTAGGCATAGCGAAGTTCTCAACATCAGGCTCTGATGTGGTTGTGTCGTTGTGTACGATACAATCAGCGGTGTGTAACTTTAACCAGGGATTCCAGGTGTGGACAGTGATGTTAATAGGCATGTTAAGATACCTACAGGTTATGTATCTTGATAGAATGCAGCGGATTCCCTGCCACAGAGTAATCCTACTCTGTATCTCATCAGCCATCTTTGTTGGGCTCGGGGCTACATTTCGTATCAACATCGCAAGCCAGGAGATTTCTTTATGGTCTATTGGCTGTCACCTTGATGATGACACACAATCAAAGCAGCTCCCGATTTTGGCGATTATCATTCCATTTTGCGTGACTCTTATGATATTAACATATTGTATGATATGTTACAAGACTTATCATCACAAGAGACGAGTTCACGTTCGCGTGATTCAAGTACGCAGCTATTCTTCAGTCCCTATCTCATCCCCTGTACCAGTGATTAGTTCCAACTACAGACCTGACATCTCAGCCTGTCACACAATCCTCCAGATTTTGCTCATCTATTGTGTGCAGTACATATTAAGCCTCGCTCTGTGCCTATTGGAGACATTTAGTATGGACAGTGAGCTAAGAGCTAAGGTGTTCTGTCTAATAGTACCAGGGATCTCGCTTCTCTTCAGCACATCTAACCCAGTTGTGTTTCTGATTACCAGTAAACACTTCAGAAAACGTTTAGTGTATAATTTGAGGATGTTTTGGTTATATTTGACATTTGCATGCCTTGAACAAGATCAGGTTGAATCAGAGCCTGCTAGTCCATTAGGATTTCAACTGCCTTTTAGAAATGCTAGTCCATTAGGTGCAACTCCAGAGTTAATGGAAACTCGATTTTAGCTGTTTCTATACAGTAGAGTTATCTTGAGTGTATAGTTAGGTTGCTTCAATTTGCAAGTGTGCTCAATTGTGCATGTGTGACTAAATCTGCAATCATGCTCAATGGGGAAGTTTGCTTAACTGTGCCGAAATGAACAAGTAAGCTTAAATGTGCATGTGTGACTAAATCTGCAATCATGCTCAAATGGGGAAGTTTGCTTAACTGTGCCCAAATGAACAAGTAAGCTTATATCTGCATGTGTGTTTAAATGCACAAGTGTGATCAAATCTGCATGTGTGCTCAAATGTGCAACTGTAAGTGTGCTCAGATGTGCAAGTGTGCTAAGATGACTGGCAGACAACTGGTAGGGCTACAAGGAACATGTATCAAAATCATGTATTAAATGATATCAATTTGACAAAATATGAAAATAAAAAACTAAAATAAATCAAATACTTATGAATATATTTGTCAGTTTATGTATGTTAACCCCCCCCCCCCTGTCATGATAGATATCTCAAAAAAAGGCTAAAGTACTACATCATTTGAACTAAACATGTTATACATGTATTCACATTTGAATATATACATGTATTCACATTTGAATATGTCATAAGTTCCCTTATTACCTAACTACCTATAAATATTGCTATATATACACAGTTTATTATTACAATCTGCTGTGATAGGTACCCTCTAAGTTATTAACAGACTTCATTGTCATTCATTATTACATTAGGTGTTATAAAATAACAAGCCTTATTGTGCTGTTTGGATTGATCTTGTATTGGTTCTTGAATTTTCTAGAAGACTTATGATAATTTTATGGTTTTAGCAGTTCTATATCTGGCAGAAATTCACCCAGAAGGCCAAGAAAAAATTATGTTTGTTTCTCTGTTGTTTTTTTGCTACATGACAGTGCATGTATGTTTATTTCTGAATAAAAAACTCACAATATTTTTGTCAATATTTGTCTCATTCCTTTAAAAAAGTGCAGAAAAATCAAGCAGAATTAATGCAAAAATGGGCATTTTCACTTGCAGAATTCCTTATTTCAACTTGTAGAAAATGAAATTGGAATGAGTAATACACAGAGTGAGTACATGAAACAAGTATGAAATATTTCATTGAAATGTACCAACAACTACAAAGTGGATGTGCTCTCTCTCTACTATTGTTTCAACTTAATCCCTTTGTACCATGAAAGACACAGTTTAACAATATGCCTGATTATAACACACACCATAATAACACTGCATAATGTAACGAGAGCGATATCGATAAGGAAGTATTGAAGGAAGTTCAGGTTGTGCATGGCGTTTGATCTCAGGTGTTTTGCCCCTCTGTGTCGCATCACATACTCGCTCCAGTATTGTATGGTGTAGCTTGCATTCATTGGTTGATCCCTCATTAGTTCTCTGGCCTTCAATGCATTTTCTTTATACACAGGGTTATGTAGTACTTCCTCCAGAGCTGTTGATAGGGTCTGTTTTGTGATGTCATTGATTGAGATAGTGATTCCCATATTGTGACGTTTGGTCAAAATGGTGCAATGTTGACGCTGGTCATAGAAAAGGGATAAGCCTATTATAGGTGCGGCATTATAGATTGCCTCAGCAGACCCCGAGGCCCCACAATGGGTCATAAAAACTCGTAACTTTTGGTGTCCTAATAAATCATTCTGTGGATGTGACGATACTATTAATGTGTTGTTGCCTAGTGATTTAGGCAATGGACCACCATATCGCCATATGACTCGTTGTGGTAACTTTGCGAATACGCTCGCAAGAACTTCTCTCCTGTTTTCATCTAAACCTCTGGGTAGAGTCCCAAATGATAATAAGATAAAGCCATGTTCTCCTGCACCATTAATGAACTCTTCAAAGTCCTTTGGCAGTGGTTTAGAAGCCTTGTCCTTTAGACCTAGAACAGGGATGACGTTTGGCATTAGAGGACGTGGGTACATATAAGCAAAACCAGAGTTCACCCAGAGTATATCAGCCTCAGTAAGAGAATCATGGTAGGAAGGCTTTAAACCAAGGACATGTTCATTCTCTTGCATCAAGGTATATTTTAAATGAAGGAATGACTGCCTTTTGTAGTCAGTTAGGAGATAATAGTATGTATTTAGCGCTCTTTCTGTGAAAGTCATCTCATCAGTGTATGATGTCACAAAAAGCGGTATGAATGATGTTGTCGAAGGTACCAACCATTCAAACTGGAACTCAAATCCAGCATTAGACCAGAGAATCGTTGGCAGTTGGAGGTATTCCTTCAGGATTCCACCACATGCAGTGTGAAATGTATCCGTAATCATAAGATCATACTTCGCCTGTTTAAGTCCATTCATAATCTCAACATCTTGTATTAACGCTGTACACACTGGCAATATAAAGTATTCAAAAGCTGAAAACACAAACTCTATTTCCTGGCTAATTGTTGTGTCTATCAAACCTTGAACGCCTCCTTCACTTAAGTCATATGGTGCACCATCGGGGAATCTGTGTCGTATTTCTTTCACATTATTCAGTTGTATTCTGGTCTCATATTTATCATGAGTGAGAAACGTGACATCATGCCCGGCTTGTGCTAAAATAACAGCAATTCGTTCCATTGCATAAGGTCTGGTACATTTGTTCGATGTGTATGGGAACACCAAAATTTTTCCCGCGCTTGTCATACTTGTATTTGCTATTGTCAGCATGAATAAAATCATTGCTTTCCATAGAGTTGCCATTGGTGAATTAACAGATCAGGTAGGATGCATCCAAAAAGTATTTGTCTTGTAACAGGCTTCAGGGAGTAGTGATAAGCTCCACCATTGTGTTTAAATGTGCAAAGATCGGTTAAGTAAGCTGTCCCCAGTTAAGCTGTCCTTGTGTCCTTGTTTCACAGTACAGTTGTATGTTGTACAGTGGTAAGAATATTTCCTATTGGTGGGCCTACATTTGACAAACATAATAAGTAAACAACATTTTAATCAAATGACCTTATTATTGCCTCCTGAGGTCAATAAAAAGTAATGTCAGTACAGTATGAGGTGAATTGTATGAATTACTTTTGTGAAATATAAAAAATGGCTTGAAAAGATAAGAGCTCCTTCACTTGATGGGAGCATGATTTTTTATGGTCTTTTTCTTAAAGTACTTTCCCCTTCATAAGTTTGGCAACAAGTTTTTATGAGATAGTTTATCAAAGCATGTATTTTTTAAAAATGTTTGAATCTTAATTTTCTTTCCAAATTACAAAAGTTCATAAATTTTGTGACAGATTTTATGAATTTTTAAATTACAAATCGTAAAAAGGCTTTGATAAGTGATTCAAAAAAGACTTCTGGTTGCCAGAATTATGGGGGAGAGTGTCTATTTTTTATTAGTAGATATTAAGGTGGTCATGATGAACTATAAAGATATGGTATATCTAGTTTTGTTTCCATCACATTGTTAAAAGTTGTATAAAGACAGCAAACATATTGCATAGTACTATGTTGTTTCTCAACCCTGTCACACAATAACCAATTATTTATGAGAAAAATAATGTATTTTGGCTTCTTAATACTTATACAATATAAAAAATATTTAATATAATATTTTTAAAAAGTAAGATTCATCATTCAACGTTTTCCCCCTTCTTACAAAATGTCCCTATTATCTCTTTATATGGTGTCAAATGAAAAAAAAGAAAAATTGAGAGTGTGACTTACATGTATCATTTTTCATTATTTTTGTTTAATATGAGCAACAGCAAGTATCAGCAAGTATTGTGTATAGGTTATTATTATGTCACCACCAAAAGTGGTGACATATTGTTATGGTCTCCGTTTTTTTTTGGTGGTGACATATTGTTATGGTCTCCGTTTTTTTGCGACGGCGGTTGGTGGTTGGCGTCCGGCGGTTGGCGTCCGGCGGTTGGAGGTTGGCGTCTGTAACAATTTCTTACTTCCTATAACTTAACAAATACTGTTTAGACTGACTTCAATTTTTTTCTAAATCATCTACATGTTCTCAGAAGTTCAAATCTGACTTTAGATTTGACATTTGACCTTCAATGACCTTCTCAAGGTCAAAAAGGTCTTTTTTCAACTTGCTTCACATTGACTAAATTTTTTTTCAAAATCATCTACATGTTCTCAGAAATTCAAATCTGACTTTAGATTTGACTTTTGACCTTCAAATCTGACTTTAGATTTGACATTTGACCTTCAATGACCTTCTCAAGGTCAAAAAAGGTCAAAAAGGTCTGTTTTCCACTTGCTTCAAATTGACTAATTTTTTTTTTCAAAATCATCTACGTGTTCTCAGAAATTCAAATCTGACTTAAGATTTGACTTAAGATTTGACATTTGACCTTCAATGACCTTCTCAAGGTCAAAAAAGGTCAAAAAGGTCTGTTTTCAACTTGCTTCAAATTGACTAAAAAAAATTTCAAAATCATCTACGTGTTCTCAGAAATTCAAATCTGACTTTAGATTTGACTTAAGATTTGACATTTGACCTTCAATGACCTTCTCAAAGTCAAAAAAGGTCAAAAAGGTCTTTTTTCAACTTGCTTCAAATTGACTAAATTTTTTTTTCAAAATCATCTACATGTTCTCAGAAATTCAAATCTGACTTTAGATTTGACATTTGACCTTCAATGACCTTCTCAATGTCAAAAAAGGTCAAAAAGGTATTTTTTCATCTTTCTTCAAATTGACTAATTTTTTTTTCAAAATCATCTACATGTTCTCAGAAATTCAAATCTGACTTTAGATTTGACATTTGACCTTTAATGACCTTCTCAAGGTCAAAAAAGGTCAAAAAGGTCTGTTTTCAACTTGCTTCAAATTGAACAAATTTTTTTTCAAAATCATCTACATCTTTTCAGAAGTTCAAATTTGACTTTACAAGTTCTCAGAAATTCAAATCTGACTTAAGTTTGAACTCATAATATTGTGAGCAACTAGGTGGTGACATTTTGTCATGTTAATGCCTTGTGTTATTATATCACAACCACAAGTGGTGACATATTGTTATAGTTTCCAACTTTTTTGTGGACAGCAGTTTGTTTGGCAATTGGCATCTGTAACAAATGATAGGTGGTGACATTTTGCATGTTAATGCCTTGTATATTGTATGTATGGTATGTGATTGTGTATTGTAGGTGTGGGCTATCAACCACTTCCCTGACCCAACCATCAACCAGGCCTCAGATACACTGGTGAAACGTCATTCTACTGCCTTTCCGACTGAGAGGTTACTGATACAGGTAAGTCAATGGGAATAGTTTTAGATATGGGGGCTGGAATGCAAAAATGTGATCATTTTGGCAAACAAGAAACCTCTTTGTGTATTTCTATGGAGAATTCGCAGAATGAGTTTTAAAATATGCAGAAAAGCAATGGCATAGCCATAGACAAGGCAAATATAAACAGACAAGGTAAATAAAAAGTACTCCAAAGGGGATATGCCCTTATCATTGTATTTCATATCCACAGTTAAAATAGAACAAATGTCCTATGCCTGGTTGTTATGCTCTTGGTATAGTTAAAAAGTCTTGGATTTTTCCAAATATTGATGACAATTCCCAATGATATTCTAACTGATGATTTATTACCTCAATGTATTCATATTTCAAGGTTTTATAACAAATATGGGGCCAAGAAAAAAGTGTTCACATTGAGAGGTGTTCAGATCTACAGATTTCACTAAAAAAAGAAAAAAAGTGAGTGTTCGGATAATCAGGTGTTCATATTTCAAGGTTTTATAACAAATATGGGACCAAGAAAAAGTGTTCACATTAAGAGGTGTTCAGATATACAGGTTTCACTGTACATGTATAAGAAAAAACAAGTACAAATGCTATGTGAACTATTAGGTTAAAAAGGGATTTCAAGTCTAAAATCTTCATTAAACGATCTCACATATCTCCTCACCTATTACATGAACTGCAGAATTTATGAATGTTCATCACAGTTACTGAAATAGATATATTATATTGATTTAAAATATTCATAAATCATGCATATTCATCACATGTAAAACATTATATAAATGTCTTATGTATGGGTTACCAAATTTACCATTTATATTGATAGACTTAAGATTTCTGTCAAAAACCTCTAACGTTGTCAAAATTTTCTCCAAAAGTTTCTCCAGAAAAGTTGATAATAATATCTTGGGATAAAAAGATAGGACAAATCAATCAACCTTACTTTAGTTAAGAAGCTAAATTCCTTTTATTGCTCAAAAATAGAATTTGAATTGTAATAGTTAGGTCACATTGATCATATGTTTTAATAGTTCAATAGTTTTTTTAATTGAATACAAATTATTTGAGCATTATTAATTCTTGTTTTGTGAACAAATTCAAGATCAGCATGCACATCAACAATCAAATCTTGCTGAACTTTTATTGGATACAGTTCATAATTTGATTGACAGATCTATTTTTGCACCTTCCATATTTGGGAGTGAAATTGATGTCCTGTGTTAAAACTCCAAGGTCAGGCTGATCTGGTCACTCTCTAAGACAATTTAAAAACAAGAATATTGACTAAAATTGATCAATTCTAGCTTTATTTTCTCAGTTAGTACATATTTATAGAAAAATTGACCTTTCAAATAATTCTTAGCTATTTGATATCAGTTTATTTGAGAGGTTTTAGTTAAAAAAAATTTAATTGAAATGAGGTTTTTGCAGTTTTTGATAGAACTATTTTGTCAAAGAATTTCTGATGGAAAGGCCTGTTTCATGATCTTCACAAGTTCAGGGGTTCATTTTATGAATTTTATTGTCTTATAGAATAAACATTCAACCAGATGATGATAGGTTTGGCGATTGCAGGATTGAAAGAAGATCCAAATGATAAGAATTTTGTATAATTTCCATGATTGTTATTAACAACACTTAATGATATGGTTAATGTTTTATATTTTTCATTTGGACATTTAGATATTATGGTAGAATACATCCTCTAGAATCATAATATTTCTACCAAACTTTTTAGGAAATGTTACATTAATCTAGGTAACAACTTTTTTTTTGATAAATGGTATCTAATTTAGGATCACATATCTGGAATTGTAAATCCCAAAATTCTCATTCTCTTATGTTATTTAGCTCAAATATTATTGATGTATATTTCTACCTTCTAAAGCATACCATACCATAGATAAGTCAAGGAAATAAAATTCATTTCATGCTTTAATCTTACCAGTAAAATATTAACAATATTTTTCATAAACCTCAAGAAATAAGTTCTAATTATGATGGACCAAAATACAAGAGCTATTAATCAAATACAATACTTTTCTGTGGTAATGAAGAAAGAATGTTTATTACAGTAGGAGCTGTACAGAAGTTCCACTTGGGTGGTGTTCTGCATGGAGAGCCTCATTTTATATACAATGTATTTAGTTTGATAGTGTAGAATGATTTGTAACACACATTGACAGTCTTTCTTACTCTGGGAAGTTACATTTTTCCTTTTTAGTTTCTCATCTCCATATTTTCCAATTCTAGTTTTTCCACATCAGAGGATGCTGGAATGAATATTCAAAAAATATATATCAAAAAGACATAAATATAGTAAGAGGATTTAAAAATTCTTATGCATGGCTTAGGCCAGTTCAAAGGTATCAACTTTTTCACCCACCATAGTTTTGAACAATAATATAGCTTTATTTAGACCCACTCATTGCATGGCCCATGGACTATTTATTATAAGTTCTTTTTTCAACATAAGGATTACTAGCTTTTTTATGAAGAAAAACATACAGAAAAGGTCTTATTGTCATTTAGAGCCCATATATGGTCTTAGGGGTGGTGTCCATAATCAACAGTTGAGGAATAACAAAGTTAATTTCAGTAGGGTGGAGCAAATGATGGTTTCATTAGCGAAAAGTGTTGATTTATTCAATATAAGAAAAACAAATCAATATTTTAAAATTTCATTAGATAAGGAGAGGGGAGGGGGGGTCATACCATAATGAAATTAACTTTATTTTTCAGTGACTATTGATAATTGGACATCATCCCTTATCACAAGAAAATTCAATATAGATATTTAATTATACAAGTTTTCTTGAAAAACTTCTGAAACAGCAAAAAGCATTGAATTATCTTAGTTTCACTTTCGGGGGACCATCTATTTTTATTATACCTTGTAGATTTTATATTTTATTTATGTGTTCTTTGTGGCCTTATACAATATCTCAGTAGATGCCATTTACATTCCTTACCATTGACTTGATTGTCCTGTCCTCTGCCATTCTCTGTCTCTGGATCAGTATTGGAGCACATGTAGTAGCATCTCTTAACAAAGTATTCAAGGAACTCTATAACAGTCAGGACACTGATCCCAACAAACAGTCCCATTTGGCCACCAATGTCACCTTGAAAGACGAAAAATTGGAAAAAAATTATTTTAGTTTCCTGGTCATGCTAGAAATTGAATTGATGGGAGAGAAGAAATGCTTATATATGGTATTTGTGTCCACTTAGAAGCTCTATACACACCTTCCCACAAGGTCCTGTATGTTCTATAGGTATAATGTTGGAACTATCAGAACCCAAATGTGGTAAAATATGTTGAGTCTACATCAATTTAGCCAACAAATTAAAATGATCATTTAAACAGGGAAGCTGTCTAAATATTATCTAAATATTATAAGGCCAAGTCAAAACTGTGTGGGCCAGCTTGAAAAGCTGTATAAGTATTTATCATGTATAGTATTTTTATTAACCAATGCATTTACTGATGCAACAGGGTTCTTACTTAGTAGTCCTGTTGGTGTCACTGCAGGTGTGATAGTGATGGTATGATTGTATAGGTCAGTGAAGTAGATGTCCAACATCAGGTGGTTCTTCCTAAGATGTATAATTGAAATGAATAGAGGCTCAACAGAACAATTTGATTGGTATAAGAACCTTTTGATTTAAATAATACATTGAGTTTGTAGAATTTAGTGTAAGTCATTAGTGTGACAAGTGACAACCCCTTACTTGGAACATTTAAAGTACATTCCTTACTTGATATTCTCTGTCCTTTGTGTAAACTCCATACTAGGAACCCTTAAGTACACTTGATACATTGACTTTGTAGAACCTAGTGTGAGTACTTATACAGGGTGTGCCAAAAAAGTTTGCAACTTTTTAAAAGGCGAGAAAAGTATCATAACATTTAGGTATTGGCATAAAAAAAATTATTTACAGAAACTTAAGGATAGGCATATTTTACCATTCAAATACTAAAGCTAGAACTGACATCAAATTTTTATGTCAGATATTTGAATATCAATGGTCAATTATGTATTCATGTGTCCAAGATTTACCGTTTTCCTAGAAAATGTGACTTTCTATGATTTTATGTGATCAACAATAACACATTCATTATGTTAACATAATCTGCTACAATTTTGGATAACTGTTTTAAATTTTTTGGCACACCCTGTCTTAGTGTGACAAGGTAACTGGTCAACTCAACCCCAAGTCAACTCAACCCAAGTCAACTCAACCCTTAGTCAAGTCGACCCCAAGTCAAGTCGACCCTTAGTCAAGTCGACCCCAAGTCATCTCTACCCTTAGTCGACTCGACCCCAAGTCATCTCAACCCTTGGTCATCTCAACCCTTAGTCAACTCGACCCCACCATAAAAAAACCAAATAGATATACTATTTTCATGGTATGATATTGATGAATTTTGAAAGAATGAGGGACTAAAATGCTAATTTTCCAAAATAAAATTATCAACTATTGAAGTTTGTGCTTAACGCATTTATAATTTTCATAAATATGACATTTATTTACCAAAATAATATTTGATTAATCTTAATAGGGCTATTCACAATGCTATACATATATTTCACCCCTTCATATTTGAGCCTGTTTTATCTCTCTGAAATAAAAAAAATATCTATACACTTTTCTGTTATACCGAAATTGTTGCAACAGTATTTTTGACAACAGGTAACTAAGATAAGGTGATAAGGTAACTGTAATGCAACATGTGCATTGTGCCAACATCCATCCATTACTTTGTATTGAATGATTTTATATTTTGATAATAATAATAAACAATAAACAATATGATATAGTTCAAATCTTACTTCTGATCTATATGCAATAGAAATGTTTATTTGTTAAGCTAGATTTTAAAACAAGACTGAACAAACAATGGGATTTATGATTTTACAATTTCCATTATCGTACCCATGTCAGGTGTCATAAATAACAAGATTAGGATTTTATAACAATAAACAATATGATCCAGTTCAAATCTTCCTTCTGATCTAAAGGCGATAGAAATGTTTATTTTTTTAAGTAAGATTTTAAAACAAGACTGAGCAAACAATGGGATTATATTGTATTTTAATCTACTTAAAACAAGTAAAATCATTTGGGTCGACTTGACTAAGGGTTGAGTTGACCAAGGGTTCAGATGACTTGGGGTCGAGTTGACTAAGGGTCGAGATGACTTAGGGTCGACTTGACTAAGGGTCGACTTGACTTGGGGTCCACTTGACTAAGGGTTGAGTTGACTTGGGGTTGAGTTGACCAGGAAGCGTGTGACAACACCTTACTTGGAACACTTGAATACTTTCCCCTTACTTGATATTCTCTGTTGTGGTGTTATATTGGCTAGCTATTTTCTCCCCTATTCCCTCTGTTGGGAACGTGGCATAGGAAACACTGGTAGGATATACAATCTCTTCACATGGCTGAGTACAATGGAAGCATGCAAATGTTCTCCGGGTGATCTCTGGAAATGAGACAATCTATTTATTTATCATTTATAGAAGTATATTATTTCATCCTATTATTACGGTAGGGATATAATGAATCCCTCCATCCATCCGTCCCTCAGTCCATCAGTCAGTCAGTCCGTCTGTCTGAAAGATAACTCAAATACTACTTGATGGATTTTCTTCAAAGATGTATATTAATATGTATATTGTGAATAGTTTTACAAAAAAAAGCAAAAATCTTATGTTTTTCATTTTAAAGTAAAGTAAGTAATGAATATTATTATTTGAAATTTTGATATTATTTTCATAACATCTATCTTCTTCACATATATTCCGGTTTTTCACCCTGACCCCCAGGGGCAGTTGGGGAAACAGTAATTTGCATTAATTTTGAGATCTTTTTGAAGTATAGCTTTATTATAATCAAATGAAAGGCAATTTAGAGTAGATCGCAAATATTGTGTTGTTTCTCTGATTCGGGCCTCGTAAAGTTCAAAATGGCCACCTAATGTGGGATTTCGCAATAATTTTTTGATCTCTAAGAAGAATGGCTATATTATACTCAAATTGAAGGAAATTTAGAGTAGCTCTCAATTATGGTATTGTTTTTCGGATTTGTGCCTCAGAAAATTCAAAATGGTTGCCTAGAGCATTAATTTGCCAATACTTAGAGATATCTTTAAAGTATGGTTACATGATACTACAATGATCTCAAATATTCATTGAAGGGAAGAGTAGATTGTGACTGTACAGATTCATTGTCATGATTTATAATAATTTTTGATGGGATTTGCTACTCTGTCGAGTTGCCGATTTCTAGTCATCTAAGTATACATGTAATATGTGCATTGCTTAAATATGGGAGAATTGCACCATGCATTTCCAATATATGTTTGTCACAAACTTGGATCATTATAAGATATGATTTATATCATACTGCTTTGTTTCATTGTGCTCCTTTGATTGCAATAAATATTCCATCAAATGTAATTTATAAAATTATTCAATTTACAAAATTACCCAGTCTGCCTGGACTAAAAATTTACTTAAGTGGAAATTTGAAAAAAAATTTAAATAGCTACTCAATTTAGTTGTTATTTCTGTATGTTCTAATTACAATAAGGACAACAAAGACTGCAGAATTGAAATTAAGTTAAAATTTGAGGAAGTACATGCAATTTACACAAAATTACTAGAGAAAATATGAGACAACAATTGTACTTATCAAAAAACCATAAATCATATAGATTTGTAAACCATATAACAATTAATTTGGCCTACATTGTTGTGCTTTGGTTTGAACTTTAGACTGCATTGTAGTAATATAAAGATAAGGTTAAAAGTGAAATTTTAAATTAAAAAGTGACATTTTAAATTAAACAATATGTTGAACAAAATCAAAAATAGAATGAATTTTGTGTACGTTTTGGTGGGATTCATGTTGTCATCTGTTTTTTGGACTTCATGGATTTCGGTAAATTGGAAATATAATGCGGATTTGAATCCAAGAAAGATTTTGGCATCCGACTCAACAAGCATGGCTGCTGACCGTCGTTATTTAAGAATGATGGACATATTGAATAAGAGTAAAGAAATTGACTACAAATATAGCCAAGAAGAAAATACAAGAAACAATGGAATTGACAATGAAAATATTGTAAAGAATAATAGATATCCAAGGGATCAAACTTTGACAAAAAATAATCAGAAAGGCAGTGCACTGTTGCATAATGCAATACTTATGTACATCGATATTGGAGATCATCATATAATTCAATTCACATTATTTCTATACGCATCATGGAAATATGTTATGAGTCACAGGTACCTCAAATCCAAGGTTACCATTGACAGTGGTGAACCTCTACCAGACATTATATTTGACTTGATTGTGTATTGTCATCCAGAAACATGTAAAGTTCTCCCATTGGATTGCATCCCAATAGGAGATGACGCCATTTTGGAGGCTGTTCCAAGATGCTGGTACACACCCTCTGAAGGACTCCAGAGCTTTCCTGGTTACCCCTCTGATTACACCTACATCAATACATTTACTTTCCTCCTCGATAAGAACTTTGGGCAGATTGCTAGCAGGTATGATTGGATATTGAGGACTGATACAGATGTTTTTATATCTCCTGCGATTCTGGGCTGGCTTGGTAAATACAACTTCATCACGGGAGATGGTGGCTACGGAGTACCATTCAGTAAAAACAGGTTACGGGCAATAGCAGCAAAACTTGGCTTGCGTCATCAGAACATCTCTAATCTTGGAAGCACTTGGTATGCAAAACCAGAAGTATTCCACAAAGTTGCAAAACTTGCATTGAAACTCTCAGTTTATTTCTATAAGTATGAATTTCAAGAATCTTTACCAGGCCTTGAAGGTATGTTCACAGAGAATAACAATGGAGTATGGCCTGAATGGTGGCGTCAGGTCTCAACGATGTATGGGAGTGAGCTAGCTATTAATCACCTTATCCCCAATCTCACTGATGACCACAAAGCTGTTGAATATATGGACATGGCTAGCACAGATGGTGAAACTTCTGTAATGAAGGCTCCTCATATACACTGTTGGCATGGAACTGAAGAATTTAACAAGCTAGAGTTCACTGATAAAATTCTACGATTTATTCAAACAGATGTTAGGAAATTATGGATTCATAATGAGACTATGAAATATCGGGAAGATTTTGATGTATCCAGGATGACCATAAAGCAGTATGTGACTTATATAGCATGGAATGGCGTCCTTAAGTACCTACCACACATTATAGGACCAATGGTGGCTGCAGACTCTTATAATCAAAACTCACATAATCGTCAGTAGTGCTGTGTAGTGTACAAAGACTGAATTTGATTTCTCTTATCCAAATAATGACCATTTTCATCTATTGTTTTTTGGGAACTTAACAGAAGTTGTATTACATTCAAAAAGTATTGCCATGGCGTAAAGTGTGAATTCTTTTAATCCTATATCCCTTTACAATACAAATGTTCAGCTTTGATCATTCAATATACTGTATTTATCTTTAATTTGGCGATTTTCTGTTTTTGGGCCTATTGGCATCTATTTAATTTGACGGGTTTTCAAATGTCCCAGATATCCTTTCATCTTACCCAATTCAAGATAATCATTGTCGGTGTTGTTGATGAACAATTTCTTCAATATTTCTTGTTGTTTATATAAAAGTCTTCAATATTATCTTCATTAAATTCAAAATGGCTGACTAAATATGTAAAATTTTCAAAAAAAAATAATAATGAAAATCCACACATATGTGATACTTTTGAGATTCCTTATAGAGTACATGACATGCCTTTTTATTTCATGAGTGATAACATATTGTTATGGTCTCCAACTTTTTTGTGTATGGTGTTCAGCAATCGGCAGTTGGTGTTTGGTGGTCAGCTTTTGATATCTGTAACAAATGACAGGTGATGACATTTTGGTGCCTTGTTATTCTTGGTTTTACCTTTGACTTCCTGTATACATGTATTGGTGGTTGTAAATGAACACTGCGCATTGTTGCCGGGTATGTAACTAGGTGTACAGTTACACATTTTTAGCATCAGATCTCTCATACATTCCAGCATACATCCACTGTAGGTATACCTTGGGTAAAACTGCAATGAGGCAGATTTGTTGCAGTGCCCATATGGTGGCTCTTCTGTTACAGTCTGAAATGTATTATCAATCATATTATGTAGCCACTTTGTTGTATCTGAAAGTATTGATTGATCACTTAATGCCCTCTGACCCAATGCCCTTTAGAGTGATGCTTTCAGATTTAATGCTTCATACGCACTATTAACAGATTTAATGACCTTTATCTCCAGTATTCTAAGACATAATACCCTCATACTTTACATAATGCCCTCATATTTTATGCCCTCTGACTCCATGTAATCTGACGTTGACCCTATTCTCAGTTTTAATGAAATGCTCTAAGACTCAAGGCCTTTAAACTTCATGCCTTCTCGTCTAATGTCATTTGACTTCATGCCCTTTGTCCCAAATGCCCTTTTATATGATGTAATGCCCTCAGACTTAATGCCCTCATGCTCAATGTATCTGACTTAATGCCATTTTAATTCACCTCAGTACCCTCTGTTTACATTTTCTCTCATTTATAGCCATCAAACTGAATGTCATCTGACTTTATACCCTCAGGCTTTATGTGTTCTGATCCCATAATATCTTCTGGCAGTGCTAAGCAGTAAAGACTAATGATACATATCCAAAAAAACAAATATTTGGCAGTGCGAAGCAATAGATTTCAAATAAAAACATACCAGTTCTGTTTTGATGCTGGCAAAAGCATGCAATCCTGGTGAAACACTTTGACCATTGGCCTTCATATCTGGAGGCTCATATGCAGGGTGGACATAGAATTTTATACCAGATTCCATTCGGGCTAATTCTAAATCGTAAAAATTTTCTCCATATTCCTAAATCAAGAAAAAATCATTCATCATATATAATGGAAAAATGGTTCACAGGAATGATTATTTTTATTAAAACCCAAATTTTAATAAAAAAGATTTTGGATATATACGTATGTACAAAATATACAAATACATGTAACAACAGGACAAATGATATTATGAGAAATAACTGGTAATTTGCATACTTCAGTTTTCATGTCCAGCATCAGACGAAGCCCATGCCCAGCACCTATGTCCCATTGGGTAAAGTTAATAGAGCCATCTATGTTGAATGTATGGCAAAGGCCAAAGTCAGTGAATACTGGAGTAAATATCTGAAATATAATGAATAACAAACTCTAAATACAATCAATGTAACATATAATCTCTGATTTACAGTATTTCAAAATTTTGGTAGTCTTAATTAATGGCTTATAACTTTTAAATGGAATAGAATTATCTGATTGGGTTCAATGGCAGCTAGGTATAATAAGTTTATATGAGGGTCAAGTGAAAATTCTTTAGTTTCATAAATCTTAATTTTTGGCTCTGGCCTTAACCATTCACTAAAAATTATTGTAATAGTTTTCAAGTAGTAGAGTGGTGACATATTGTTATAGTCTCCAACTTCTGGTTGGTGTTCGATCTTGGGCATCTGTAACAAATGGCAAGTGGTGACATTTTGCGTGTTAATTCACATACCAGATGCACATGTACTTAAAAAGTATAAATAGATGTACACACATGAAGTCAAAAGAAGTTAATGTACCTTTGTTTTAGAGTAACAAGGTATCCCATCAAACAAACATAGTATGAGACTTTCATTCATATTCCATGAGACCCTTTCTTCTACTTCTTTCAAATTGTATCCTCCTAAAAGAGAAAAAAACATAACTAGAAAATGGCAACTCCACGGGGTAGCAAATCCCAACAAACACTATAATATATATGAATCTGTATTTGTCACATTTGTTACAGTATCCTGCAAAGGGCATGATTTTGGTAACTTTGCACCATACTGTACCCAGATAGCCTGCTGTAATGTTGTAATAATTGGGCATATTTTTGGTAACTTTGCAGCATACTGTACCTGGATAACCTGCTGTAATGTTGTAATAATTGGGCATAATTTTGGTAACTTTGCAGCATACTGTACCTGGATAACCTGCTGAAATGTTGTAATAATTGGGCATAGTTTTGGTAACTTTGCAGCATACTGTACCTGGATAACCTGCTGTAATGTTGTAATAATTGGGCATAATTTTGGTAACTTTGCAGCATACTGTACCTGGATAACCTGCTGTAATGTTGTAATAATTGGGCATGTTTTTAGTAACTTTGCTGCATACTGTACCTGGATAACCTGCTGTAATGTTGTAATAATTGGGCATAATTTTGGTAACTTTGCAGCATACTGTACCTGGATAACCTGCTGTAATGTTGTAATAATTGGGCATAATTTTGGTAACTTTGCAGCATACTGTACCTGGATAACCTACTGTAATGTTGTAATAATTGGGCATAATTTTGGTAACTTTGCAGCATACTGTACCTGGATAACCTGCTGTAATGTTGTAATAATTGGGCATAATTTTGATAACTTTGCAGCATACTGTACCTGGATAACCTGCTGTAATGTTGTAATAATTGGGCATATTTTTGGTAACTTTGCAGCATACTGTACCTGGATAACCTGCTGTAATGTTGTACTCATATTCTTCTAGTAATTCAGAAACATCAACACCTTCCCTAGAGATAATAAGAAATAATGAATAACATGGAATTAATACACATGTAAAACCATAGAATTTGCATATGTACATGGGTTGTCCAAAAAGTTTTGAACCTGTTAAGTTCAACTTGATATTGATTAATTGAAAGTTTTGAAATTTTTGCTTTAATTCTATAAAATTCTAACTTGATCTACATTCAAACTATTTATCAAAAATTATTGGACATAATATTTATTGGAAATCATCAGAATGTATCAATAAAGGTTTCTTACAGTGATGATTTGTATATGAGATTGGGTATAGTGTATAGAAGGTACTTGTCTGCTTCTGTCATATTTGGAGTCCTGTATCTGAAAAAACAATGAGAAGTGTTCACAATTTATTTTGTGGAGAAAGGTGTTGAGAGAATAATTGCTCAGAAATATAGGAACATACAAGTGAAAACCAGTTCATTATAAGACTTACATTTTCCGGCATTCTAATTTGAAAGCTTCTAAAGTGTTCTTTAAAAATTACTGTTCACTTACATGAAAGGTTTACAGAGCATTGACAATAAACAAGTTACCTGAATTACAAAAACAGTCTAATGCACAGTAATGAATTGAAAAGATGAGCTATTTTCTGGATCTGTGCAATAAACTGAATGCTTACCTGTTGTAATCACAAATTGTTACAGCGGGAAAGTTTTGCATTATGTTGTAAACTTTCTCTATATTCGTGCTTGATTTATTCTCAAAATATGTGATGACTCGGACAGACACCTGCCAAAACAGTAGACCGAAACATAGCAAAACTGCTAATGTCCAGAATATTTTCATCGTAGGATTCTGGGCCTGTTCTAATCGTGATAATCCATGACATGTCGTGTTTCTTGCAAATTCCTTATCTAATTTTTTCTGGCGATTATTTGTGCATGTACATTGTGAATGTTCCCCCATGTCGAGCTGTTATCGAGTTTTAGTCCACTTTGTGAAATTTATGACTGTTTTAGTGCCAGTTATTTGCAATGTTCATCATGTATTTGTATTTTCGGTTTGTTTGCTATTAATGTATAATCTCCCATATAAGACAACATTGAGCTGATTTAGAAAGTGAAATGTATTTGTCAATGATTGTGCTCTCATCTCCTAGACATTCATGTGGTTCTAAATCCTTGCTTGTAGGCCTATTATATGCTTCTAATCATTGAAACTGTATGTTCCAGCAAAAAACTCACTTGGTCCTAATTACTGTACTGCTGCAATCCATTATCAAACTGTTACTCTTACATCCATCCTAAAAATGTTTCCGGTTACACCTCCCCAATTTCATCGGATCTTCAGTGTTGATACTCTTTGAGGATTCCACAATTTTTATTTCAAAAACCTTCATAATATTTTGCTTTTAGGTATTATAATTGTTTCACCAGACCATAGAACTGCAAATACTGTAGTGTTTTGTTAGTGCTCTTTAGTTGATTAACAGTACCCATGTAGTAGTAGAACTCTTGCAAACTGGCCCAATAATGTCATAATGGCCATATTTTAAAATGAGAAATTAGTAAAAAAGAGTGGAATTTACAAGGAATAAAGTAACAAGTATGTAGCTGACACTCCAAATTGTGTAGAAATGGCAGAAAATCGGACACTTTTTTCAATTTTGAGAGAAAGAGGAGTGAAATTCCAGATAAAGGTTTCAAGAGATGCAGTCGGCAGACTATGCCAACATTAGATAATTTACGACAATTGGATTACATTGTAGACGTATCAATCTCAATTCAAACTTGAGATATCTGACTTTTTCTCATCATTCAAAACATCTATAGTTACATGCTTTTGTGTATAAAATTAGGCCTACATCATACTTTAACATGGGTGATTGGTACATGAGATGGAATTGTCCTCAAATTTGGTCATTGAGAGTATTTTAATAAAAAAATTGTTTTAATTCCAGCATCTTATCCTAATGACAAATATCATAGAAATATTGACGGGTAATAATATTTTATTTTACACTTTTATATTCGAATTGCATTAAGATCTGAGATGTATGTTTTCAGTATTGTAGCCAGGCATGAGTCAGGCCAGGCTATTTTACTGAAAATATTAATGGAGAAATTTTTTAGTGAAACCATGTTACATTTAAAGCAATATTCCTTGCAAGCCCATGAATTTCTCTTTTGATATGGTAACTATATTATTTATAAGCTATTCATATATAGCAAAAATGGTTAATGTTTTTGTATGGTATTTGATCATTTAAGAATGCAATGCTTTTGCCTCACCTATTTAGATTAGCCTCACCCTCCCTTGAATAGTTAGCCAGTATGATAATAAGAATGTTACCAGTTATGTCACCACCACTATTGCTATAGTCAACAATTTTTTGTGGATTGTGTTTGGCAGTTAATGTTTGGTGTTCAGTAGTTGATGTTTGACAATCATTGTCTGTAACAAATGGCAGGTAGTGACATTTTGAATGTTAATGCGTTTTGTATAATTTGTCAAACCTCATCATTTCTCTTCAATGTATTTACAGCGCCACAGAGTAAGAATCATCCCAGTGAATGAAGTTATTGCAATATGGAAGAACCAAGAGACAAAATTCTATGTTTACGGCTTCGAGAACAAGGTTTACGCACCTGACTACCCACAGAAGTGTTGCTGTACAATCCTGTAGAAAGAAACATAAGAGGACTTAGGAATAAATATTTTACGCCGAGATTCGTTATGAGTTTATATATAATGCATCATCCTGTATAATATCAGTAATTGTGTTTTTAAGTGAGTACAGCCTATGATATAATCGTACACTCACAAGAATATAATAAACATGATATAGAGAACGTACCATTGAACATTCTAGTGGAAAGTAATGAATTTTAATAAATAAAATGAAATGTTGGAAGAATTTGGGAAAGTGAATTGTGGTAAAAATTCTGAGAAAAACTGGCCAAAATGAAATTGAAAAAATAATCAGTCGTAGGATGCTGAACAGTATGTTCATTGGATTTATATTCCTGTTATACAGGTCTGGTATATAGAGGATATCCTATGATTTATGAGTGATATGATTTTTATCCACGAATGGATATGATATCTGCACAAGCGAGCGTAGCGAGAGAGTGCAGATATCAATAACCATGAGTGGATTAAAATCATATCACGAGTAAATCATAGGATGTTCTTTTTATTCCATAGTTAAAGTCATCATCAGAATCGTCGGAAATTAAGTCATTTAATTCGAATTTTCCAAACGATCCGGCGATGTTGACACTTAGCCTCGTTTTGAGTCTGAAGTAGCAAAAATCCATAAACCATCGCATACGACGTCGTATGTCATGGCTAAAAAACCGTATGCTATGGTTAAGTGAAAATTTGTCAAAAATATCATATTTTACCACTGATTACAAAAATACCGTATTTATTTTCACATGTTATCCTATGAATATCATGCTAACTATGGAATAAACTGCAGTATCAAACACTGAGGGTTGGATAACAGATGATATACATCATGTACAATGTACATGTACAATCTGGAGAATAGAGTTGATCTAAAGTGAGACTGAAAGTGTATTGTAAAATATGAAATTACAAAAGATCAAGAGCAGTATGTTAAGTGTTATGTTATTTATCCTCATAAATATGGAATATTTTCCATTGATTTCCTCGTTTTCAATGCCCCCATGAATGGAGATTCAAGTATTATTTTCATAGACCTGTCAGGAAAGACAGTATTGCTCATTTTTGTGAAATGTCCAATATTCCATATATTTGACCAACAGTGGATACAAAAGTGTGTCAGAGACACATATCAACCTTTCCTTTTGAGGGTAGAAAATTCCCAAAACATCCTGATGGAGTTCAAAGTCGGCATGTTCAGGACAAGTATCCCTGTGATAGGTAGTAAATGCATTGAATCCAAGAATATGAAAATATACCCTTAATGTGAAAATGTACCCAGAATGTAAAAATATACTGGGAATATGAATATACCAATCTGAATTCCATCCTTTATAGGACACTATCTTCTGTGAGAATTCAATGAATTATGTTTATGTTTGCATTAACACACAAAATGACACTACCTGTCATTTGTTATAGACGTGGAACACCATCCACAAAAAAGTTGGAGACTAACAATATATCACCACTTTTGGTGGTGGTGACATAATAATCTCCTTGTTATATGGGTTCTGGTCCACAAAGTGTGAACAGGATATGTCACATGAGCCAGTCACATTTCTTGAAATTTCACTTTTAATGAATGACATTTTATACATGCACCATGACTATTTCTATGACGTGTCGCAAAAAGGTGGCGCATTTGTTTTTTAAGGGTATCGCGTGAATGTAAATTTGATTCCCCGGATTATAAAATAATATTCTAATTAAAGTTATATATCATTTTAAAGCTGTTTCGATGAAGATTTTAGATCAACTACACTCCGTTCACATTTTTTGCGCGTTCGTTTTTAAAAGAGTTTTTTACCAAAACATCTGGCAAATATCCCATGTTGACACGTTACATTTTGAATTATTTTTCGTCTTTAAACGCTCATAACTCAAACAATATATGACTATTATACTTATTTTTCGTCTTGATAAAGGAAGATGGAAGTTTTATTTCAAAGGATGAATTTTAGTGAGCGTCCCATATTGTGACGTCATAGAGTCTGAAGATAGAATCTGTTGACAGCGACCTTTTTTGCTCATTTTTTGGTACCTTCAACTTTTCAGGTGTACATTAAACAAAAAATACGAGATCAGTTTTTAATAAATCATACATGATTATTTTGCTCCTAAACTCTAGTTTATTAATAAATAGTTGATTTTGTTCACAAAAGTATGTGTTTTCTGTTGTATGTGGAAAAGTGGAGGACGAAAGGTTTTCAAAATTCATTAAAATAGGGCTAATTTACGCCATTCGCCTATTTTCAAGCACAGCAACACGTATATTTATTTCACCTAAAATATCAATTGATTCGTGTTTTATGATGCTCCTAGCCCATTAACAATATATATATGATATCAGAGTTATTCGTCTAAAATGTTTTGAGATATAGAGGTAAATGTGGAGGACGAAAGGATTTTCATGTGTGTACATTTTTCTCAAAAACGTCACAATTTATCATGTTAAAAGCGAGGATCCTCTGGATTACGCCACAAAATGTGTAACAATGCGTGCGCGAGCTTTTTGCGACACGTCTATAGTCTGTGTTAGTGAACACGTAAATCTTTCAAACCTGAAATAAAACAACTTTGGTCCTAAAATCATAATCATAAAAAATGCGACTCAAATAAAGCAAATATTACTTGCTGAGTGGACATCGTTAGATGGAAAAAATGAAGTCATGATATTTCAATAAGTTATGCTTAACAAGTACCTGTATTATTTTGAATCGCAATCACCAGTCATCGATAATGCAAAGTGCATTGAAAATGGTTTGGTCGAAAATTTTAGACGTTTTACATGAAAATATGCACCGTTTTCATAATTCGATATAGTTTTATTGAATGGAATCCCTTTTCATTCCGATCTTACAAAAGACTGTTCATATGAAGAAGCCAATTACGAGATAGTTTGCAAGCGCGTGGTGAATGGTGATTGCCGTTGTTTATAATTAGTCATTCAAATACAAAATACTTGAAATTAGAAAATAGGATTATTACAACATGTAGCCTGCGTGTTCATCCAAGTAAAATGTTATAACAACTATTACAATTTTGTGGAGTTTTGACACCTAAGCAGAGTAGCCTCGTGGCGTAGACGGACTACTTTGTAGTCGAACGTACCGGAGGGGATACGGAGGTCCCGCGTTCGAGCCCCAGGTACGGAGTTTTTGATCATTGCACTACGGACACCCGGTCCGAAGGTCCAACCTCTGGCCCTTGGCTTGGGTCGGTTCTCTGGCCGCTCTTGTCGGATACAGATTGTGAGACTGTGGTTGGTTCCTCCACTGACGTGCTTTAGTAGACCCCGGGAGTCAAACAGTATGGTAGCGAGCCCCCACCAAGGGCAGTAGTGGAACGACGCGATTCGGTCCCAGTATGGTTGCCTTGCAACTGAAGAGATTCGAGGAAATCATGCCATTCGCGGCGACCCAGAAAAGGCTTTTGCTTCTTGATACAATCGTATTTTTATTTTATTTATCTTACATTCATAATACCAGGAGTCTCATAGAATGCGTAACTTGTATGTAAAATTATGTTATCATATATTTAACAATTCATTTTAAATGGGTGACATATATTGGAGAACTACGCATAGGGACAGACCCACTCGCGCATGTACATGTACCCCTAGCAGGGACAGGCTCAAAGTTGGAAGGGGTAGAGTTGAGCACCTATGTAGATGTGCTACAATAATTTATGGGATGTACTTCAAAGTCAGTCGTGAGTAGCGGTGGAAAGTCTCGCTCGTTCATCCGTTCTCTTATCGTCTCTACACTGATCACCTATCCATATATTTTACAACACTCGGTTTCTGAGTATGAGACGCAAACAGTTCATTTAGTTTATTCAGCCAATTTGGTTTATTCAATATTATCAAAGATGTACCATGAATTAAATAGTAAATTCACTTTTCCAGGGCAATTGTTTTCCATAAAGCTTTATGCTCAATCGGGGGGGGGGGGGGGCGGGGAGTACGCGATTTCTGCTACAAAATTCAATAAATCTGGGAGGAAGTTTACTGTTGAATTGCAGAATCAGAATATTGAATAAGCGCACAGTATGGTAAAATGTTAGGTCACATTTATTTGGATATTTTGGCATAAGTCCATACAGTTCAGTTATGGGAAAGCAGGAATTTCCCAAGAGGGAGGGAGAAGGGGAGGGAGGAGGGGAGGGAGAAGGAGAGCAAACAGAAACTGAAACACCTCTATGTAGCACATCTTATAATTTTGGCTCTATTGAAATATTGTTGTTGTTTTGGAATGAGTTGAAATTTACACATTCTTCAACCCCTCCTATCTTTAATATTTTAGGATTTGGACTGGTGTCATGTCTGCTGAAACACATTTTCATTAATTATGAGAACAATAACACAATGTATTTTTAAAATGTTTAACTGTATTTGCATACATAGCTCACTATACAAATTTGGCAGTGTTCTAACCACTAACACTCAAATAGGGCACACTGGTATAAACTCTACAGTAAACCCACATTGGATAAATCATCACGGTTCCCTATGTGCATCATTTTTGTCAATCACTGTGAATCAATGTCTGCTTTGTTCACTGAATAAATTAATAAATCTGTCAATAATATTCACAAAAGTTCCAATAATTGTATTTAGTTTGGCAACATTGTAGTGGGGACACATGTTTAGATTGTATTTGTAGATTGAAACCTGGAAATAAAGAAAAAAGGCAATGGATTACAATTTATCTCATCTTTATATGGTGTCCAGGAAACTGGGTATGTAAGACATGGCTGAAATGGTATATAATACAATGCTGATGTGGAAAAGTCAGTTTTGTAGCTCAGTACTAGAGCACTTGCCCAGTTAGTGAAGGGTTGCGCATTCAATCCCTACTTGGGTTGACGGACTTTTTCACATCAGCCCTAAACAGAATTTTCTTTTTGTCATTTACCAATTTCTTAAGCTGTGGGACAAGGGTACATCATGAGAATTTTGGAACAAACAATCGCTGGAATGATCAGCTTACCATGATTTAAACCAATTGTCCTACAGCTACAGTAAAGCCTGTCTAATGGAACACCTGTCTACAAGATACAATTTCAACCAGTACATGGGGGGTTCCAAATACACAGGTTGTACTTACATACGGCAATAAAATATGTTGACCAATATTCTCACAACAAAGTTATTTTGTCATACAGACAGTAATCTTTTATATGAACAGATTTCTTCAATACTACAAGGGGAGATCAATAATTTTTGAAACTATATACAAAATTACATGTACCTCTTCACAATCACATATCAGGTTATTAATACCAGACCCTAGCAAAAATACAAAAATACAAAAAGAAATATCTTACCAATTAAATAAATTGACTAAACACTTGGAGGGTTAATCTGCCTTCTTAAGGGCAGCAGCTCCTGAGATGATCTCGATAAGTTCCCTAGTGATGACAGCCTGTCTGGTTCTGTTGTATGTGAGCTGTAGCTTCTCTATCATCTCACCTAAACACAATGATTTAACATGTAAGTTGACGATTTAACATGTTAGTTGACAATTTAATATGTAAGCTGGCAATTCAACATGTAAGTTGGCAATTCAACATGTAAGTTGGCAATTTAACATGTAAGTTGACAATTTAAGTTGTTAATAGTTGACAATTCAATATGTAAGTTGAAAATTTAACATGTAAGCTGATGTAAGTTGAAAATTTAACATGTAAGCTGATGTAAGTTGACAATTAAACTTCTTCAAGTAAATTTGACTGCTTTTAGACCTATCAAAATTTCTTCTGTGAGAAAAATTGGAAAAATTGGATTGGACATATTACCTGCATTCTTAGTTGCTCCGTCCATAGCAGTCATTCTTGAGCTCTGTTCACTGCAGGCACCCTCCTTCAGTCCCATATAGATGATGCTGGCCAGTGCAAACTCGTTATAGCTTTGTAGAACTGAATCATCCAAGCTGTCATAGAGACTAAGTTTCTCTGCACCAGATATGGATGCTTGGTTGAACAGTGGCAGATGTGTTGTCTGATATGACATTACAGTCCTGGAGAGAAAATATAGAGGATTAAAAATAAAAAATAAATTCCAGGAATGAAATAAATACAGGTTCAGAAATTCCCAGAGAATAGGAATACTCTAGATTTGAACCAGTTGACAGGGAGTTCAAGTCCTCACAATTCAACTCAAACTTATATTTTGTAATGCACTATAGAGCAGAACACAGGAATTACATCTTGTATTTTTCCCCAAGTTAAAAAGATCTGATATAGTCTACAGCACAAGGGTTAAGAAACCATATTCAAACAAATGGATAATCTATTGAACGTGGATGAATGAAATGAGCCAATTGGAGCCATTTATTGGTGTTATGCATAAGACTGGAGAAACACTTCTTCAGATAAATTCACAAAGGCATTAAGTTAAAAAGTAAAACATGCAAAATGTCATCACCTGCCATTTGTTCAAGACACCAAACATCGGACACCAACCGCCGACCACCATACACCAAAAAGTTTAGGATTATAACAATATGTCACTACTTCTGGTGGTGACATAAAAATATGGCTTATAAAAATGTAACTCACTTGAATCTGTTGTAGACCATCTCAGCACAGTCATATTCGAAGTCAGACTGAAGGATGTTATTAGCTATCAGGGATGCATCAGCAAATACTGGAGGCTTCTTACCAATGTCAACAAAATGCATCAACATGCTTTTAGATAATGTTCTGGAAAAAGAACAAGAAATTAAATCAAAACAAGATTTCAGATTTCAAAAATGATCTATTATTCAATCTAAACTATAAATCAAAACAAACTGGCTTGCACAGGATGGAATCATTGTCTATTACCGTCTAATTCTAAATTCGGAAATTGACTTCTGGGACTGCAGTCTCCTCTGAGTTTACTTATCTTATATGATGAAAAATTCAGTCAATTCTTATCAAAAGAAAGGAATGGACAGCCCATTACTGGAGCCACTTATACAAAAATACATACCTAGATATAATTTGTCTTGATTTGTCCCCAACGCAGATGATTCCTACATTTTTGTCTTTAAGTTCATCTGTTGCTTTATTTCTGATAGATTTGGAAATAGAAGAATGTACACCACCACAGAGCCCTCTATCTGATGTCAAGGCCAACATGAGAAAGTTTGGTTTACTCTCGTCTTGTGTGACTTCTGCTTTCTCAAAAAATGCTGCAAAGGAGTAGTCCAAAGTTTGATTCGAGTTTTTTTTAAATGCAAAAAACAAGTTGAGTGAGAGGGTATCTAAGTTGTCAGTAGATAATATGTTCTGTAATCATAATATTCTTTATAATTTATAGTTTAGTAAAGCGATCATCTTTTAATATCCTTATTTCCGACTAGTTCCACTCATTATGTTTAATATGAATTTTACATCACCTCTTCTCACATCTTATGTTCTAATGGGCTAAAAAATTAATCTTACATCTAGCGCCAGCTCCGTATGGCCGTGCAGCCTTCAGTTCTCTCTCAGCCTTGTTGTATTTAGCAGCTGACACCATCTTCATGGTTTTTGTGATTTTACGAATATTTGTCACAGATTTTAACCTCATATGGACTGAAACACATCAGGATCATTCAATATAATAAGTGAAGTCAAAATGTGTATGAATATACATAGTACCTACTCATTTCTAAGAGTGGAAATGCTAGATAAATACATGCCATGTTTACTTTAAAGGTACAACAATTAGTGCAGAGGGGCCATTCAACGATCATGGACAAGTGTCAAAATATATTATGTTTGGATATTTCATCAAGACTAAACCCCCTAGATAAACATTATTTCAACTGATATTCCTCTTGGAACATGGTGGATCTTAAAAATCAAAAAGTGGATTTAACCTTTTGAAGTTTTTAACTGAATTTACACTTCAGCTGAAATGGAAAGTTTATCCATACATTTTAGGAAAATAGGTATGTCAAAGAAGATGTTAAGCCAAATGTTGCCTTGAAAGCTCAGAAAGTAAAAATTTTCCTATATTCTCTCTATGGGCCTTGTTGCCCCTTTAAGCTAGTTCCATAATTAGAAAGCTGTACATAACAAATCTTTAAAGATTTAATGTTATTGATGCCTTATTGAGTTTTATACTTACTGTCTTTTAAAGTTGCCATGTTGCGAACTTGGACACTGAAAAAAATATAAAGTAGTCAAAATATGATTCTATTAAAATTTAAATGCTTGTCTATTGATATTGGCAGAAGATCTAATCTTTGAATCTTCGGGTTACCAAAGGCCCATCTGTCCAACTCAGATCCTAAGGAACAAGTGTCAAATTCAGGATGTCGGGTGGTCACACCTTATATTAAACATGGATCTAAAATGGCACTTGTTTAAAGCCCAAGGAGGCAAGAGAAACTAACAAGAACCACCAAAAAGAAACAAGTTTCTGCAGTCTTACGAGGAAACCAAAAATTAGAAAATGAAAATAATTTGGTATTTCAGTATTTCATTCAATGTTGCATTGTAAAGACTCGAATAGAACACAATGGATTCTTACTGTTCTATGTTGTTCTTTGTTGTTATTTTTTATTCATTTCTTATCTTTTCTTGCGGGAAACGCTTTCCTGGACTGTCTGTTCAACCAAAGTCAAAGAAAAGATTAATTAGAGTTTGTGCTTCTAATATATAATTTTAATCATAAAACACTTGTAATTGATGAAATGTAATCAATACTGAAACACATCTCCAAATATGGCACTCAATGTTGATGAAGGTTACTTCCCGTAGTCTAAATGTAAGCATCAAAACGAAATTGTAATTATTTATTTCATGGAGATTCAATACTCAATACATGTAGCCGTTCTCTCCCTGTACTACTTTTCTTCTTTTTGAGACAATAATTTCTTTCCACAATACTTTCCTTCTGAATGATACTGTGAGCCTGTCAATTAATTTGAATTGAATCTTTTTGTAATAAAGTAATAAATACTTCATTTTATATGCTTTCACATTTAGAGTATTGGAATAACCAGAAAATGACCTTCAGTGACCTTAGTATGACAAAATAAAAAAATATTTTAAATTCAAGCAGTATTACATTTCTTCAATTTCCAAGCGTTTCACCATGGGCTTTCAAGTAGACTTGAAAGCCCATGGTTTCACTTACCTCGGGTAATGGACAGACAGACCAATAGCAATTTATAACAGGTAATATGTACGACTGAGTATGTGAGGAAAACAGAAAATAAGCATACAAGTAAAAATAATAACAAGAAACAATATACAACAGTCTGATTTATATGACTCTTCTGGCCAGACAACAAGTAATGGAACACTATTGCGATATTCTTAAAATCGAACTGGATGAGGCCTTATTTTTGCGAATGGACCAATCAGACCATGGGCAGAGCAGAAGCTATGAATTTGTGGACAGGGAATTTCACTTTCATCACCTGGTGTATATAGTCATCTTAGAGTAGAGCTCTAATCTAGAACTTCTCACTTGGTTATTCATGGAAAGATGATGCTGACCTTGTACCAGTAACCTATAGGCTACTAGAGATGACACACCCCTTACACATGTCTAATGGGCTTCCAAAAAACGCCCTACTAGGTTTAATTATATGTTAGGCTTCGGAGTCATGTTCTATGGTAGGAATTAACCCCCTTCAAGATAAATTGAAAAACTAAAAAAATCAAAAAAATTGATGCAAACCCGGTTTCCAATTTTTGGACATCACATTTTGTAGGATCTGAGTCATATAAATTCACACATCATATATCAAAATAAAGCTGAGAAGATACTGATATATAATAACGAGGACTCAGTTGCAATCAAGCTATGTATTTACCATTGTGGCGTGAAAACTGGAACCGCTCGGGACAACATGGCTGCTTCTTCACGATTTCAAACCGAGGCCGACTGGTGGCGCCATCTAAAGTTCTTTAAGGAGCATTCGGTGTTTGTGTTTCTTATAACCGTTTCGTTTGGTGTCTTAATGTAATCCCCGGGAATTTATTTAGAATACAAGCTCACTGGTAAATCTAGAATGATTGAAGAAATGCGTTTAGAGATGAGATAAACCTCATTATAATAATCTAAAACATTTGTAAAAGGTTGATTGGTACTTGGTACACAATTCAATAGTAACAGTTACTGAAAATCTGGGCAGTCACAAGCAAATGGACGATATCCTTCAGCTCCAATAATCAAGAATTTCTCACTTCAGCAACCAGGACGATATCTATTAAATGTCTTGCTTGCTTCATATTATGGCCTAACAACATCCTGGTTGCTGAATCGGGCCCCAAATTATATTTAAAAAGAAATGGATAGTAACATCAGTTTGTTTCTGTGTAAATAACAACTAAATGTCAAGACTTGTTTCCAGGAAGCTTATAGGCGATCCATTTTAATTTGAAAAGCAAGCCATGAAACTATTTGCATTTTTGAGTTCCTAATTTTTCGAGGAGGGAGCAGGAGGGTCTTGGTCCCCATCCTCATGTCTGTCAATGGAAACTAACCATAATAGATAACATGCAACGTGCAGGTCTTACTATATATTAATCGTTTGATTCTGTATTTTACACACTTCTTTTCATATAAAACATTAAACAAGAACATATTTTGTAAAAAGTAATCCCTCTTAAAGTTTATTAGTTCCCTTATAGTATGGTTATGGTACAGAATTAGACAAAACAGAGCTATGTACAATTTCAAAACTAAATAGCTATACATATAACATGAAAAACGGCAAAAAAGAAGATTTGAGCACAAACCCAGGGAATGCATTTTATGCAAGCAAAATAATGAAATAAGTTTTAAATATTGAATCCAAAAGGAATTCGTAACAGTTTTACAATGCCACAAAATGTTGAATGAATAACTTCAAATTCAACAAAGTACCAATTTTTTTTCAAATACTTCAAATACAATTTTGTCATTCTCTAATAATGAGTTTTAACTCAAATAAAGTGAACACTGCAAATAAGGTTTGTAATTTTAGAATATTGAGAAGTGACATATACAGTTGATGAACCACATATACAACACTTTAAGGCTCATATATATTCGCTTGTTCAAATAACTTAGGCACAGCGAGTATACTAAAATGTACACATATATACAGAAAACATAAGATAATTTAGACTAATCTAACGTTACTAACTGGAATGCTAGCCTTGAGAGACTTGTTAATAAACAAACAATAAGTTAGCTTAGTGTAAAATGTGGGGAAGGGGTTATCAGGTACTAGCCCTGCATTGTAAAGTGCCTGAAATTGAGCTATTCATTGTGCAATACAGACCCCCAACACTGAAAAACATGCTTTAATAATATACAATGATATATCACCATTTATGCAGCAAGAAAAAGTTAAGCGTATGGATGTGAATCATAATTCATATGCATGCAAATAGAGAATACACATTAGGTCAATAGAAGTACATGCAATCATTTTATGAACATTAAATGTGTGCTGGTTTATATCTTGTTTGTTTTTGAATCCATAATAATATCTCTGGTGAAATCATTGCACTGAGGTATACAGTAAAACCTATGTAAGACCAACACTTTTTAGCCTCAGAATAATGTGTTCCTTTTTATAGAAGTTCAATGGGTAACAGGAAGAAGTATTCAATCTATGGAGGCATTCGACTTCCAGAGGTGTCCAAGTTACAGAGGTGTTCCATTAAAGAGATGTTCCACTTCCAGAGGTGTTCCACTTCTAGAGATGTTCCACTTCCAGAGTGTTCCACTTCCAGAGATGTTGCATTTCCAAAGGTGTTCCACTTCCAGAGGCGTTCCCTTACAGAGATGTTCCACTTCCAAAGGTGTTCCACTTCCAGACATGTTCCACTTCCAGAGGTGTTCCACTTACAGAGATAATCTACTTCACAGGTTTAACTGTACTATTTAGCTGATGTTTTACTTTGTATCATACTGTAGCTGCACATCAAAACTAATTAATATCAAAATTGTATTTTAAATCATAAGTCAATCAAAATACTGTAGATTGGGTTAATTTGGCGCCCGCTTTAATTTGGCGAATTTGGCGAAGTTGAAAAATTCGCCAATATAAATCTTCACCAAAATTTAGAATGAATCCCCGGGAATTATCTAGGGTATTTCGTCCAGTGTATTTAGGTCACTTCCGATTTAGTTTCTTCCAAAATATGAAAAGATGTCTCATAAATTGGCTCAGAACTGGTCAGTCACTCATTAATACTCAGGGAAAAACTAGAAAGGAAAAGCGCGGTATAGTAGCAGCATCGATAGAGGTGCAAAATGTAAAGGATGATCTCACAAAAATGTACAAATGTGGTGAATATCGCCAGTGGTCCTCAAAAGAAAAATGAACATAGCCAGACATGTCCATTTACATGGTAATTCGCAAACAGCGGGTAAGGTTATTTTTTTGCATATCCGCCAAATTAAATAGCCGCCAATATGCCGAAAATGGCAAAATCGCCAAATTAAGTAGCGCCAAATTAACCCAATCTACAGTAATAAGGCACAACACAGATTACTAATTTCCCTTCTTGGGTAAGATACCTCCTATTGGTAAAAAGCAGTGAAAGTATATCCCACATATATAAAGATATTTTATAAGTAAAAGTAAGCCAAATTTGAGCTCAAATAATGTAATAACAATTTACTCAAAATTAACTCAAAATGAATTCTCAAAAATATACAAACAAAATGAAAATGTCTATTGAATATGAATATACAATGAATAATGTTGCACAGTGAGTGCTAATGCAGTGCCTGTACAACCACATATTGTTTAATATATACAACCACATAAAGCATACATGCAACAACCTTATAAGACCTACTCAACCACATTTAATTCAAATGTCTATAAAGCAGAAAAGTCTGTATGACCACATATTGTGTCTATTCAACCACATAAAGTGTATATATAACCACATAACCTGTACAACCATATTAAGAATCATTTCTGTTGAAATTTAGTGTACACAGGATTCTTGAAAAGAGGTCAGGTCAAAGTACCAATGTCTGTCAAATTATTCAATTCATCGACCTCCTAACTAAATAAATAAAAAACATTAAATGTTGATTTCGGATCAAAAACGAGATACAATTTTTCTCATAATAAATAGATGCCTCAAGAAAGATCCACGACCCTTTTTAATATTTGATCATTTTGATTTCCCAATATCTTTTTAGTACTTCATATTTGGAGACTTTATTTCTCCTTGATGTCATCCATCCAGTATTGCTATAAATATTCTGATGTCACACATACATTCATGCCTATGTTTGCAGGTTGAAGCATAAGAACTGATCTGTGAAATGCTGTCAGAGCAATAACTAATCCATAATTCAATGTTTACAGTGTAAGAACTGATCTGTGAAATGCTGTTCAGCACACAAAGTAATCCGTAATTCAATGTTTACAGCGTAAGAACTGATCTGCGAAATGCTGTTCAGCACACAAACTATTCCGTTATTCAATTTTGATGAACAGATCTGAGTTCTTATGACACATTCTGGTACATGGCATAATATCACAGTCATCTTTGCCAGTTTGCGTTCATGGGACTTTGTGTTTTGGAATACAGTATCTTTGTCTTCTTTCAGGATTAGTTACTCCAGCAAGTCCTGGAAAATCATAAACAAATAACAGTTTAGCTATGAAAAGTTGAAAACATTCAGTAATAATATTAAAAGGATAGAGTACTCAGTACTGTTATTTTTATTTATATATAATTCGTTATTTTGAAAATCCATAGGAAGCCTCTGTGGCAAAATATGTCATTGTGATAATGTTTTGAAATGTAGTGTACGGAGTGGAACTATGAAGGAAGTACATGCAATTATACTCTTTCTGCTATTTCGATATCTTTATTTTTGAGTATTTCTACTGGTGTGGTGAAATATGTCATGGCTGTCATTACAGTAATTAAAATACCATGGAAAATAGAGGAATCCAAAAGAAACAGTATACAGGCATTCAGTCCACATTCTAAATAATGTAATAATGTAAATAATGACACACTTCTTGCAAATTTAAGAGGGATATAGTGTGAAAACAAATACAAAAGCTGAGATGAATAATAAGCAGACTGCAGAACAGCCAGATAGACCTACATCATCTGAGTCATCGTGATAGGATTTCACTTTTTGATCTTTTGAGGTGGGACCAGGTTTAAATGCAGGCTTGGGTACTTTGCTTGATGAGTCACGGCCAGGCTTGTTGACGGAGTCATAGTTTCTTCGAGATTTTCCTGAAGCTCCACCTCCACCCAAAATATCCTGAAAATATCAGTCAATTTCAATCAAGTTTATGTGTATTTTCAACAACATAATACATTTCTATCAAAGTCCTCAACTCAAAATATCCTGAAAATATCAGACAATTTCAGTCAAGTACATGTGCATTTTCAACAACATAATACACTTCAGTTAAAGGCTTCATGTAAAGTTTGAAAATGCACTTTCATTATATGAAAGGCTTCTTCAGACATTTCCCAAGAATGGGTTTTGACAGCCAATGAGGATCTGTGCATCAAACAAAATAGGCTACATAAAGAATATATATAATGTATGCTTACATCATCGGAGTCATTCCAGACGCTTGATGTTGTGTTGGCCAGAGCATTCTCCAGTTCATTGTCATAGTCATACTCCTCTTGGCTCTGATTCAGCATGGAGTACCTGTAACTGGGAGTCCTGAAATTAAGCAATATATTACATTTACAAACGAAACATTTTGATTTTGATACATCAACACATGTTTCATCGACAGAAGACAGCATACAATGAACAAATGTACTAACATTTCATACATCAATATAGGACACAATCAACCTATAATGCACCAATATTTGATACATCAACATATGGCATACCAACATTTGACACATTAACATAAGACACACCAGCACAAGACAAATCAATAGAACACATTTCAAATTATAACATAGATGTACATATATGCATTCATTTTCTACAAACATACATTTTTTAAAAATTACACATTTCTGCATCTTAAGCTCAATAACTGCAGCATTTGATATCACAGATCTTTTTGATAAATGGTTCAGCATAAATACTAAGTTTGCCAATATTACGCTGCTGATGAATGTTCAACTGACCTTCGTTTGAAGAAATTGTACTTCCTGCCGAAGTGTATGACGAGGAAAATTACAATTAGCAGAACTATGACAATGATGACAACTGCAGCCACTGTGCCACCGCCACGTCCAACACTCTCTGGTCCCTGCAACATACAATGATATTACACTATACAATGATATTACAATGTACAATGATATCACAACTTACAATGATATTACAACATCCAATGATATTACAACGTACAATGATATCACAACATCCAATGATATTTCAACATACTATGATATTACAACATACAATTGGTATAACAACATACAATAATGTAACAGCACACAATGATATTACAACATACAAAGATATTACAACATACAATGATCAACCTACAATGTTACAACATTTATAATGTACAATAATCCTAATTAGTTCATAAATAAATAAAAAAAATGAATAAAAAGCTTGAGGTGTTCCTTATATAATTTACAGAGGTTTGAATAGAGCCATTTGGAAATCAGCCTGGTACAATGAATTCATTCCAAATATTATTGCTTTTAATTGGATTACTAATCACTGCTTTTGGCTACTATGACATGTCCAATATTGTCTCCACAACAAGTAATTGAACTTGCCTCAGGCCCAGAATGTGGCATTGGGAGCTCTTCTTTAATGATTACAGTCTTGTCACCCTCATTGCAGAGTTCATTCAGATCTATTTCTTTGTCTTTTGCAGGTTGTGTTCCCCCCACACAGACATCACCAGGGATCTTCCTATATCTGATGACAACATTCAACACATTAAGAGAAATTCAAACATATACATGGACTGTTCAATAAATAATACATCTATTATTCTAAAATTGTCAATTTTAATCCGTTTTATACAAACTTAAAAAAATTTTTTTTACAAAAATAAAAAACTGAATATAAATAATAATGAGTATTGTAAATAACTGGAAATGATTTTATTATTTTGAAGGGTATTTTCTTGAATTATTATACATCTTGCACACTCATCATACTGACATAAAAGGTTGGCATTTTTCTCATATTGGCATTAAAGGTTGGCATATTTATCACAAAAATGCTGGTTTGTATTGTGCTTTCATTACTGTAGTCTTCAAACATAATCTTGATAATATTTACATTAATACTTCATTAAATACAGAATGCCACATAGCCATCAAGCCATTTTATGGGTATATGAAAATATGTTCCTACTTGTGAACGCTGTATGGCTGTATTAAAAGATATTTATCAGTCCTGGGTGACTTAAAAAATAAAAATAAATACATACCCTGATGTGACAATTTTTTCTTCATGGCCTGCTACGCATACTTTGCTTTCACCAGGCTTAAAATTGGGATCTTTGACACATTTATCATCTTTACGAATATATGCAAAGTCACTGAAAAGAAACAATTTGAAATATTCATAAGACATTTAAACAGAAATACAAAATGAAAGTGCAAATATTAAACATTTTATCACACATATTTATTTTCTGAGTGAGCTCATATAAACAATTAAAACCTGTAAAGTGGAATAACTCCATAAGTGGAACACAACTCCAAGTGCTGCTACCTATTAACTCAATATGAAATGTGGCTCTGAACACTTCAAAAGTTTAACAGTATTTAAGGTACCAAAGGTGTTCCACTTACACAGGTTTTAATGCATTAACAATAAGTTGAGTATTTTAAGGTACCAAAGGTGTTCCATTTACACAGGTTTTAATGCATTAACAATAAGTTGAAACACTAATACTTACCACTCATAATCATCATATGTACATTCACACGTACTTTCCTGTTTGTTAACCTCATGAGTATAGCCATTTTTACACCTAAAACAAAATATCATAAATAAAAATAATATTTTGAACACTGTCGGTATTATTTCATAAAATATTGAAAATTCCTTTTTGAATTTCAAAAAGCAAAATCATTAACTTATTTTTGCTTTCCAGATATACAGGGTGTCCATGAAGTCTCTACACTTTACATAAACTTTGTATTGTAATTGTAAAGAGACTTAATGTACACCCTGTACAAAAATGGGTCAGAACTTACATGGAATCCTTCTTCAGTCTTTTGAAAACTTCCTTCTTGCCCAGTAAACATCCATGGAATTTGCTGTCTTGTTCATGGTGCATCTCACTATGTGCTACCCATTCTTCATAGTCATTATCCCCACCTATAGACAGAAAATAAATGTGCAGTGAATACACTGAACTTATAAACCACACATAGCCACACATTCATTGTTTGAAACTTTTCCTTTGCTAGTCTTATCAAAGCTACATTAGATTTACTGTGTATGTGAAGTATGGAAGAATTTCTTTTTCAAATACAGTTAACAGCACTGATATTCAAACCTTTTCATAACAGGGAGATAATTGAGGTTTAAAATAGGTTGGATATAAACTACTAGTACTCCACTTCATATGTTATTAACAAATACTGATAAAAGAACTCTACCCTTTTTTACTTTTAGTTACATTACACATATAACTTACATGAATCTTTGATAACTTTAGTAAAATCAACAACATGGACCCGCCATTTTCTGTCCAACTCTCCGAAACCCCAGATTCCTACGCTCATAGCTTTATTTCCCGGCTCCGTCAATAATCCCGTAAAAACAATGTTCTCCTTCGTAAATTCATACTCGTGCCAGCATCTTCCCTCATCAGTAGAGAACTTTACAACCTTTGGGGTTTTTGTTTTCGAAGGTACTGCTACGATGAGTCCACCATGGTCAGCAATTTGGTAATGATGGGGTCCATCAAGGGACTGAAATTCAGAATCAAAAAACTTTTTTGATACAATATATTATGATTTAACTACTGAAAAAAAAATTATACTTTTTTAGCTATTAAATAGCGTGATTAGATTAAGACATGAGAAACTAATAAACATTTATACAACATAACATATTGAGTGAAATAACTTCCTAATGAATATGTTTCTTACATGTGTTCCTTGATCATGGCTATGCACAAGTCAAAAGTCAATAGAGACTGATAATATGAATATGTTCATGAAAAGTCTTTTCTTTGATGACAAATGAGCATCTCAAGGAGAATATCTTTGAGAGAAAGTTCATCGTTCGAATTAGCAACATGCAATAGTATCTACATAATGTCTTTTAAAACACTTTAATCATTTCTTCAGAGAAAACAATTTATTTTATCGAGACTTTCGACCTGTTTCCACAAGTCCACAAATATATACTAAGAGCATTCATGAATGTGTTGTCATAGAACAATTGAAACTTACAAAAAAGTATAAGTATCTAGATACTTTGTTAAGATTCATCATCAAATAATACAAACAATATAAATCTGCAGCAGTAAAACCAGCAATGTAGAATACCTCTGTTAAAGGAACACCTCCCAAATGGAACACAATTTAGAGGTAACAAAGGTGATCTACTTGCACAGGCTTTACTGCTGTTATTTCATTATTATTTGTCTTCAACTATTATTTTTATTTCATTATTAATGAACATGCTTGTTTAGTCCAAGACTATATTTTTTAGCATTCTAGTTCCCGGTTATAGAAAAAATATCTAAGCAATAGACCTTACCTCAAACATAATATACATTAAAGTTAATACATTGTATCTGAGTATTAGGCAGGTGCATAATCATACAAAGTACAGTTTGAATGAGGTGTTTCACAACAGCCCTAAGCACAGAATACATATGCTATGCCCGTTTTGGATATGGGGTATATACTTATAGAAAAGTAGATACCTTGAACAGATATCATTCATATTACATGAATATGACATAATTAATTTATCCTACTATAAAACGGTTGTTATGTTTTTCTTCAAATATAATAAGATAGTACATAGTAGGGGATGAAAAGGAGATATATATGTCCCCCTCTATCAAGATAGAATTTCTATATTGCTCTGTTCTCTCCATGTAAAACCTCGCTAGTCAAAGGTGTACCATATCTTACCTTATACCAGTTGTACCCTCCATCACTGCTTACAAATACATCTGGATCTGTTGTCTGTAGTGAGTCAGCAACATGACCTACATGCACAATACAACACAATCGCTACTACTGTGACAATACATGCTTAATACTGAACTGGGATTGTGCAATATAGCCTACACAGCCAATATAATTCGGCGCCGTTTCAGCATCAAAAAAATTTGGCGCTGTTCCGGCACCGTTTCAGCACCATTCCGGCACCCAAACCTATAGACACCAAAATTTGGTACCCGACTAGTCAGTCCATTTGATCCCGAAACAGCACCGAAATTTGGCACCAAAACGGCGTCGAAAATCAGATTGCATTTTAGGGGTGTAACAGAGGCCAAGATTCTCTGGAGCAGCTCATTGATGTTGTTATGATGATCAACTTAATTGGGTTGCTTCTCGAAAATATCATGAATTTAAATCTTGAAAGTCAACGGCTATTTCATTTACTCTGCGTCTCTTCGATACAATTCATGAAAGTAACGGGAAATATTGTGAATGACTATATATGGACATACACAACTTCTTCAAACTCTTATGCATAATATTTTCAAGAAGTAAGCCCCAAGATTACACAATGAAATCAACAGAATTTACTATATATATATACAATACATCAGCCAATATGTATCAGCATTCAGTAATTGATTGCAATGCTCTATTACTGAAACTGCTGATTCAGCCAAAAAGCATTCTTATACTTTTACCTAGTTACCTAGTTAGAGCAACAAATGGTGAAATATTGGCCTACACGCATGCTCAGCTAATAGACATGTACAATACAGAGAAACAACAATAAGAAATAATGTTCCCTGCATTTAATGGCATCCACGTGGATAAATGTTAGTCTACAATCCTAAATCTATGGATGTTTTGGACGAAGACCTCATGTATCCAACTATTCACAAAAGTAAAGTGTGAAGTGCCCCCTATACAACATTGAACACCATGAGCCACATCCATGTTGAACAAGTAAAAATGCACATTTATGACATAACTAGCCCATATATGGAAGCAATCATGCATGCTACTGACACTATATGCCCAAATATGGCAAGAGCAACCGTACCAGGTACCAATCCCAACCACCATTGCTAGAGATGTATACATTGGGAGATGTTGTCTGTACAGCATCACCGACATTGCCTAAAAAATGAAAATAGTTAAGAAGGGCCCACCATGTAGGCCAAAAATAGAACCCAACACCTCATAGTCATCCATAACCACATGAAGCTTATACAATCCAAAACCAAATATCTAACCTTCAAACATAACTACAATATATAATATAACAAGGCATTAACATGCACCTGCAAACACCAACCACCAAACACCGTCCACAAAAAGTTGGGAGACTTTAACAATATATCACCACTTCTGGTGGTGATATAAGAAGGTTAGCCTTCCATGTTATATTACAAAATTATCAATATTCACAATATTACTTTTCATTTGGGTGCTGGTAGCAATGTGTAAAGGCCAGGTTCATTGTGTTACTTCATAATATTGGGGGATAAACTATGACTTAAACAACTTGACAACAAAAATCAAAAGTAATCATAATGTTTTCATATGTGAATTTGATCACCAGGGTCTGTTTTTTAAGTTATCTAATAACAAGTCTAATATTAAAGTTTGAGTATTGGAAGTGCAAAATAAGTCGAAAAGCTGTCTGATTTCAAAATAATGCAGCACTTCTGTTTTAGAATTTATTACGGCATCTAAAGAGTCTGTTTTTAGTTTCAAACTAACAAAGAAGATAGAGAAACACTTACCATGTACAATGATGATTCCTACTGCATTGCTGATGCTCAGGGGAGACTGGGCTAACACTCCTCTGTAGATGCTGTACTGGTTGTGAATTTGTAGGTAACATGGCTAGGGAAGAGAGAAAAAAAGGTGAGGCTCTCATTAGTCTACTTAGTAATCTGAATTCATCATCAGTTATGTCTCAAGGTTTGATGTATCAAGTTATTCATGTTTTATGAAGGAAATATGTCATATTTATGTTATTTGATGCCTAAAAAGCTGGAACGAAGGAGAAGGCCACTGAACCACTGATGGCAAGACCACTTAGGGGAGAGGACCACTGGATCACTGAATGGAAGATCACTAAGGGGAGAGGACCATTGGACCACTGAGGGGAATACCACTAAGGGGAGAGGACCACTGGACCACCCAAGGGAGATCTACTGGACTACTCAGGGGAGGACCATTAGACCATTTAGGCTAGGACAACTCGAGAAAGGGTTACAGAGAATAGGGTTACTCAGAAGAATGACCATTCACCTTGCTCTCATCATGGCAAGCTGCTCCCTGTGGACGTCTGACAGGATTCCATTCAGCCCCTCTGTTGAATGTGATCATTGTGCGGATTGACTGGTCATCACTCATCTGACTAGCAAGGTACACACCCCTCATTGAGTTAACCTGTGAAATAAATGAAGTTATATTACATTAGAGCAGGTCATATTTAAAGGCTCATACATATACATATACATATGCATCATATACAACTGTTTATAACAACAAATCATCTTTAAAGGCTGATCTTTTAGTTCACCCGTATAATGCCATTGAATAGGGGTGAGACGACAACCCGATGAGTCGAGGACTCGCGGGTTTGGGGCTTCGAGTCGAGTCGAATCGAGTCGAAGTTGATGAATCAAATCATTTTTGAGTTGAGAAAAAAATAAAAAAAAATAAAAAAATTCAGAAAAATACTGTCAATATGCGTGTTTTTACTCGATATTGCGTTGAATATATAAGTTTCAATGATTGGATATGCTTGTATTAAATTATTATATTGTATGTACACATAAATGAAAGAATATATGTAATAAAATCAGAATAAACTTACGACGAATTGTGTTTGTTTATATTTCCGGCTTTCCACCATTGACGCATTAAAAATACGAACGGTCAAAAGCGATGTTGTTCGCACTTTATCTGACTCGAAACGGATTCGAAACTGGAATCGTCATTTTCTGACTCGAATCGGATTCGACTCGAATCGGATTTTTTTGACTCGTCTCACCCCTACCATTGAATTATATCTTACCAAAATTAACAAAAATATAATTCAATGAAAAATAGGAATAAAAATGATTTGATCTAAAGTCAAATGAGTTCCCGATCAGGACATATAAAGAACCAATATGCATTTCTTAACTTCTGATTTGGCTAGGATTAATAAGTTAGCTTTGTCTTGGCCTCACTGACCTTATAGAAATCTGTGATGTCTCTATAGTTGGGGTAGAGGTGTTTCTCAAGGCTCTGGGAGAATATGATCCCTGTAGCATCTGATGTGTATAGAGTCCCATGACCCGTATCTGAAACAAGGAACAAACACATTTTAAGGTAAAGCTTTTCTTTACACTGGTAAGGAGGGGGGGGGGGGGGGGGTGAATAAAGGCAAATTTCTTATTCCTGTATAAATTATTCTAAATATTTTGACGCTCATCCTTTCTAATACAGAGGTTAATTCAATGTTTGGAAGATCACTGGTTTCGTATGTGATCAATTGTGTTTTTATGTAGGATACACACGTATTTAAAGGTTGGAGGATAAAACATTTACATTTAATAACAGGCTGAGTCAACAAAAGTCCACAATGTAACTATTGTTATTGACAATTTGTAATCATGATTTTCTAATAAAAATTATCTCTCAAAATAATAGGCCTGATTTTTCCCTTGGCAAATCCTATGATCTTAATTTGATTTTACGATTATATCCGACAAGAATCAAATCGATTTCTCGAGTTTGGTGATCTCACTTGGAATTTATGAGTAAGTATGAGTTATCCAATGTTATACATCCCTCCATTCATGAAAAACAATATGAAAATTTTTGCAAGAATAAGCATGAATGGATGAATCGTGATACATGGTACATTGGCTGCCATGGAACAGACATAATTACTGTAAAACCTGTATATATGAACACCTCTCTAATCTGAACACATCTCAATGTGAACACTTTTCTTCAATCCCATTTTCTAATCTTACATAGACTTCCATGTTTTAAAAATTTAAAATGTGAACATGTCAATTTGAACACTTTAGGGCAGTCAAAGTGGTGTTCTTATTAGATGGGGTTTACTGTAAATATTTTCTGATATCCATAAGTTAATTACATGCCACAGAATATACATACCTCCTGGATTGTCCACATGCATGAAGATGAGGTCCTCCGACATATCCAAGATGGAATAAAACTGGAAAAGAAAATATGGATTAAACATTGTAAGTACAATATAGTTAAATCTTTCAGAATGTTGCACTGTCGATATTTTTGATGGGGATAAACTTCTGCATCTTAGTTTTTGAAAAACTTCTATAACTGAAACATTGGCATAATGTTTAAAATTTGCTTAAAAACATTTTTCACTCTCTATACCTTCTGATTCATTTGATGATAGAAATCACATCTAGAATGTTATTTTTTCATTTTAAAATGTAAATATTTCCAGAAGCACACATACTAGAGTATATAGTTTGAGACTTTTGAGAATATGTGAAGAAGAATGTTTGTGAAGGATATTTTCAGACCCTACACCCGCATATATTAGACTGGAAGGATAGCTAGTGAATTATCAGTGTTGATATTCTGGACTGGACTGGATGTTGGTAACTGGACTGGAAGAATAGCTAATGTTTTCAGACAGCACTAGCTACAGCAAATTGGACTAAGGTATAGGTAAAATTTATTGACAATAATCGTGGGTTCGATCTCTATTAGAGTGGACTGACTTTTTCAAGTCGGCCATTAGCATAAGATTTCATTCTGTGTTTTCATTAATTATCATTAAATAAACATGTTAGTCACAGAAAAGTACTACATGTATAATGGTTGTATTAGCCTAACGTAACATTCTTGCCACATATGGAGAAATGCATTGCATGGATTCCAGCATATCTATGTGTACAACACATCATTGCTTTTATTCCATGAAGTAGGAGGGGTGGGGGGGGGTAACATTAGGACTTAATGTGTAGTATGATGGGAGAGGGGTGTACTACATGGTACATGAAGGGGGTGCAACACTGCTCAAAATGGGAAAGTGAAATTAAAGGTATCCAATGTGCGGCCTATTCCAAACAACCGGGGGGTGTTTCACATACCCTATCTTGATCAATGGTCGGTAACTGTGCCTCATTCCATGTCTTTCCGCTATCGGTTGAAACTTCCATAATCCTGGCCTGGTTATCCTGCAATATGACATCACAGTTTTAAATAAATGACATCACAATTACAAATAAATGACATAACAATTATAAATAAAAAAAAAATTACACAACAATTCGGTTTTCAAATAATCACGGATTTCACAAGATTTGAAAAAGTGAATGAAACCTCATAACGTATGATTTAGATTTTTAAAGGATGTTCACTTACTGAATGAATCATCATACACACTTTATTCACTCAGATAAACAAATAAAAATAATTACAAAATTGTCGAAGATTTATGATGGGAATGCTTTTTTCTAGCTTCTATTTGAAACAACATTACAATGCATTAAAGGTGGTATATAACTATTAAAGTGTTTTTCACATCTTTCCAAAGCCTTAATACATAAAGTTGCTGTGTATATATCATATTGATCCTTGCTTAACCATTTGGAGTGAATATTTCATTCCATGTAAAGAAAACAGAAATTGATAAAATATTGACGGAATGGGAGCTGTTACAACGACCCCTACTTTTGGCAATTTTTAGAATGTTCCGTCCAGTGTAATTAATAAGGGGCGGTTTAAGTCAATTACAATAACATTGCCATTTTTGGGCTTATCAATTGAAAGCAGTATGCATTTTTTATTATCATATATTAATATTAACATGAGAAATCGATTGTTTTATGAAACTAGAAAAACAGCAACTCCACGGAGTAGCAAATCCCATCGAACGGCAGTTGAGTTACCAATGATTACGAAAATGAAAAATGGCAGCCATTCTGAAGATCAGCCGCCATCTTAAAATGTTTTCTCAAACAGAGCTACTGTGTTTCTAGGCATCAGCATATAAAATTTTAACCAAATCTGTTCACTGGTATTTGACTTATCAAAGATTACGTTTTTTCTTATAAAAATGGCTACCATTTTGAAATTCAGCCGCCATCTTGAAAATTATTTCTCGAACAGATCTACTGTGTCCCTGGGAATCATCATATAAAAAATGAGCCAAATCTGTTCACTGGTATTTGAGTTATCAAAGATTACGTTTTTTACGAAAAATGGCGTCCATTTTGAAATTCAGCCGCCATCTTGAAAATTCTTTCTTGAACAGATCTATTGCGTCCCTAGGCATTATCATATAAAATTTGAGCCAAATCCGTTCACTGGTATTTGAGTTATCAAAGATTACCTTTTTTACGAAAAATGGCCGCCATTTTGAAATCTAGCCGCCATCTTGAAAATTTTTACTCGAACATATCTACTGTCCCTAGGCATCAGCATATAAAATTTGAACCAAATCCGCAAACTAGTATTTGAGTTATTAAAGATTACATTTTTTACGAAAAATGGCGGCCATTTTGAATTCAGTGGCCATATTGAAAATTCCTTCTCGAGCAGAGGTCCTACACCCATAAGGCATAAGCCTATAAAATTTGAATCAAATCCGTGAAACGGTATTTGAGTTATCGCCCGGACAAACAGACGGACGGACAGACGAAAGGACGGACGGCTTTCCTATATCCCTCTCGAACTTCGTTCGGTGGGATAATAACGCTTATTTTACCCAAGTTAGAGTTAATTTCATATATGAACGTGAAATAATTTGGGGAATCCACTAACAGTTTAGGGGCTTCTCCAAAAGCTATCGTTGTTAGGGAAATGACGTCACATTACATTGGATTTTCACAAGAGGAGGCTTCGAGTGTAACATCATCAATATCCATTAGGTGGTATGGATACATTCATTGTGACATTTGTGTTGGGGATAATTCCTAACAACGGCCAAATATACTTTCACTTTCATTATTAGAGTACTTTCAGATTTGGTTAGAAAGCGGAAGCGTATTTATTGCATTTTATTGAAAATGAATGTTATTAATGATATTCTTCAAAAAACTCATTTTTATTGTTTTCTAAGCCTTTGATAGTTATATACATCCTTTAACTACTGCTTAATTAATGAAGAACCACATGCAGTAAATAATGAAACAGCCTACATTGAATTAAAAGTTTACTATAAATTACAGTCTATCCGACAGCCCCATAAAAACAATTGATGCATTCCAACAGCCTGCGTGATAGACTGTAATACACGTAGATGCAAAATTCCTATTATCATAATTTCAAAGATATATTTTGAATCTTGAAAGCAGTCATAGATAAACAAGAAATTCTTCATAACATATCGTGTTTCCAATACATTTCACCCAATGCCATTTAAATAATCAATTATACAACGTGGCTTCACATGCTCCTGATTTATATGTATCTGCTATTTTTAATGAAATTAAATTATGCAACAATAAACATTATATAACCCGCTACCATAGCAACATTACCACAACATTATTAATTATGCACAACACGCTATATTAATAAATTTTACATTTTTCCTTCGTAGTGAGGCATACAGAAATTTCCCCTGTACACCGAATGAGTACACATGTTCCTTTAAAACTGACCACTTGGTTCCATAATCTGAGCTTCGTTTCAGCTCATTGTCGTTATGAACGAAAAAATGACGGAAAACTGGAAAGAATACAATGTTAGATATCAATATGATTTATGTGCAATAATTTTGCTACATATGTAATACAATGAGTCATGCTTTTAAAAAGTAATAAAAAAATATGATAACAAAATGTGTAATACCCACATATGTAAAGCAAGCATTATTCAACTGTTCTGAAATTCTCTAAAATGTAATAGAAAAAACTTTTTCAGGTTGATTTTTATCATTCACCAGCCTCAATAAGAAGATGGTGAGGGGAGTCAAGTCAGAATTTTTTCTTAATACCTTCAAAGCATGACACATTATATATGGAATCAAAGGCTCTATTTTTGTTATGATCGTAACTTACAAATCTGCTAAAGCGAGTCTAATGAATTCGCTGAATTGATTTATACAAGAACTGCAAGAACTGTAAGTTACGATACTTAAAATGGCCCTTGGTAACACCTTAGCTTACATCTTTGACGCGTCGAGAGCTATAAAGAAACTTCCCCTGGAGACCGAATGTATAAACATGTTCTTTTATAGTTTCCCAGTGATCCCCGTAATCGACGCTCTTCCTGAGTTCATTGTCGTTACTCTCAAAAACTGAAATATGATTAAGGTAACTAAACATGCATAAAATTAAAAACAGTATGAATCAACCAGTTTTGGCATCACTTTTGAGATTACTCAAATTTATGCTAATTCAAACAGCAGAATTTTACATAACAGTATACAATAATAAAAATTTTAGATAACAGTATGAAATATTTTTATATGAAATAGCTATTGTTAAAACTCTATGAAGCTGCATGAAATTGTGCAATGATTCTACATTTTTTTTGTATTTAAAACAAAGAAATTAATTGTTAAGACTGAATTGAATAAGTCCTACCACCCTAATCTGACTTTAACATGTGACATTTTACAGACATATTTCAAGGTCTCTAAGATTGTTATAGCAATCATCCTCGAAAGATATGCTTTGAAAAAAACATTGTAAAGAAAGCCCATACTTACAGTGAGAAAATATATTTCCGGGGACCATTTGCTGTTTGCCAGGGTCAGTTGTTAGATAGATCGTCCCTTCACCATCATTCTCCCCCACACCCCTGCAGAGAATGCAATCACCCAAAACATGTTAACAATGGAAGAGTCCATGAGATGTAAATGTACCATGAAAGGGGTGCCAACATTTGTGGCAATTCTAAACTAAAAGTCTTCCTAAATCTAGTATATGTTGACCTAAGAAACCAATCCAACATATAGTAACATACATGGTGACCCAAAAATGTAAGTCTCTAAATCAAAATTAATTCTTAAATGTGATGGAATTCAATGGAGCAAACAGTAGCATATTGAATGATCACATTATATCTGAAAATATTCAAAAATTCCATCACAATTGAGAATATTATTACAAAAATAGAGGCTGCATTCTTTTGGGTCACTCTGTATAACAATAAATAAATAAAGGGCATTAAAAAACATCTGAAAAAAACATGTTTGTGTTCATAATCAATGTGAAAAATGAAAAAAATATGTGAACCAAATGATGACAGTATAAATAAAATCAAATAGAATGAGCCATGTTAAAAATATCCTGGAAACCAAATAATACATAGTTATGTAGCTATAACACATGTTAAATTTAACGCATTACATGTTAATAAATATAACATGTACCATGTCAAATATTACATGTAGCATGTCAAATATAACATGTAGCATATTAGACATGTACTGCACATTCTCTACCCATAACGACTCACAATGTGAAAATTCATCTTCCTCATCCCCAAAATTTCCCTGGACATAATTATCCTCATCATCATCATAATACTGATCAGCGTACTGATAATTACTATCACTGGGGTCAGAGGTCAAGAATATAGTTCCATCGGGATCACCAGGACATTCGCTCCTGTCAGCCGCAAGTGAGATATAAAATATGAAAAGCAAATTATTAAAATTAAATTTTTGTTGCGGAATGAGAAATGACATACCGTATATTTATAGTGTTCTGGAGAAGTCTATGTAATAAATGAACAACTATTGTACTGTGAAAATGTATTGAAATGCCACTTTTTAAAGCCCCATGATATTTACTTGTAAAAAAAAGATTAAACACAATGGCATTTCTGTCTCTTAACCTACTCTTCCGTTGTACATGTACTTTGGTACAAATGAAAAACAGGAATTTGAAAGCATTGACTTGGTACATATTGAAATGAAATGAAGTTCCCTGGACTAATTAACTGTACAAAACACCATAAAATCATATAAATAATGCAACTGTATAAAAGTAAAACTGAATTAAAAAAACAAATGAATACATGAACACAACAAAGCAATAAATCTGACATTGAATGAATTTGCATATTGCCATAATCTAACCCTTATGAAAAAACAGAACAATTTTAAAACTAAAAAATATACATCATTAGCAAATTAAATTATTGGAAGACAAATAGTAACAAAATGTAATGGCACTATTGTAACAAAGTCCTTTAACAATTCATTCATCTATTCTTTAATATGCTTAAAAAATAATGAATTGTACAATTGATTATAGGAGAGGTAAAAATTAACAACAGTAGATTTCTTTCTAATTGCCAAGTAACATTAAGTACTTAACATTCTTTATTAAGCGTTCTAAATCTTATATTAATTGATATTCGATGAGTATTAATAAAAGCTTCAAATCGTCCTATTGTGAAAAGTTGTGAAATCATTGTAAAATTATAAAAGAAAGATAATCTGCATAACCTAAAGATAGGATTTAACCCCTGAATGACAAATTAGTTAAAAACTTTAAAAAGATAAAAGGATAATCAGATATAAGGCAGGATTAATTCGAGTGCCTTTTGTCAGGTCAGGTAAGATTTTTTCCTTTGTTTATAGACTATCAAATTGGTGGAGGTTTCACACCATGTAAGAAAGATTGAGATATTGGTAGATGAATTCATCAAAAATAGGGAAAAGGTTATGGTAGTCATGATATTCCTGAAGCACTTTTTTACTTTACAATTCGTTTTTTTAAATAGCTTTGTCTTTTGAGACACTTGGTCATTTATGAATGATTAGTTCCCATAATTTGAAAAATCGGAACTACCATACAGATTCCTGATTTTCATCAAACAGTGTCAGATGACATTATTGAGCGAAGTACAGCCTACCATGGGCAATGGAAGTACCACCCAAAGAGAGGTTCATACAAATTTCAGAAATCTATATACTAATACTGGGTCTCATTTTAGAGTGGTTGAAGCTATGAAATGAATAATATAAAAGCAAACAATGTATAAGGAGAACTAAACATCTTACACCGTACTACACATCACTGTACCAACTGATATATGTGTGGAGAAATATATATTATAACATACCTATGATGATGTATAGTGCAAAGTGTACACAAGACAGCGGGCCAATATAAGTTTTGAAAAGCCCGCGCCCGCTAACTTTCTGATTGGTCAAGGCACTGACGTCATAACCAATCAATCGAAGATAAAACTGCGCGAGCAATTTTTCTAAACTCATTTCAATCATTTTCAAACCATTTGTTTGTCAATTCTATAAGAAAATGGTGCTCTCTGACCAGTCTACATCATCATAGATATGTTATAAATCGTTTATGTCACTATCGTGGCACATATGCCCTCGGTTCTCAGAGATCAATGTCCCTCCCAAGGTCGGGCCATATATCACTGAGACCTCGGGCATATATGCCACGATAGTGACATAACCTCTAATTACATAATATGAGAGCATGTTTATATAAAAAAAGCCAAAAATAAAATTCTAATAATAGGTAAATATGTCATTTTAATATGTCAGACCTTATATACAGATTACAACCATACAAAGGATATAACAAGAGAAGGCAAATATAATAAACGGGAACATGATAGCCACAAAGCATTTGATGCAATGGCTACTGATAGCACTGGGACTCTGCATCACACTAACACAAGGTGGGGCTGAGAATCACATAATCAATGTCAAACTTGTACGCAAATCACAAATCTGCTGAAATATGATTTAATATCTAGTGTTTCTTAAAGATAGTAAGAGAAAAATATTGCATTCATAAGTGATAAATCTAATTAAATTGCTGAAACATTTGAAATGAATACTTCTGTTTAGGAGCAAAATGTAAAAAGTCTGGAGTCAATCCCAAGACATGCAAAACCATAAATGATTGTACGAATGGCTATAAATGCACCAAATCAAAATGTTGTCGGATGTCAAAACTGTGTCCAGCTGGAGATCCGATGCAAGGATCACAAAAGGGCGAATTTCCCACGTGTGTGAATGATTCGGATTGTAAGGAAGGCTATCAATGCAATATCAATGAGGGAAAACAATACTCTGTTTGCTGTGAGAAGATTGAAGGTGTTTTCCACAATTTTTCTTTAGGTTTTATATAAATCGTGTTGATGGAATCATTTTGTAGTCACAGCTCTACTTAAAATTCTTCTTTATCTTGATCTATTTGAAAATAGAAGCATGGAGCTCTTTTTTAATATCATTCTATATCTTATCAAACAGACAAGCATGGAGCTCTTTTTAAGTTAAAATTTCTGTTTTAGATCTTATTAAGATCTTTTTAATTATTCTAGGATCAAGATCATGTGAGATACCAGAAAATGGCAAAGTAATAGCTGTTGGTAAAACTATTAAAATTGGTAAATGCAAAAAATGTGATTGCACAGCTGATGGCCTTGAATGTAAGTCAATCAGATCCAAGAAATGTCCTTGTGAATATGAAGGAAAGGAATATAAATCTGGTGATCTGTATACTAATGCAACACACACATGTTCAGTACTGTGTTCTGCAAAGAAAACAAAACTTGCAAAATGTAAAGGTGAGAAAAATTATGCAAATTGTTGCACCAAACATGGGTATTTTGTAAGTCAAATGGGAACAGCACAATGGCAATCCATGAAGAGTCATGTCATAATACAGTACAGACCAGGCAAATGTCACGAACTATATAAGGCTTTGTATAAAAAACCTCCTACCTCATACCCACCTACGTGGGACATGATACAGTCATTGAAGGGTTTAATTTTAAAGATTTTTAAATCTCAAAATAGCTCTTATTATTAACATTTCTACAATTCTGGCTTTATTTTATGACTAGACAGATGACAGATCCATAAATAAAGGCATATGGGTGCATTGTAATGTGTAATGACCCAAGGGCGCCCCAGGGGAATAACTAACTAACGACCGCGAGCATAGGTCCAACAAGCCAGATAAAGAAATTGAAAGAAAGTGTGCTAAATTCGATGCCCCAAGTGGGAATCGAACCCTGTTGGGTGGTAGTAGCAACTTCCTATCAAGGGTCGTTACAAATGCATCTATAATTCATCATAAACTAAGATTTAATAAACTAAGATCTTTAAAATTGAACCCTTCAAAGACTGTATCATGTCCAACATACGTGGGTTGGTGGGTATGAGGTAGGAGGTTTTTTATACAAAGCCACTATATAACAATGGACGCTATCATAAGTGTAGGTATATCTATGAAGGAAGGTGGCAAACTGGATAACTTTCCCCTTTACTTCTTAGCACATTATGTAAAGCATTGTTATTATTTGTTTATGGTAAAAGATCACCTGTTTAAGCATCAACATGCGAAGGGCTTTACCACATTATTGCTCCAAACAGTAAAGATCAAGGTCTACTTTGTTCTATAGGAGTATGTACAATTGAAACAGATGATGGAGAAGAAATACTGCCCATTGGCAAAACTTGGGAGTCTCCTGATAAATGCAGGACATGTAAATGTAAAACGCAAGGTGTAGACTGTAAATTGAAAAACACTGGTGAACTCCAGAATAAGACGCATATCTGCACAGTAATGTGTGCTCAAAAAACTATGGAGTGTGAAGAAAAGGGTGAGATTTTTACTATGTTGTATATACAAGCACAAATAGAAGCTTTGCATATGCTATAGAGTATATTGTATGAAAACAGATCGGCATTTACGGTAATTAATTAATAAATCAATAAGCAGACTGTATTGTATATTATCAATAACTTGCACTGAAGTTATACCATCACCTGCCCCATTAAATTAAACAATCAATTCATCCTTTTTTAATTCATTCATTCAGTCAGCTAGTCAACCAGCCAGCCAAATATATTCATATTAATAACTTCAATTTCCTGAAATACAACATTCATGTAAAATATTAATACGCCAAATTGAAATATTCTGCCATAGCTTAAAGATAAAGTGAAAGAATAAGAATGAAGAAAGCACATTATATTCCAAGATATTAGTTTATCATGAAACATCAGTTATTTCTATAATATAGCCCCCAACTTATATTATGTGAGTATTCAGAATGTCACAAACAAGAATCATATACATGAATGGCAACAACCAGAGAGTTCTCATTTGTTACCTAGTTGATGGACCACATTGGACACAATGGGGGCCTTGGAGCATGTGTGATGAACTTGAATGTGGCAGGAAAGTCCGTATTAGGAAATGTAAGGGGCAAAATGGAGATAACCTGAACAGTTCCCATTGTAAAGGGGAAGAAAGAGAAGTTGCCTGGTGCCCACTACCTGATGATGGCAAGTACATGCAAACTAACATACTATACATACAGTGAATGTACATCGACACATCATACATAAAGTACATGTGCACTTAAACATATCGTACAAAAGTTCATGCATGTGCAGTACATGATGCATTTCTCAATTCAATATCCCAGGTCTTCAATCCTCCCTAGAAATATCTATTTCTATGTATGAATGGCAACCAACAGAACCTTCCTTTTTGTGTTTACCCAGTGCCTTGGCCACAGTGGACAGTTTGGGGTCATTGGAGCAAGTGTCACGCATATGAGTGCGGACCCATGAGGAGAGCCAGAATGTGTATTGAGAAGACAGGAGAAGTTCTAGAAACTTCTAAGTGTGAAGGAGAAGAGGAAGAACAACAATGGTGCCCACCATGTTTAGGCAAGTCAAGTGACACATTATACAATAAAAAATTGAATAATCCCAAAATTGTGATGGATACTGAAAATAAGACGCTTGCCATGTCACTAACCAAAGTAATAAAAAATAATGTTAATTTACAAAAATGTTCAAGGTCGATCAGCAGGTGGCTTTCGAGTTTTGAGAAGTGAACGTCATCTATTCTCTGGGGTTGTGTCTCTATCAAAGAAAGAGGCACAAGATACAGAACCCAAACATTTCTGTGGAGGAAATATAGTAACAAACTCATGGATATTAACTGCTGCTCATTGTATATGTAAAATCAAAGGCTGCTGTTCCCCAGATAACAAAGTAAGGTGTGTACAAAATAACACAACATAGTTACCATCTTACTGGAAACTCTGAGGTAAACATTTTTTTCATATGCGCAATGCTTGGCATTGAGAAACTGAAAACCACATAACATATGTATATATGCATACATACGTTTATCCATGTATACATGTTCTCTTTTAATTCCACCATTGAGTTTTGTATCAACATTAACCCTGGTTGAGTCTTCTTATTCAGCGGTGGATCTGAGAACCAACAAGGGGGGGGGGCCCAAACTTCTGGTCTGAGAAGAAAACTTCCGCGTTTGCGCCTGGGCCCCTGCCCCCCCCCCACCCCAGATGCGCCAGAATTATTATTTGTGTCATTTCTTTACTAGTTGTGACATCCAGCGCATTGTTCGGGTCACTGCTGGCAGGCTGAAACTTACAAGACATGATAAGGTAGAGCAGATTAAAAATATCAGCAAAGCATACGTAATTCATAACTATATCCCAGATATTGATGGTGCAAATATGAGAAATGATATTGCTCTTATACGCCTAGCTGATCACCTTGAGTTTGGAGATGGGTTTGTTGAACCAGGTACACTGCCCACAGGCATGTGTGCTAATGACCAGGAGAATGTAACCATTTGTGAGACTGTTTGGGATAAAGCTGTGAATCAGGAATGTAAGATGGCAGGTTGGGGAGCAACACCTAAAACTGAGTAATAACTGTTTTTAATGCAGTACCTTTATAAATCATAGCTATATTAAACTGCAACCATTAACCCCCACTTCATTAGGGGAGGGATCATCATCCACAAAGCCACTGCAATGATCAAAACCCACAAGTCAAAGACAAAAGTATTATACAAAACAGTTAAAGGCCAACTATACTTAATTTAGAAGAAAAAAGAAAAAAATTATCATTGAAACTTTACTCACACACTCGCTCAAATATGAAGCAAAGTTTGATTTGCTTTAATATTGAACCGGATTATTCTATTTAGTCGATAATGAGAATTGTAAATGTTCTCATAATGGAGGATAGTGTACCATCTGGCATCCTGGACAGTCACATGATTGAAACTGATCAATCAGATTTGTGGACTGAGGATACCTTGTTGAGAATAAATGGTCCCAGGAAGTGAATTGATTGTTTATAGCTTTCTTAACACCAGTTTCTATTTTAAAATGGACCATTTCTTTGTCTATGAAAGGCCTGACCCTTCTCCTGACATGAGACAGTTAGAAATGACAGTTAGGACCTATATACCACAAGAAGGTGTGACAAAAATCAAAGGTGTTGGAGGTACGCCATGTCCTGTAAGTCATTTAAATATATAGTATGTACGATATGCAGCTCTATGGTGGATCTCTTGATTGGTTGTAATACAACCCTGAACAAGAACATTTTACCAAATAAACATGTAATACATTGTAGAACTTAATCAGTCATACAAAAATACTTTTTGTGGACATATTGTGACCAAATAAGCGAATGTAGTAGGTAAAATCCTGAACAAGTACTGTAATTGCTCTGACGGACCTGTTCTATATGCGTGACTGTGTTCAACAGGGTGACAGTGGCAGCCCTTTAATGTGTGGAGGGGATGCTGAGAAACCTGGTCCAACAATAGGATTAATGAGTTATGTGGAAATGATGGGTTGTTACACTGGCAATCCATCTGCAACAGTCGCAACATCAGTGCCTGATTACTTGGATTGGGTCACAGAACATGTAGTTGGTACTGAAGCTTTTCATTTTGATGAAAATACTTGGATTGGGTCACAAGACATGTAGTCAGTACTAAAGCTTTTCATTTTAATGAAAATACTTGGATTGGGTCACACAACTTGTAGTTGGTACTAAAGCATTTCATTTTAATGAAAATACTTGGATTGGGTCACACAACATGTAGTTGGTACTAAAGCATTTCATTTTAATGAAAATACTTGGATTGGGTCACACAACATGTAGTCGGTACTAAAGCTTTCCATTTTGATGAAAATACTTGGATTGGGTCACTTAAGATATAGTCGGTATTAAAGCTTTTGATTTTGATGAAAATACTTAGATTGGGTCACACAACATGTAGTCCGTACTAAAGCTTTTCATTTTGATGAAAATACTTGGATTTGGTCACACGACATGTAGTTGGTACTAAAGCTTTCCATTTTGATGAAAATACTTGGATTGGGTCACACAACATGTAGCCGATACTAAAGCTTTCCATTTTGATGAAAATACTTGGATTGGGTCACTTAAAGGAACATTCCTGACCAAACCTTTTCTATCCTGATGTGATAGCTATAATCATATATATACTTTCCATATTTAGCAAAACATGGGAAAATGTTTTAATATAGTCAATATTGATAATTTAAAAATGTAGTGCTCATTTCCAGTAAGCTGCCATCTTTTAAGATTTTACTCAGGAAGTGATGTCATCGACTCTCAACTTTCATGACCTTGCATATAACAGTATAGGAAAATAGCATAATATCACTTCTAGACGAGTGATCCTTACTTTATACGCAAAAATATGTTCAGAGCTTGTCAGCTTAGAATAAAAGTCAAGAGACTTTTAGAAGGATTAAATCATAGACAAAATTGAAAAAGAATATTCACCTGGATTTGTAATTCTTAATAGCTCCTTATAGTGTTATATGCAAAGTTGAGATGACATCACTTCCTGAGTGAAATATTAAAAGATGGCAGCCTACTGGAATTCGGCACTACATTTTCCAGTGATCAATATTGACCATATCAAAACATTTTTCCGTGTTTTGCTAAATATGGAAAGTATATATATGGTTATAGCTACCTTATTAGGAGAGAAATGGTATGGCCAGGAATATTCCTTTAAGATGTAGTCGGTACTTAAGTTTTTCATTTTGATGAAAATACTTGGATTGGGTAACACAACATTTAGACAGTACTAAAGTTTTCCATTTTGATGAAAATACTTGGATTGGGTCACACGACATGTAGTCAGTACTAAAGTTTTTCATTTTGATGAAAATACTTGGATTGGATCACACGACATGTAGTCAGTACTAAAGTTTTTCATTTTGATGAAAATACTTGGATTGGGTCACACAAAATGTAGTCAGTACTAAAGCTTTCCATTTTGATGAAAATACTTGGATTGGGTCACTTAAGATGTAGTCGGTACTAAAGCTTTCCATTTTGATGAAAATACTTGGATTGGGTCACACAACATGTAGCCGATACTAAAGCTTTCCATTTTGATGAAAATACTTGGATTGGGTCACTTAAAGGAACATTCCTGGCCAAACCTTTTCTATCCTGATGTGATAGCTATAATCATATATATACTTTCCATATTTAGCAAAACATGGGAAAATGTTTTAATATAGTCAATATTGATAATTTAAAAATGTAGTGCTCATTTCCAGTAAGCTGCCATCTTTTAAGATTTTACTCAGGAAGTGATGTCATCGACTCTCAACTTTCATGACCTTGCATATAACAGTATAGGAAAATAGCATAATATCACTTCTAGACGAGTGATCCTTACTTTATACGCAAAAATATGTTCAGAGCTTGTCAGCTTAGAATAAAAGTCAAGAGACTTTTAGAAGGATTAAATCATAGACAAAATTGAAAAAGAATATTCACCTGGATTTGTAATTCTTAATAGCTCCTTATAGTGTTATATGCAAAGTTGAGATGACATCACTTCCTGAGTGAAATATTAAAAGATGGCAGCCTACTGGAATTCGGCACTACATTTTCCAGTGATCAATATTGACCATATCAAAACATTTTTCCGTGTTTTGCTAAATATGGAAAGTATATATATGGTTATAGCTACCTTATTAGGAGAGAAATGGTATGGCCAGGAATATTCCTTTAAGATGTAGTCGGTACTTAAGTTTTTCATTTTGATGAAAATACTTGGATTGGGTAACATAACATTTAGACGGTACTAAAGTTTTCCATTTTGATGAAAATACTTGGATTGGGTCACACGACATGTAGTCAGTACTAAAGTTTTTCATTTTGATGAAAATACTTGGATTGGATCACACGACATGTAGTCAGTACTAAAGTTTTTCATTTTGATGAAAATACTTGGATTGGGTCACACAAAATGTAGTCAGTACTAAAGCTTTCCATTTTGATGAAAATACTTGGATTGGGTCACTTAAGATGTAGTCGGTACTAAAGCTTTTCATTTTGATGAATTACTTGGATTGGATCACACGACATGTAGTCAGTACTAAAGTTTTTCATGTTGATGAAAATACTTGGATTGGGTCACACAACATGTAGTCGGTACTAAAGCTTTCCATTTTGATGAAAATACTTGGATTGGGTCACAAGACATGTAGTCGGTACTAAAGCTTTTCATTTTGATGAAAATACTCGGATTGGGTCACACAACATGTAGTCAGTACTAAAACTTTTCATTTTGACGAAAATAGCAAACTACCAATCGAAGCTAGATAATTGAAAGTTCTGGAAATACAAAAAAGAACACAGACATGGCCATTTAAGGGAATTTTTCTGCTGTAGATCGCACTGAATGGGGAGAATGGAGTTGCTGCTCAAGCCAGTGTGGTAGAAACTGTTCCAAGCCCTGTCTAAAGGGAAAAATGCAGCGAATACGTGGTTGTGTAGGACCAGTCTTTGGAGGGCAAGAACCTCGCAAGGAATGCTTTCAAAAAGAGACCAAGGAATGTCATACTCAATATCAATGCCAAGGTGGAGAATCTAGAATATTTCTATACTGATATAACTCAGTTTATGAAGAATATGAAGCAATAGATGACTGAAGTTCACTTTTTTAAATTACTTTTAGTGAACACCAAGCTTTGCTAGTTGGTTGTGCAATTATATACTTCTAAAGTTAATATACTAGATATAGTAATATCACCACTATCAAAATGATTTATGAACAGAGTAATTTTCAATGAGTTATTTTCCCCATCCTTATAAAAACATACATGTATTTGGCTGGCTGACTGACTCAGTGACTATGACTGTCATTATTCATCTTAACAAGTTCGTGCCCCAAAAAATGCTATTAATGTAACACATTTTTGGAAACTTATATACTGTATAAAGTGTCTCTGACCATGTAAAACATGATATGTATGATTTGAATCTTTTTTCTCAGGCTCACAATGGGGAACTTGGGGAGGTTTCTCACCCTGCACTATGCTTTGTGGAAAGCAGGTGAAATTCATCAAATTAATTACAATTACTAACTCTCGCTATAATAAATAAGTAAAAAAATAACTTAAATAAATGGTAACAACTGAAGATATGCATCATGAGATATCACTTCTACTTTGCAAGGTGGAGATGGTCTTCGAATCAGAATTATAGGATATCCTATGATTTTGAGGAATATCATTTTTATCTATGAGGTGATATTGATATCTGCACGAGAGAGCAAAGCGAACGAGATATCAAATTTATTTTTTTTAAAATATTTAGCACACTAAGTGTAGGATAATGGAAGATATGTTAGTCAATACATTACATATAGTATATAAGGAATCTAAAATCGACTTTTACTAGGTTAAGATTCGTGGTCGCCAGTGTTTGCGACCTGATGGCACCATAGACCCAGACTTGAACAACTGTGAACCTGATGAAGACACAGGAGTTAGCAACATAGAAAATCAAAACTGTATGCCAGAAATAACACAAAGTGAGCTTCTCAAGTTTTAGGACTCATACAGAAAAAACAAGAATTCAGAAGTCTGCCATTTACTGAAAATATTTTTTTGATTTGATCGTTGATTCCAAAAATAGAAATATTATCATTTGAATTTGATATATTGATCCTAATGCCCTTGTTACAGTTCAAAGATTGAACTACATTTTGATTTATTTTTATTTTTATTTTTTTTAACATGTGGAGGTTTCATTAACATCAGGCACATAAGCCATTTTCTCTCGTTCTTACCAAATCACTAACAACCAGATGTTTTACTCATTACATTATTATGAATCTTTTTGTACATGCATATTCATACATGTTCTATATGTAATTCTTTAAATCTTATAGTGACTGAACAGATATCAATAATATACATTTGATATTTCTCAGAGGTTGATCCTCCATGTGAGCATCCAAAGGCAAATGGTGGTAATGAACCCAAGCAGTGGCTGGCTGCATTCTACCACAATGGTGTACTCAAATGTGCAGGAACTTTACTCTCAAAGAGATGGGTTGTAGTAGCTGCTAGCTGTCTCATTGCGTAAGTGTAGAAATACGTTAATGCAGGTATATATGTAGTATTGAATAGAAATATACATACTTGTAGTATAGTGTAGTACAGTATAGTATAGAGTTGATTTTACATCTCATTTGCTAATTTTCAACACATATGATGAATGTTATAATTGTGTGTGTTATTGTTTAAATGTCATGTTGACCAATGTTCATTGCTATTATATATTGATTCATCTCCTACATTAACTCACATATAACAAATGATCATGGCATCAACTATAATTTATCAATTACCCCAACAGGACAGCAGATGATTGCCCCACTGAAGTAGGTTGGGATGTGAGATTTGGAAAGCAGTCAATTGGAAAAAATGACGAAATTGAAACACGCAAAATTTCCCGCATAATCTTCCATCCGGACTTCAGGGCCTTGGATGCCGCCAAGAAAATATTTGCAAATAACAAGGCTATGGTCCAACTTGAGACAGCGGTTGGTCTTAAGGCAGCATGTGTCAAGCCCATGTCCAAAAATTTGAAATCCCCATGTTCTGCACCACAATTTCAAAATTAATTTAGATGCTTATAGTCATCAGATAAGATTGATATATCCCAGAGAATATGAAAGTAACAAACACTTGAAAACATAAACAGTGCATAATAGAAACATCCCTTGCCTAAATACAGGGTGGCCCAAAATCAATGCAGCCCATTTTTAGGGTCATCCTGTATATCTATTAGGTCTTTATTTCATATTATTTATGCCATTTCTCTTAATTTTGCATTTCTACAAAATTTGGAATGTTTTATTATTGTTAATTTACACCTATTCACTTTATTTGGGATTTAAAAAACATATCTTCCTTGACACGAAGGCAAGACAAACAAATATACACTGCAGATTTTCAAACTTACTTATCTGTAAGCAAATTACATATAATGCAATAAATCAGTATATTGTATGCACTGAAAATAGTTTTTCTCATTTTTACATGAATCATGGCCCAATTTGCACTCTGAAATCATGGTACCATGTGGTACATTAAGAGCATGGTACCGTTCAAGTATTGTTCTGTACAGTGTTCACACAGTAAGGTATGGTATTATTTTAGTATATGGTACCATACAGTACCACATTATATGGTATAATATAGTACCATAGCAAAAACAGTACCATATGGTAATGTTGGAGGTGTGTATGGCTCCCCATTAAACCATAACTTGTATCATTCTTTATATTGAGAATACCTCTTTTAAAAGGTAATATTCTAGGAGGCTCTAAGGCATATCTTGGAATATTACTAATTGAAAGTGCAACATGGAAAAATAGATGGAAATATTTGTTTTTTTAATATATTAAATAGCTTACAGAAGCTCTATATATATATATATATAAATTCAGAAATTCCCAGAAGAGTAATATCAATTTCCGGACACAAATCGATATCAGTGCTCTTTCTCTTATGAAGATGATCAAAATAATATGATTTCACATACTTATACTATGATATAATGCATAAAAGTACATTGTCAATACAAAGAATTTCAACAGTTCATAATTTACAAGAAAATTAAACCAACTTGACTTACCATTTAAAATCTATGACAAAGTCATGGATTTTGTTCCAAGTTTCACCACCACTTCTTGAGAGATAAAGACCCTGAAAAGAATCAAATTGTAATTAGGATTCCAACTTTATCTAAAAAAGGTCACATGGGATAAAAACGAGTGATGCATTCATTTAAGGGATGTTTGTTCTCTTGATTTCATGTGCAAAATGAATTTGTAATATTAGGGAGTTTAAGCTTGCATATTAAATCGAAACGCCAACCTATACGTATGACCAATCGCTCTTACAAATGCATCGCTTAAATAACTTATGTTCGCATTTAGGTCTAAAAACCATAGTAGCTTAAACTCTCTATTATAGGCGTCAACCCCAAATGCGTGATTCCATCTACAACTTACTGTAGACGTTTAGACATATTCCCCGATCAGAGTACAAAACAATAGACATTCCTAAAACCAGCATTGTTTAATTAAACCTTGTTTAGAAATCTAATATTCCATACTTTATCTCCCCCAAGCAGTAAAACATGTTAACAGTGAACATATTTGGCAGCTCCACTTGGAATGTGTCCCATGTACAGAGGCTCATTTTACATGACTTAAAGGGATATTCCTTGCCAAACCATCTCTCTCCTCATATAGTAGCTATAACCATATGTATACTTGCCATGTTTAGCAAAGCAGTGAAAATGTTTAGATATGGTCAAAATTGAACACTTAGAAATGTAGTACTCAATTCCACTAGGCTGCAATCTTTTAAGATTCCACTCAGGAAGTGATGTCATCGACTCTCAACTTTGCATATAGCATAAGGGAAGGAGCTATTAAGAATTACAAAAACAGCTAGTATTTCTTTTTCAATTTTGTATCTGATTTAATCCTTCTGAAATTCTCTTCTTTTATTCTAAGTTGGCAAGCTCTGAAAACGTTTTTGCACAGAAATTAAGGATCACTTGTCTAGAAGTAAGTTTGTCCTACTTTCCTACACTGTTATGGGCAAGCTTATATAAGTTGAGAGTTGATGACATCACTTCCTGCAAGAAATCTTGAAAGATGGCAGCTCACTGGAAATGAGCACTACATTTTTAAATGATCAATATTGACCATATTAAAACATTTTCCCATGTTTTGCTAAATATGGAAAGTATATTTATTGATTATAGCTACCATATCAGGAGAGAAATGGTCTGAGGAATGTCCCTTTAATGAGTAAATGGACTTTAAATTGTTCAATTTATTCATGTGTTCCATTTCACAGGCTTTACTGTATACTTATCCAAATATGAATTTTCTCTGAGAGAATATAGGGGAAGACGACGAGGACAGACAAAGAATGAATGTGCCATTGAACCTCTAGCCCCAGCCTCTAGCTTTCTAGCTTGAAGCTGTTGGGGACACCCCCGCCCTGCACACACAGAGAGACTAAATTCCTCCCTGGTGTTTACTGTCAATCAACATACCTTTGTATTGTCAGCATGGGCAAGCATAAATTCTTTATTTTTTGGATGGAAGACAATTTCTTTACTCAGCATGAAGGGCAAATCGTACTTGTGGAACGTGTCTGCGCCATTGTTTGTGATATACAGCAAGGACGTCGTACCTGGCGTCTTGTAAGCCACTAAATACAACTGAAAATATAATAAAAAGCCGTGATAGCATTTTCTCTATCTAAACTCTGCAATATCACCTTTAGGGACATGTATGAGAGAATTTTTTTCATTTTCATTCACAGGCTTTAATTCAAGACTCTTCATCGAGTGCAACCAATACATTCACTCAAAATATATACTGACTAGGCCAAATAAAACCAAAACTTGACATACCCACAATGCACCAGTTCACCGTCAATACCCTTTTAAATATGTTCAAATTTCAAATTTATTTACATCTCATTGGCCCCATCAGTATTATTTTATATATGGACATGACTAATATTATATGTTGTTTTACTTACTGTATTGCTGTCCAATGGGTGCTTCTGGACTCCATTGGTTTTTCTGATGAAGGCATTGTCCACTCTTTCTGAGATATTCTTAAATGATTTACCATCATCTTGGCTGTAAAAAGAGGTATTAATTAAATTACAGTGTAAGACTTATGAGGAAAATATTCTAACTGCAAGATAAGAACAAGTGAAGCATATCCCCAAATAATTTTTTGATAACAGGTAATATATTTAACATGTCAATTATGTTGATATTTATCTTAAAATCGAGTATACATAATTCAAATAAAAATATAACGATTAAGTGAGTCAATGTTATAATACCATAATTTTTTGCTCTTTATTCTTTTTGGGAAATTGTTAACTACATTAAGAACTGAAGCTTCTAATACCTTAAATATACTGTGGAAGGTTTTGCATAGGTTCCAAAAAAGGATTGGTTTTCTTCTGTTGTTACCACTAGGATTTTCTGAAAGTAAACATTTCATATATGGATATAATGCACAATGCTGTTAGAGTTAGATTGTAATGACGCTTGCGTTTAAAATATCAATATCTGATAAATTAGGTTTTACGAGTGTTATACACAGTATACATATAATGACATACTGCACGCAGTTGATTTAATGAATTTCCCAATGGAATCAATTGAGCTATTAAAATATATATACAGGTAATGAATTCTATGTGTATTCATTTCTGTATTTTTATCGTACCTAAAAAAATGTACGATATTGTCGTCAGCTTGTTCATATTTCTACAGGGTTTAGACTGTTGATTTTTCACTGCTCATTTTAGTCCTTGCAAAAGACGATTCTCGGTTTGGAGAACGAAGTTCATCAATCTAAATGAGCATTATCCCTGCTTCGGACAAATTTGATTTTTTCTACATCATATAGATTTGAATGTCTTCTTTTGAATAGTCATAATTTAATTTGGGTAATATTTCTAGATTTTTCGCAAAAAATATTAGCGCAGTACACTTATGAACTTCTTTCCCCAAAATCGAGACTTGTATTTTATTGAATCGGTCTAATTGAGCGTTATCCCTGCTTCAGACCAATTTGTTATTTTTACATCTTGTAAATTTAAATGTCCTCTTTTGAATATGCATAGTTTAATTTAGTTAATATTTCTATATTTTTCATGAAAAAAATTATTAGCCCAGGAGAATGTTCTCCAAACCGAGAATCGTCCTTTTACTCATACACTGACATACTCAATGCAAGGAGGATTGGCTCCCAGGATCGAAACTCGATATTTTCCAACAATGAAAACGTCGAAATGTCGTTATTTTCTGAAATTAAAACCGACTATAAATTCAAAATAAACAGTTCAAAAGATTCGAACCAATATCTCGATCATTTCTTGTGAGTTTTGGAATTTTTCGTTTGGAAATAAGACCAAAATTCACGATTTAAATGTTGAAGTGAACAAAATGGCGGCTGTTTGAATTCGAATTTTGTATTACGACATACCCATATATGGGACAGAATATCGGTGGTGCACTCTGGGAGCCAATCCTCCTTGTACTCAATGGATGAATAAAGTGGAGCTTTTGATCTTTAGTGACATCTTTAAATGATTGATAATTCTGATTAAATAGACTGAGAAATGATATATTTATACCAACATGAAGCCAGTATGGATATTTCACAGTGTATATCTACAGAAATGGTTGTATTTAATTTAATAAGGCCAAAACCAGTGTTCTCTGCCCATCTTGTATGTGTGTATGATACTGTTTAGAACAAGACATTACCATGCAAAATGTCACGACCTGACATTTGTCACAGACATTGACCACTGTTACACACACTGAATGGTGTTACAGACCACGAACATCAACTGTTGAATACCGGCCACAAAAAAGTTGGAGACTATAACAATATGTCACCACTTCTGGTAGGGACACAAAAACAGGAGATGCATTCACATTCTCATGCACCTCTTTCAAAACATCTGTTGCACATGCTTGATCAAAAAGTGAGTTGCTGGCCTAAAACTTTGTTTAACACAGGCAATGAATCAATTGAGGCTCTAGATACAAGCGTCAGTAATAAAGCTTAACACCGGACAAAAAAATGAAGAATATCACACTTTTAAATGTGATTATCCCAAACTTTGGCAAAAGAGAAGATTTGACGCAATTCTAGGATAAGGAATCTAGAAATGGTCCATCAGAAGATTAACTCAGCATGACAGACCAAAATCTAATCAGTCCAAAAGCTTTCATACCAAAAAGAATCCCATGACATTTAAAATCAATCTAAGTATTGAGGAATAGATAGTAGATACCAGCAAACAATAAGTTTCTGCTTTAAATTTGGTCTACTGTATATACAATTCAGCCCTGAAAAATGCAACATTATGTGGGGCAATTTATGTACCTTTGTACTTTATTCTACATAAACTAGAAAAAACAGCAACTCCATGGAGTAGCAAATCCCACCGAACAAAACATGTTTTGGTAAATAGCGGCCATATAAAATTTGAGCCAAATCCATCCACTGGTATTTGAATAATCAAAGATTGTGTTTTTATGAAACATGGTTGCCATTTTGAAATTCAGCTGTCATCTTTAGATTTCTCCTTTAGCAGAGCTCCTATGTCCAAAGGCATCAGCATATACATTTAATCCAAATCTGTCAACTGGTACTTTTATCAAAGGTTACATTCTTTTATGAAAAAATGGCGGCCATTTTGAAATTTAGCTACCATCTTGAAAATCCCTTCTCGAACAGAGCTCCAATGTCCATAGGCATCAGCATGTAAAATTTGAACCAAATCGATTCAATGGTATTTGAGCTATCAAAGATAACGTTTTTTTACGAAAAATGGCTGCCATTTTGAAATATGGTGGCCATCTTGAAAATGTCTTCTTGAGCAAGGCTCCTTTGTACCAAGGCAACAGCATATAAAATTTGATCCAAATCCATTCTATGGTACTTGAGTTATCAAAGTAACGTTTTTTATAAAAAATGGCCACCATTTTGAAATATGGTAGCCATCTAGAAAATGTCTTCTTCAGCAAGGCTCCTTTGTACCTGGGCAACAGCATATAAAATTTGAACCAAATCCATCCACTAGTATTTGAGTAATCAATGATTACATTTTTCCGAAAAATGGCCGCCATTTTGAATTTAGTGGCCATATTGAAAATTCCTTCTCGAGCAGAGGTCCTACACCCATAAGGCATAAGTCTATAAAATTTGAATGAAATCCATCAACCGGTATTTGAGTTATTGCCCGGATACACGAACGGATGGACGAATGGGCGGACGGACGAACGGACGGCTTTTCTATATCCCCCTTGAACTTCGTTCGGTGGGATAATGATATTTACATATGCAGCCATAATGACAGAAATGTAATTTAATATAAATGCAGTTACTTTCTCAAAAATTTCAATTTGGATTAACTGCACGTTATAAAACAATAAATAAAAAATATTAAAAAACACAGAAAATAAGTATAATTTTACATACAGGCACCACATTTATATTTCATAAGAGTATATATAGTTTATCAATAATCCAAACTAATAACTCTTTCATGCAGAAACATTTATTTTACTACGACTAGAATGTGTGTTCAATTACCATGGTAATTTTCCTTAATATGGTTTATCTAACACAGACAGGATATTACCTTTAGACTGATCACACTGCTAGTAGTTATGAATTTCTGTCAGTTTAAGGTTGGATGAAGTACATGCATACTGTATATGTATATAATTTTGATCAAAATTAGAATATAATTGATCAAACTAGCCTTTTCCAAATCAGAACTGGCACCATTTTGGCAATAATTTGGGTACTTTTAAGCTCTTCTGAAAAATTAATGTTCCGAGAGTCCTGTGTTATAAAAACTGGTACAGTTTTGTTCTATATTCATTCAATCAATGGTAACATGAAAACTTCTGTCACACAACAAAAGTCTTGGACTTTTCCATTCTTCATTTACCTCAAATTCTGATCAATTCATTTCTAGGCATTTCCTCTAGTTCATATTGATTAATTCTCATTTTCATTGCCATTATGTATTGTCTAAAATAAACTAGAATTCCCTAGATTACATTGATTTATGCAAAGCTATAACAAAGTGACATTTTACTCCCAAAACAATATGCAGTAAGACTTGACTGTGGGAACACCTTAGGTACATCTAAAGTGTTAACCTGCGCTCAGAGTCTAGATATAAACTACACTCGGCCTAGCATAGACTATATTACAGTTTAGGAACCCCACCCCCAAGATAAATACGTGTGACAACCCAGGTCATAAATCATTTCAAATCAACCACGCTGACCTTTTCTCAACCAATCAGTGAACTGGAAGAAACACAATCTAAATATGTACTCAATAACTATACGATGATGTCAGGGGAAATGACAATATATAGAAAGCCGTCTAATTTCGACAATGATTGGCTCGATGAGATCAGAGATTAAGGTTTATCATTACTGATTTTGATCAGATGTAAACTGAAAGGGTGAAGACAAAGTTCACTTTTAAGAAGTGAAGTCAAACGAATGCAAATGGTACTAAAGTGTTCATTTGACATTCAGTCAGTTGGTCTTAGTTGGGACCCTGAAAACTCTTCCACTAACAGATTTGTTCCACTTTACAGGTTTCAACGTCTTTCTATTGTCAATATCCACTAAATTATGAATCTCCATTCAATGTCAATACTACATGTATATTAACTAGTACATCAGGCATTCATATAATATACAAGTACAGAGTTTACATACTAAACATGTGACACCTGTTACATTTGATTGACAATATCAATGTTTGCAATCTGAGTTCTTCATTACATCATGGACAAAATGAAGTTATTGTTTACATCGAACAGATAATAACAGACAACGAAAGTATTGATTAATTCAGTAAATATAATTGACTTTTTTAGAGGCTGATTTATAATGTGGTAGGCAATTTAAACAATTGATCCAAGAGACGCAGTAAAATCATGAGGTGGATACTCATCAAGAGACTATTGTTTTTAATTATCAGATTGATTACTGTTTGTGCAGCATTATTTTCCAAAAAGAATACAAAGTACATCTAATAAAGACAGTACTATCATACTAGGGAAGATCTTTGTCACGTGATCATTGTTTTTGATCATCAGATTGGTAGTTCAGTTTCTGTTTGTGCAGCATCACTTTTCAAAAAGATGCAGGTGATACCTCAAGAGATATATGTTTTGCTTGCACATTTAGCTTTATTTGAAAGATTCAATAGTGGATAGGGTTTCAGCACTGTGAGTAAAGTATGAACATTTAACTGTTTTTTCTCTTTATTGAGAAAAATTGCAGCTGACCTGACACAATCAAAATCAATCGTCATGTGTGACGATTATTTACTTCGCAAACTTGTCTGCTTCAGTGCTTAAGTTTGAGAAACAAAAAGCAAAAGCGGGACGATCACGATAATGACCACGATAGCGCCGTCGTCATGACCACTATATCCCACCGATGGTGTGATAAAAAATCAGACCCTCTCTTGTATACATGAATAGTGACCCATTCATTCGAGAGACTGACACGATAAGTCCATAAAATTTATACTGTCTACATAACTATAACACATTGTTAGATATTATATTGAAGAAACCTTCTGTCTATATTGATCATATATCACAATTCATGTTACTTACCCCTTTATTCTCATCAACCCATGACAGGGCCATACTGTACTTGGTTTCATTAGCAAATGTACTCTGCAAGAAAAAGAAAGGAATTGTTCACTTTATTTTACCCTTGATTTATTTTGGACCAGGTCAAGAGAGCAACCATGTTTGTAACCAAATGACACTTTAGGAGTTGTAAATCATCAAAGCTCTCCAAGACCTATAATGAGATTTAGAGATGTAATGGAACTAGAACAAAAAACATTGGAAAATAGGCAAGGAAAATTGGCATTGAGGGTTCCAACTCAATATTTGACCTTGACCTTGATTGATTACTACATGAGAATTTTCAAGAAATTTTCATTTTTGATCACAATATTTGCGTGTAATATTTATCTTATTTCAACCGTCAAATTCCTCCATTTATTGGTACTTCCGGGCCACTTCCAGGACTGTCAAATGGGGAATCCATTTTAAATCAAACCGCCATCTTGAAAAGTGATGGAATCTCTCTAATGAAAAAGAAAAATGTTCCTGTTCGGCTGATAATTAACCCAGATAATTGTGGATTCAACTACATGAAAAGAATGCCGGGTACCCAAAAAAACGAAAAATACGAATATATAACATACTAATATTATTAGATCACTAGAAATCGTGTAAGATTTGTTTTGAATGTATGTAACTTCCTTCAAAATTGAGCTAGAAGCTTCAAATAAAAAAGCATTTTAAGGCTCTTTTCTTCCTCTATCATCATGGTCATTATTTTCATTGGTTATGGGGGGGATGCAATCGCACCATCGAACTTTTTGTGGTTTTACAACATGCGGTCTATGGGGAATCTCCCCGACCTAGAAGTCACAGTTTCAAAGAAAATTAAATTTTCAAAGTTGATAAACACTTTTTAAAACCACATTTCTATGTAATTTTACATGTAAATTCCAAATATGACATCAGTTTGACTGAATAGTGAATTTTTAATGACGTAAATCAAGATTATTTCTACTCGCATCTGGGATATTTACATAATGCAACATGTAAGATTTTGTTTATTTATCATAATTTAAGTTATCCCAATTTTCTACGAAACGTCCACTGAAGTGTAAATCGTTACGTCTTACAATGTCATAGTCGTAGCCAGGAGGGGGTGCGATGGTGCGATCGCACCCCCCCCCCTCATAAGCAATGAAAATATGACCATAGTGATAGAGGAAGAAAAGAGCCTCAAAATGCTTTTTAATTGAAGCTTCTAGCTCAATTTTGAAGGAACTTACATACATTTTTGTAAATCCAAAACAAATCTTACACGTTTTCTAATGATCTAATTATGTTAAATATTCGTATTTTTCGTTTTTTGGGTACCCGGTTTTTTTGACCGGGTACCAAGTTTGAACCCAGCATGGAGGATTTACTACCCGGTACCCGGTTTTTTCTACAACCCGTATACAAGCCAATGATGTTGTTAACATTAACAATGTTTTACGATTATAAGTACATGTATACATATTATAATTTGAAAAATATATAAATCACCCAACCCCCCCCCCCCACCCCAGGCTATGTCCATGTACAGTAGAAACTTAAGTCAGATGACAAGGAAATAAAAGTGAACGTAAAGGCTAGAGTACCGACAATTGTCGGTACTCTAGACTCTGATGTGGTGGCACGCTAGAGGACCGACAAATAAATTGTCGGTACGGGAGATATGCTGTGTTTACACGCTAGAGGACCGACAAATATTGATTTTCGAATTTTCTGGCGCATGCGCAATGCGCGGGGGGATATTTCAGATATCATACGGATATTTTGGGAACAAGTGCAAAACCCGGGGAGGGGATTAGCCCCGGTTACCCGGGGATTACCAAACCCAGTCCAAAAATGGTAACACGGGAACAGGGAATGGTAGTAAACGTTGAAAACCCAATAAAAAGGAAGGGGCGTTTGCTACCCATTAGATAGAAGAAAATAGCTAGAATGTTTTTTAGAGCTTATCGTATGGTATGAGGTTCCATATCCATCCGCCAAAAGGTATATAGTCCATTTAAAAACCTGTGGTATCGTTCTAAATAACCCATAGTTGGCTTCTAGGGTACCTAGTATGCCACTATTTGGTATCAAAATAAAGAGGAGTTCAACTTTCATTTGAGTTACGAAAATAGCGATGTAGGTCAAAATAGTTCCGAACGTGAGGATGTTTACTACGCGTTTGTGCCATGGCGTAGTAAGGGTAGAGGTCGACGGGGGCGAAAGCATCCCCTCCTAATTGTATATATCGACCCATTAGATAGAACAAGAAAAGAGCTTTAAAATGTTTTTTAATTGAAGCTTGTAGGACAATTTTAATGGAAGTTGAATCAATTTTTGTCGAAATAAATTATGGCTCACTACAAGTTAATGCCTGTACGATCCCATACTGCAAAAGAAGCACTATCCCCCCTCAAAAGAAAAAAATAGGTCTTGCCGGGATTCGAACTCGGGACCGAGTATTATCGAATCGTGCTCGCTAACCACTAGACTACCAGTGATGAAGTTATATACGGAAATAAAAGTAGTGAATTTATTTATGAAATTGTCGGCTCTCTAGCAAAAACACGTAGCAGCCACTTGCGTACCGACAATTGTCGGTTCTCTATCTGACACTACTAGGTGACGATAGAGTGCCGACAATTGTCGGTACCCCAGCAAATACCCCTGGACAGTCTCCAGTACCGACAATTGTCGGTCCTGGAGCCACTCCGAAAAGTGAAACCAAAACAAAACAATCATGATAGTGAGTCAGCTAGATCAACAAAACCTCAAGCATGAAACAATTTTAAGACGTGGATAAACTTACATTTCTAATAAACTCTTTCATAACAGACTGGTCAGACAATGTTTGGCGGACTTTATCTTCTTGTTTTTGGCAAGTTCCATCATCTGCATCCCTTTTCGTTATTTTTTTTCGTCGATCAAGAAGTTCAGTTAAATCTCTCCTTCTCCTCGACGGTCCAACGTTTGCACTCTTATCTTGTATCATTTCAAAGCTATGAATATCATGCATCTTGGGTGCTAAATTGTCTGTATTCCGAGCATTATAAATACTGCAAAATTCCAAAAATGTAAGGAGGAAAAATATTTTTTTAAACGCCATGTTTTTATAATCATCACATGACCAGCGGCGCCACCTATCAAAAGAGAATAAATTATTTCATTTTCACTTAAAATTTAACCATTGGCCCTGCAACACAAAAATGTCAATCAGGAAGATAAAGAAAACTTGTTTTGTAAAGTATTATTTCATTATCTGTCGTCAAATTAGTGCACAAATTACACAGCAAGTGTATATATAACTTGTGGTAAGTAGTGAGTACAGTATGAAAAGGTTGAACATGAGAATAGGACAATAACAAGACAAATCAGTTACATTTGCTGCAAGTTCATTTGGGCATAGATTTACAGTGCTAATAGATCTATGTGTACACATACACATCATGTCCAGGGGCGTTGCCAGGATTTATCAAGGGGTATTCTATTTTTTCCTGGCTGGAATTTGTTTTATAACAAACAGGGGGGTTGAGGCGAAGGGAAGGGGGGTTCACACAATGGAAGCCATGGGCGTAGCGCCCGGTACGCTGGGTACGCACAGGCGTACCAGATGGTTGCAAATTCGCTCCAAATACAACCAAATTTCAAAATGTTCCCCCCTGAATGCTTGTTTTTTGTTTCTCTCTACTCAGTTGCTCCCATGCCGGCTCTCGTGGTGGCGTACTACTTAGAAAAAGAGCGCTATGCCCATGGAAGCGGTTTCAACACTAAGACTCACAAACCAGAGACATGAAAAATGAACAAACCAATAAAATTACGGATTATATTTCGTGTGTTATCAAATAGCTAATACAAATGTGCGATTCATTGTTTGTGCAAAAATAGTTATCCTTCTGAGAATGAGGTTCGTTCCCGGCCTGGTATTTGTTGACCTTCAGAAAAGGGGGTTGTTGGGGATTTGTTTTATACTGATTTGTTTTCATCCTTTCACAGCGAAGGGAGGGTGGGGGGTTCACACGAGTCCCACAAACTCCCGATCGCTATGCCCATGCGACATATGAACTTGAATGATGATGTCAATGTGTACAGTATTACCATAAGTACAGATGTATATGGCCATAAGTAATTGATCAATAGAGCAAGCCACCACCACTGAGCCCCATTTGAGTACATGCTATCAATTCTCATTTGGAGATCATAAAGTCAACAAATGGGAAAAATGGAAAAAGAGTGTGGAGTGAATCACCAACAATGAGCATAGAGATAACTTAGTTCTAGTTCAAAATACCATGAGCACTCCCAAGAAGGGGGGGGGGGCTAGGGTAACTCACTGCATATGGTGCATTCCATAGCCTATGGGATGACGAGAATAAATACTTAGATAATAGCAGTTATCCTTAACTTAGATAATCGCAGTTATAATAGAGCAGTTTTTAGATGGATAATGTGGCAGTAGACTAGTGTTTTTGTTGCCTATATTGGTATAAAAATATAACTAATTCTTGATTTTTTAAAGATGTCATTTTAAAAGCAAAAAAGGCTCCAAAACGTAATAGAATATGTAGTTTGGATGTTCATTTATGTCTGTGGATTATATTTTATACCACAAACACTTATAAATACCTGAAATTTGCAATAAAAGTGCCCAAAAATTGTTGTTTCGAAATTCCCCATTTTTCCTGTATCGCGCTAGTCACGTGACCCTTACGCGTAGCAGGCAATGCCTAGTATTACAGATATTACCACAGATATTGGCCAGATCGTTTTGTAGTAGGATCATAGGCTCAAAGAATAATACAGAAGATACGACACTAAATTGGAAAATTTCGAAAAAAAAGTGACCACCTTTCAAAACGTTCCTTATACAAAATGGTACCTGTTTCCCTGTTTTTTGAGGAAATATTATTGAGCTACTGATCCTACTACAAAAGAATCTGGCCGGGATCTATGGATATTACAGTACATATTTCAACATGTTCAATATGGCAAACATCAGCGATTCTGACTCCCGGGTTCTGGGAAATGGCTATATATAAATCGGCGAGAGGGTGTTATTTAAGGAGGACAATTTAAGGAGGGGAAATATGTCCAAGTATGCCAGTAAAAGAGCAGATATGGACTTTAGACAAGTACTATGACGGAGAATCAACTAAAAAAATGTGCGTTCTGGAATGAAGACCCGTTGCCATTGACTGAGAATCCCAGCGATCCTATAATCCTACTCAGTTTGAATTTAGACGCGGAAAACAGGTTATGAAAACGGGCTCTCTGCAAAGTTATCAAATTTAGAAAATATGGATCTTGTTTTTGAGTGGCTTAACAAGCATTCGGATACAAGACTTGGCGCTATCTCTTGTCAAATACACGCAGACTTGCAGTAAATTGGCCATTGCAAATTGCAAAATCAGATCGTCAAATTAATCGCTTCGTTTTTAAACGTATGCTTCATATCTTCATCCAAAACTTTAGGATTCGATAGAGATAAGTTAAAACTTGTACAGGAAGAAATGGGAGATCCTACCTTAATTTAGAATCGCTGATTTCTCTGGACAAATTCCGAGAAGAAATTGTTCAACATCGCGATCAGCTCAGACTAAACTTACATGTCGTGCATGTCACTCTGAACTCACGTGATAAAATACGGCATTTTGATTGGTTACTACTCGTGTTGTCATGACGCGAAAAACAATAGTAAACACTGAATATGTTAATGAACTGTCATATATGGAGCAATTGTCTTTCTGATTGGTTAACTTTACACGCCTCCTAAATGAATATAGTAGTCGTAGTAAATGATTCATTGATAACTCTGAAAGTGGGCGTGACCAGCTTTATTTTGACACCAAATTCAAGATGTTTCAAATAAAAATGGCCTCGCAAGACGAGGTTGAAATATCGGCAGTTTGATACTGATATGGTCTACGATAGATCAAAATTGACTGCCCCGCGTCATATGTCACGTGAGCCTATATTTGTTGAAAAATGAAAGAGATAGTGACACTTTTTAATCTTAAGTTAATACCAATATTACAAACACATATCTATTTTTTTCATTAAATATTTTTTTCTTCATTATACATACATTTGTTTTACACTGCATTGATTTATTTTTGCAAAACCTTTGCTATTAGATCTTTAAATATATCAATTTATGTGTGTTTTTTGCATTGCCCTTTACTTGCATTTTCAACACTAAGACTAGAAACCATAATTTAAATTAATCCATTATAGTTTATTTAGAGTTACTTGACCTTTAGAGTCAAATATGTCAAATGTATATTTATTCTGTATTCAGTCTATCTTCTTATCATGAACATCTGTGTTAGGCTTATGTTGTGAAGGTAGAAGTACGTTATGTAGTTTAGTAAAACAGGGGATTCAACCTATAGCAACATTTATGCAATATAAACCAGAAAAAGGTAAGAAATATATAAAATACTGCACTAACATTCATAAACAGAACTATGGACTAAACCTGGTGGCTGGCAGATGAGGGGAGGGGGGGGGGGCAGTAATTTGAAAGCCTTGGGCCTCCACAATCATGTATGAGTATATATATAATTTATTATGCAAATAAAACAATTAACCTATTAAAAATTCTGTACAAGGAACTGCTGAATAACATAAGTCAGTCTTATCCATTAACATTTAAAATGAGCCTTTTTATGTATGTCAAATTGGTTCAGTTAAAATGGGCCTTTAATTACATGTCAAATTGGTGGAGTCAAAAATGAGCCTTTAAATGCATGCCAAATTAGTGGAGTTAAAAATGAGCCTTTATTGTCAAATTGGTAGTAAATAAATGAACTTTTGTGTACTACAAGACAGCAAGACTAAGGCAAGAGTAAGTTGGACTATGAATCAGAATTGGAGATAAAAAAGCTATAACTCATTGAATTCTGATGATGATTTGTACAATTGGGCTGGATATAAATCAAGTAGTATGCAATCATAGTCGTAGCCAGGGGGGGGGGGTGTGATGGATGCGATTTTGATTCAGTGCCATATGCATGTAGTGATGTAGTCAGTATTGTGATTTGGTTTGTGGATTTTATTTTGACAACTTTAATGCTTTTGGAGTCACCTCTATTTATTTGCCTATTTTAATTAAAGTTTGAAGCTACTTTTTAACTTCAATAGCATTGTACATGTGATTGGTCTCATATATTCATTGAGTAGGGCAGATCACTGTAGGGTGTCAAAATATATTTTGAACAACTTTAATGGATATTAACTCTGTGAGTATGTAATTTTAATCTCTTGCTTTGCAGGCTACACTGTTGAATAAAACAAAATGGCCGCAGATGTGCCACACAGAGCAGAAGTTCCTGATTTTGGATTTGATATTTTTCAAACAGCAAAACAATATGTCTTCTCTACAAAACTGATTCATAAAAACTGCTTCAAATTTACCAGTGACATAATCAAAGATGCAATAAGAAGATATGAGTTGCTATGGTTACCATTTGCCAATACATTTCAGGAAAATGTGAAATTGACTGCCCCCTTAGATATAGAACTCATATGGCAAGTTCATTTACTACGTCCTCTAAAATATCAAGAAGATTTAATTGGTTGCTATGGCAACCTGATAAATCATCATTTGCTGTTTGGAAACGAAGAGGAAAAGGATCAGAGCTATAATGAAACAAAACAATTGTGGGATGAGACTTATCCTGGTGAGTGTTTTGATGTGCTGGCACAACCAAAAGAAGACGCAAAATCTAGCACAACTAGCGCAACCAGCACAACTGAAACTAAATTCATGGACATTGACAGGGTCATGAAGGATGTTACAAATTATTTTGCATTCATATATCAAATTTCACTCTCACACTTCACGGATGACAAATACATTAAGGATTCTATTGACAGATATAAAAAACACATTCACCTGGTGAAAACACATGCTGAAAATTTCCAAAATATTATACCATATTTGGATATATGCCTTATTTGGCATAGTCACATGCAATGTCCCCATAGTTACCAGCAATATTTTCTTCAGGTTCTTGGTAGAGGGCTACCTTATAAGATTAGTATGGCATTAAATCAATCCAACATTCTTACCATTGAACTATGGAGGGACTACCTCAGTGAAAAACACAATAGAAATGGAGCAGCAAAACGTAATACGACAGGTATTGGAGGCACAATCCCTAGCTGCAATGAAATAGATCTTTGGCACATGTCGAGAAAAACATGTAGAGTGCGAATCAGATATGTACACATGCTAGAGCTTCCCTCAATAGAATCCCTTACAATGAAACTTCAATACCCGTCAACAAATGGCAAAACAATTCTGAAATTACACGCCAGAACCTCAAAAGACAATCCACATCCAACCATAGAGTGGGCGGAGCCAAACAACTGTGTAGAATATGAAGCCCACGCTGCACGCCCTGGTCATGATACCCTGAAGTTTTTGCTGCGTACAAGCAGATCTTGGCTCCATCAAGAACTTGCTTCATGTATTATCAATATACAGAGCATTATAAAAGCAAGCCAGACAATGCAGAATGTGAGCTTCACAACAAACGAATGTGATATTGAGATGCCAGATGTGAAATCCACATGTAAATTGATAATGGAGTTGGCTGTATCTCCAGTCCTTTCACCCATAGAACTACAAGTGTACAATGGGCCTTTCGGGGACTGCACGGAGGAATTTCTTATGACACTTCCTAAAGGTGTAATTTCAAGAACAGGAGATCCTAGTGAACATCACTTTTATCAAGTCGCTACACACAGGTAACTTTGTTGTTCTTTAATACTAGGCCACACAGTATATTTGTCTATGTATTTATTAGATTGTGCTTTATCTCCCATCAGAATGTGCTTCATCATAGTCCAGAATGTGATTAACAATAAGTTAGATTATCCTCCACTATTTTAGTGATTGACTCAATCATTTATAGTTTCTGCTTCATGTTACATCAGAATTAATGCAGCATCACAATTTTTGCTAAAATTGTCATTATTTACTTCACTGCGCTCAGTTATCTCTAGTTTGTCATCAAACAGAGAGATTGTGCCCTATAATTTACCCCCAAGCAAGCCCTTGGTTGGGTTCCATAATTTATGCAATGGCCTATTGTAAATCTTCATCTTTGTGTTCCTCTTCATGTTTGTTTCCAGGCTAGTGAATAGCTGCAACGGTGAGGAGCTGTTTGCTGTGCAGGTGATCATATCTGTGCGTCTCAAGGTGCTGGTTGTTATGCTCATCAGGTTTGGTCAAGTGATGGCTATAGGTCAACTTGTAGGACCAGGTGTATTGCCATCCTCTAAACAGGTAAGTTCATCATGTACTTATCATCAGTTCTTAGTGGGTTGAATTTTGGACTTATTTATGCTTGAAATCAGCATGTAGGCTGTAGAAAATGTTGATTCTTTACTCACCCTACTTAAATGTGATTCAAATGCTTTAGGGGGGTTTCTTCTGTTCTTTACTATTTATTTATTTTTTATTAAAACATTTATTTACAAAAATAAATCAAACATATTTACAAAATATATCAAGTATTTAATTTTGAAATAATATTATCAATTACATGGTTAAAGATACCTGTTGACATATGATCCAATAGTTTCTTATAAAATGATACTTGATTTTTTTACTCTTAATATCATTGTTTCATATTCTCAAGAGATATGACACTAGCGCTAAGTAGGCTCTACCTGTTATCTTTTAGAAATTGTGCATGGATGTATGGAGATGTCCATCCATATAGTCCATATGAATATATGGATGCTATACATGTTACAGGTTGGTGGGAGTTGCATCACACTGGATTACGATGGTGGTGAGAGGTCTATGTTGATACATGGACAAGGACAACCCGACTGGGCAATCGTTAATGCGTGCTGGAAAGGAGGTTGGTTTAGAACAACTTCTGAAGGTAGTTTCGCACAAATTGAAGAAAATGTCAGTTCACTATTTTAATGAATATTTTAATTGTGAACTATATATTCTTACCACAGTACATATAAATATCTTCATGAAAATAATCATGAAATTGCATAAAAATTCACATTGTGCGGAGCTACCTTAATACTAGGTTTGATTGAATACGTTTGGCCAAATGACCAATGTCTCTTCACTTCCATAATCTCTGCAACTTGCCTTATCAAGCTTCGGGCCTATCCTCATAGATAGAATGTAGTGATTGAGTGTGGGAATCGACGATGATGTATTCTTTGTCAAAGCAAATAATACTTGAAATGAGGAAAATTACAAGATCTTGATTTTAACAGTGCAATTTCTACTATGTAAATAGGGTTGCGATGGTAAGGAAAAAGTGACCTTGAAAAGTCAGGGGACAGAATAATGAATTCTTAGAGAAAGAGCGCAACACATTTGGTCATGTGATTTTATGTTGGCATAATAGGAATATAACTCAGGAAATTTTGATTTGAAAATGTTTTGACCACAGCTTAGTATGGAGAAAGCCAGAAAATATTGTTAAAATTTTTTTTTTTTTTTTTTCATCAAGAGATTTTATTGCCATTAATCATTAAAAGTACATATCATACATGAGGGACCCAATCGCCAGTGGCATCATAGGTGTCCCTCAATGTAGTAATTACAATTTGTAAACATGGTTTTAATACACAATTATATATTAGAAAAAAATAGAAAAGAAAGCATCTGCATTTTAATTGGAGTGTGGGGGGGGGGCTGCTGCCTCTGCCTATAGGGTCCTGGAAACAAAGATATAGTTAAAATAAATGTTTAAAGCTGAGCACCCAACAACACATTGACCTCACATACATTATGTACATGCCATATGCTGAAATGTGTTTTTCCCTATATTTTCAGGTGTGCAGGTTGAGCTATATGAGCTTTCCCATAGGACAAAACGTTCAATCAAAGTATCACATTCAACCAATGAAAACCTGCTGCTGAAGGATACAAAGTTCAACTTAAAATCTGGAATGATCATACTGGAACCTACTGAAAATCTGCATGAGAGGATTGTTATGGTGTTTTGTATTGGAGCGTTGTTCAATGTGTGTAAGCTCAGACCTCACGCAGAATGCTCAACAGCCATGGTTTCCAATAGGATCAGCGGCGACATCTGGAATAAGAGCATAGTGGTTTCTATGGGTGGTTTGACTGCAACACCAGATAATGTAGGTGTGGAAGCTCAAACATTAGCCAAGTATCGAAAATTGTTTGATTATTATGGAGAGTTCGCAGCAAATCTGCGTCAATCGGAATATGCAAACAGAGGCTCTGAGGCTATACCCTGGACTGTGCATTCATTACCTTCTCAGCCATCAAGAAGTAGACACGTCATCACAAATCCTTCGCAAAGACACTCTGTTGGTGGTCCACCAGTTCAGGCAGCGGGGCATCAAGTTCCATCAAACCTGAGACATTCAACTGGTGCATCAAACATACCTTATGGGGCATATAATGATATTGTACCCCCTCCAGCCCCAACACAGCCTTCTGGGTATGCTCCTCCTCCATATACCCCCAGGGGAGCCAGTGCTGGGCTGAGTCAGAGGGCATGGAATGAAATGGAGAATGAAGCCCCTCCCCCATATACTGCAATAGCAGGCCCAGATATCCAGGGTTCTCAAGATGGTGCTGCACAAAATACTGGTGCAAATAGCACTCAACCTGCTGTAGATTCCCCTCCTCCACCGTACCAACAATAAGATCTTTAGCCTTGATCTCTGGGTACTCACAACCTTTTCAGAATTTCGAGGGGAAAATTGTGCTTTAGTTGGTCAAAATAGATTTTTTTTTTTATATGGTAATCTATTTATTTCATAAATCTTATTTTACATCAGATGGCTTGCCAATCGCCAAAAAGGCATTATAGGCCAAGCTTAAAGATAACAATATATCTAACATGATTTAAATATGAACAACATTAAGTACAATGTGGCTATCTGGGGGATTCTGGCTAAGAATAAGAATGAAGAGGTGTCAAGTCATTGGTTCAACGAGGGCAGAAAGGAGGGGCATAGCGGTGAAAACTATGGAAGGGATCTTATTTTATATGGTCTTGAATAAAGCTTGCCACGTTTATAAAGTGTTCCTTCTTTTGTAAGGGTGAGAGGTCGTTACTTCCATATTTCAAGAAATGCATTATTTGGTTTTCGTTTTTGATAGTTTGCGGTTTATATCTTGATAACTTATTGAAAAGCATTGTTCTGATTGCAGTATTTTGAGGGCATCTGAAGAAAACATGTTTTGGGGTCTCAGGTAATCCACATGTGCAGTTTGGAGTGTTTAATGTTGTAAAATTGTGTGCATATAGTTGTGCTTTAAAAATCAAATCTACTCTGAATCTGTTCATTAAAATTTCTAATTTCCTATTTAGCTTTAAGCTAGTTATAGTGTCAAAATTAGGTTTTAATTTTTGAATCAGTTTCTTTTGACAATTTTTGAAGCTGGAGAGGCTTTGGCTATCTTTAAGATACTGAGGGGCTTTGTTCCACATAGATGCACCATTGAAAACTGGTGAGTTTTTCAGTTTAGCTGAACATTTTATAGGTAGTTTGAAGTCTAGATTATATCTCAATGATCTTTGATTATGACTTTTTAGGGGTTCAAAAATTTCAGTTATATAATTTGGACATAAATTGTGCTTAACACGATACATAAATCTCAAGATTTGCATATCCCTCCTAGTTTCAAGAGGGGTCCAAGCAAGTGTTTCAATGACTTTTTCTGTGCTGCTTCCATGAATACAGCCGCTACAGATAAGTGCTGCTTGATAGAGGCATTTATTCAGGATATTGAGCAAATATTTATTGGAAGAGTTATAAAGTATAGCCCCGTATTCAAAGTGAGGCCTAATAAAGGATACAAAAATAGTTTCCAATGTTTTTGATGAGAGTTTCCGTTGGAGAGTCTTATGTGGGTTGAGCATTTGATTAACTTTATCTCTAATTGACAAGATGTGTGCTTCATTTGTAAGGTGCTCATCAAATATATATCCTAAATGCTTGTGTGAAGTTACACGGTTAATGGGAATGTCATTCATGACTGTGTCACTGATCTGATTCAGTTGAATTTTTGACTTGTGGAATATAATTTCTTTTGTTTTTTCTGGTTTAAAGCTAAGTTTCCATTTTTCTGACCAGGATATGATTTTTCTTATAGATCTGTTTACTATTTCATCAATTTCTGTTGGGTTTTGAGTGCTAAATGGGAAATAAATGGATGTGTCATCAGCATAGATAAAACAGTCTGTTTCAAGGTCATCTGGGAGATCATTAATGAATATTAGAAAAAGCAAGGGGCCTAATATTGACCCCTGTGGAACCCCACTTTTTATAGCATTTGACTCGGATAAATTAGAGGAAGTACCTGTAATTGTGACTCTGACTTTGCGTTCAATAAGGTAAGAATTCAGCATTTTTAGAACTTGGCCATGTAAACCATATGATTTTGCTTTTAGAAGTAACAGTCTATGTGGGACGCAGTCAAAAGCTGATTTGTGTCTGGATCGTACAAAACACAATTTTATTAGAGAAGGTTGTTCCATAAAATATTCAGGTTGGAGGTAAAACAGTTAGATCCCTTTACTTGGTGAAGGTACTCAAAACATGGGATATTCTTTGATCTGTTCATGGTAATGGACTTATACCCTAGTGGAAGTAACTTTTTTAAGGCTTGAATATTGAAGAGGAACAATTGGAATTGAGTTTGTCAAAAAATATTCTGAATCATGGGAGACAAAATTTGGTCAAAGGTTAACATTAGTTTAGGGCCCACTAAGTTCTATATTTGATGGTTCCCCTTATTGTGATTCTAGGCCTCTATGTTGGGGATAGATATATCCTATATGAGGTTATAGGGAATATCCTTGGGTTAATATACATGTATCTGCTCCGAGGTCTGCGTTTGTCACCATTGCTGTTCACAGAAATCATGCACACGGTACAAAAATTACCAGCATGACTTAGCTCCCCACTGATAAAATACAATTCTTTACAAACCTGATTTATGCACCTCAAACACATCCAAGTTTGGGATAATAACTAATATATTAAGAGCCTAAGAGCATGGTCAGATTGAGTTATAATTCACAGTGATAACTATCGGCATCGCATACTGTGGTAGCGTCTTCAGTTTAGAGGCAATATTGGTTACTTATATTGCAATGAATTATAGGGCTTGGTTAAGTTTTTACATTTTTTCACACAAATGCCTTGTAATATCTGTAATCTGATGGTTTATATATATGGTGTATAATAAAAAAAAAACATAACACAAAAATGAGATTTTATTTTACATTCTGTGATATAACATTTTATTCACAATATTCTGGTTCTGATTACGGTATATCATAACTTAACATGCAGTATTGTGTACTGTATATTATATATATATATTAAATGATCATTTGAAAAATACATTCTAACAATATGTATATAAATTAGTTATGTTACTTCAATAAGTATTTAAAACTTTGTATAAAACATTTCGTAATCAATCAGTAACCTTTTCATAGCAGTTTTGTTATACACTTAATATACAGAATAAAGCTGAACATTTGAATGATTTATCTCATTCAATCAATCATACAATCAATCAATCATGCAATCAATAAATCATGCAATCAATTAAGAATTTAAAGTAAAACTTCACATTCTAACTGAATACAATATATTAAAAAATATTATGTTTTCATTCTCATTAAAACACTTGAATGTGGCATTATACACATGTAATATTTGAAGTTTAAAAATGAAAATTGTGCTTTTTATGAGTATGTATGGCATACTCATTATGACTATGTATGGCATACTCATTATGAGTATGTATGGCATACTCATTATGGGTATGTATGGCATACTCATTTTGAGTATGCATGGCATACTCGTTTTGGGTATGTATGGCATACTCGTTATGAATATGTATGGCAGTCTAATTATGTAAGCAAATATGAAATAGACCATGATCCTGATTAGCATCGGCATACATAGATGCTTTACCTATTTTTTGTGTTATTTGCATAGCTCAGCAAGAGGTTTATTGTAAGCTTTTATGCTAGAATAAAGGAACATCTACCTTTATATAGAAATGGTATTAAGTACACCTCCCATTGATTTTTTCCAAATATGACTTTATTAGACTCCAGATGAAAATCTGGAGTCTATTGCTTTTGCCAGTTTTCTTTATTATTAGACTCCAGATGAAAATCTGGAGTCTATTGCTTTTGCCAGTTTTCCTATTATTCTTTCTTTCTTTCTTTCTTTCTTTCTTTCCGAACACTTTTTCTCAGCAACTAAAAGGACTTACTTAGATCTGCTAACATAGTCAACTAGGTAATGAAACCTAGTTTCTGGGAAATTAGGTCAAATGTTTATCTAGGTCAAAGGTCAAGAACTAGGTCAAATCGTGGGTTTTCACTATTTTACAAGTTTTCTCAGTCGTCCTTCGGTATTTTTGCTCCGGGTTTTTTTCATCATGTTCCTTAGAAAAAAAGCTAATTCCGTAAGGCAAATCGTTTTTTGATTACTTTTACCGATTTTGAGAAATGACGTCCGAAAAGTAGGTCAGAACATAAAAAGTTCTCCAAATTCAACGTGTGAATTATCAAATAAGTGTAGAATTATCTCAGGAATCCGAATCTGCAAACAAAATTTCGATCCGACTACCGGTTCAGAAGTTATAGCATTTTGAAATCTCAAAATCGCTAAATTTGGTGCCCCATGTTAAGTCAATGGGGAAAAAGACTTCTTTGAAGTGTAAAATACGAGATATAGACTGAGTACAGCTTAACATAATGAAAGCCTATAAAAGAAGGGGACCTCGAAGGCTATCTAGCTTTAAAATTTGGACAGCAAAATGCCTAGGTCAAAATCTAGGTCAAATTTATAGCATTTTCTTATTTTTACGATTCTGACACTACACTTAAATAATTTGCTTCAAAATTTTGTATACAGGTAGCAAAGAGTGTGCTTATAGTGATAGCCTTTTGCCGTCAGAAAGTATTTTGACCCACTTTTGAGATATGGTGTCCGAAATGTAGGTCAAACTAAAAAGTTAACCAAATTTAACATATGAGCTATGAAATAAGTGTAGAATTTTCTCAGGAATCTGAATCTGCAAACCAGATTCCGATCCGACATCCGGTTCGAAAGTTATGGCGTTTTGAAAATTTTGAGAAAAATCGATCTGTTGATATCCTGATAGAAAGTCAAGGAAAAAAGATTTTTATGAAGTGTAAAATACGAGATATAGATTGAGTACAGCTTAAGATAATGAATTCCTATAAAAGAAGGGGACCTCAAAAGCTACCTAGTTTCAATATTTGGACACCAAAATGCCTAGGTCAAAATCTAGGTCAAATTCATAGTTTTTCCTTATTTTTGCGATTCTGGCACTACACTTTTAGGATTTACTTCAAAATTTTGTATACAGGTAGCAAAGAGTGGGCTAATAGTGTAAGCCTTTTGCCGTCAAAGAGTATTTTGACCCACTTTTGAGATATGGTGTCCGAAAAGTAGGTCAAAATAAAAAATTCTCCAAATTTTACATATGAGTTATGAATTAAGAGTAGAATTTTCTCAGGAATCCGAATCTGCAAATCAAATTTCGATCCGACTTCCGGTTCCAAAGTTATGGCGTGTCCAAAAGTAGGTCAAAATAAAAATTCGCCAAATTTAACGTATGAGTTATGAATAAGGGGTAGAAT